TATTATGCAACTATGGTGAGGCCTGCAAGGAAATGCCCTTAGTATATTTTTCCATCCATACATCTTGCTCTGCACCGGTATTGATTGCAAGTATTACACATTATCATTTTGACATTTATGTATATGAAAATATGGTGTCAGACTAGAGTTTTTTAAAAATATATTGCCTCCACTAAATCCAAACATTCGTCGGTGAAGTCCGACCCAAAGTCACAAAACAGGTAATTTACACCTTAATCTAATATGATGTTGAAATACACTTTATCAAACATTTTTTTAATAGTTTTGTCAGTGTGATTATTTATGTGTCTTACTGACTGACTAAAAATCACATTTAGGCATCCTCAGTGGTTGGTATGTGTACTATTTTTTCAACTGTGTCTTTTAGAGATTAGTGCTGTATCGACAATGTTTTTGCTCTGTCAGCGTCTTTGAATTAACAGCTTTAAATACGTCAGTTAATTTTCAGTTATAGTAATGAAGTGTTGTAGGTGGTTTGTGATCACATGGTTTCTCTTTTTGAATAAATTGTGCCAGTAAATATTTAGACTGATGAGTACACCTATTACCCATCATTTTGGCGCGTTAGGCAGCAATGTCTTACTTCTTGTCTGGTTGTTCTGGCCGTTTTGGCCTGCCAACTTGTCTTTTGTGGTCTGTTTTGGCATGCTGACATTTTCAGTGATCAGTTTGTGTTTTTTTAACACGGATATGTTTTTAGGTTGGGTACACAATTATTTTTGAATAACCATGTTGTGTTACAGACAGACTACTCACCACAACCATAGTTGTCCAGATATCCATTTTTAAACTTATAACTATGTAACAAACGGTCAAACTAGTTTATTGTAAAAAAGTCAATGAACATGGTCTTTATTACACCAAAATGCGTCTAATGAAATGAACGCCTATTGTGGAAAATACAATTTATTTACTACCCATCAACTTTTTATATGGGTTAGGTTAGAAGTGCAGAAAATATGCCGGTGCAATGCGTGAGTTTCCTTACCAGAATCAGTTTATTTTTGTTTGTCTGAGTCTCTTGCATGGTGAACATATAAATCTAAATCTAACCTACAAATCTAAATGGTCTAATTCTGTACATGTTTGATATGTAGATCAAACTTACTTTTTTAAGTGTTCTCATCTTTGAAAAGAATTTCATCAGTATAACAAATTTTTTTATTTTATTTTCTGGGTTTAAGGCTTTTTGACGTTTAAAAAAAAAATTATGAAGGAAGGTTTCTTTTTAAATATTATGCAGGGCGGGCGACCAAGACCTAAATGCCTGGGTAGACTCGTACCCCATCCCTAAAAGGTCCAGGACTTAGTCGGCTCACGTGTCCTGCATACCAGGTTTCTTGTTAGTTCAGGCCACATTTTGTATGTCTCCCAAAAATTCAATTAACTTAAAACATTATATACTTACTTTAAGTTTTCATAAAGAAAAATGTCTATAAACACATCTATAAAATATCAAATTGTAATATTTTATCAAAGTTGGCATCAATTTACTTCATAACCTTGGCAAATTTCAAATGAACAAATAGAATGTTTATTCAGTTGTAACATCTGGAATAGCCCAATTATTTATGTACATTCAAGTGTTGTTACTTTCTGATATAAATCCTTTTGTTTAAAAATATCCTATTTGAAATTTTTAAAATGCAATTTTATTAAATTCTTCTAAACATTTTAAATTTTTAAAATTAGTTAAACATTAGTATATTGCAGTGAATTAGCCCTACAACAATATTTACCAAAATTAATCACTTACTTCTGGACACAAAAAAATAACTTGAATCAAATGGTTTTGGCTAATTAACATTAAATAATTTATACACTTATATAAAAGGGATAGGGAGCAATTTAAAGAATCATTTTTCAAGAGACCTGTTTGTTAATAATTGATGCTGACATAATTATAGGTAGTTCAACTTTTAAAAAGATAAAGAGGGCCTGGACCTTCTTGTGAGCATTCTCAACATGACTCACAAGAATGACACAATTATGCAGAAAACAAACTGAAGATGATCTCAATAAAGATTGAAACGTTGGCACGATAAAGAAAATAAACCTACATTACACCAGACCGCATCTGTATAATATATATATTATTCGTAATGAGTATGAAAATTGTTCAGAATCATAGAATGTTTTTTTTGTATTACTGTTGATGCATTACTTAAGTAATTATATGATGATAATCACTGCACACTAATAACTGTGAATTGTTTGAGATACAAGTCTTTTAACTTTATAATCTTTTACAGTAATAATAATCTTTATTTACAGCATGCAATGCCATTCACAAGATACATTTGTATAACATTGTATTACATACTTGCTTATGCAGCTTTTTCTTAAACACATGAATCAAGATGCAACATAGGTCCACTTGCAAAGAATTTACAAAATGACACATTCTCATAATTGGTGTTGATTGCAAATAGTTAGTTCGACAGAAGGGGATATAGAACAGATTTTGATATCTAGTTACCCTTTGTGGAACATTGAACATTATTTTCGATAATATTTCAAGACATACTATTGTGTAATTTAGCAATTTAAATAAAAATAAAGCATCATTTATATCTCGTCTACATTTCAGGGATTCTAGAGCAACCATATCTTTTACATTATCATAAATAACAATTTCTAAATTTATTTTGATTTTATAGGCAAGATATCTTAAAAATTTGTTTTGTACTCTTTCAGTTTTATCAATATATATCTTATAGTATGGTGACCAGAATGTTTCATTGAACTCAAGAATGGAAAAAAATCGGAAAGCCATTTTAACATTGTACCATGTATGCCTACTGCTGTACCTCGTGATTAACTTTGTCAAATGACTTGCTAAATTCTGTAAAGATTACACCATTTGGCAACTATCTTTGAATGCATCAAGTATGTCCTGTTGGAAGCACAGTAGATTGGTTAAGTGGACTTATGTTTAACGAATCCATGATGCTGGTCTATAATAATGCAATACTTTTGAACAATGGATTTATTTTATTATAAACTATATTTTCAAATAATTTAGGTATCACAGATAATTTGCTTATAGGCCTATAATTAGTTATAAGTTTTCTATCTCCATTTTTATGGACTGGTACAATTTAACTAGTTTTCCATTGCAAAGGGAACATTCCTGTATTTAATGACAGACTAAATAATAGGTATTGTAGGGGGTAGGTTAGGACAAATCTGCATTTGTTTAATATAATTGATGGAATACCATCAGGCCCTTTATTTTTGCTCTGTCCCAGGTGATTCAATGCCTGAAATACTTCCTGTATACTAATTTCAATAAAGTAAAGGTTAACTGTCATTTTGGGCACAAACGCAGGCAATGCCCCCTCAGCAGTTGTGGAGTAAACTGACCCAAAGTGTTTTGCAAAACTGTTAGCAATATATTGCGGTTGAATTTAAGTTACCCCTCTAAAAGGCATAACAGAGGGAAGACTATTTTAGGATGACTACATTTTTTATCACGAACATAAAAAAGTTTCTTGGGTTTTCTTTCAAATCATTTTGAATCCCACTTATGTAGTTGGCATAATAACGCTTCAAGTTTTTGACAATGTGCACATAGTCATGAGAATTTGTTATAATCATCATTTAACCTTGTTATTTTATAATGTTTACATGCAATTTTCTTTTTAAATATTAATGACTTTAATTCGCTGCTAAAGTATTTTGGAAATTTTGGATTTGATAGTTTTTTTACAGGAACATAAATGCTAAATAAAATATTATAAAACTCTGATACCGACTGGAAAATGTCACCCTGATTTAGTGCCATTTCCCAGTAGACCAATGCAAAATGGCTTATTAAATAGCTGAAAGTAGTATTATAAAAATTATAATAAAAATAACTAAATTTCATTGGGTCACTAGATGGTACATCCACTAATTCAATCTGAAGAGGTGGGTGATGTACATCACAAGGTAATATAACCTCATCTGCTCATCCAACATAGACGTTGTTGGTGGACACAAATACTAGGTCTAGTATATGTCCACACACTGGTTTTTTATTATCATTCTAGGGTCTTGCAGTTAGGTTCTTAGTCACCCGTTACGATTTGAGGTTGGAATTCTGTGCCGCTTCTTTGGCTTATCTATTCACATGATGTGCTTTGTAGCAGATAATCAGTTATTGTTGGTTTGATTTTCTTTAAGATTATCTATGATACCTAGCATTAGTGGGTTCTGGTGTGAGTCGGTTGCTTGATGGCCGTTGGGATTTTTAGGCCTACGCTTGTTGAAGATTTGGTTGGATGTCTTGTGAAGATGGAATGCTTCGAGTATAGTCATGCTTCATACTGTATAGATTGAAGATGGTAGTGTAGCTTAATTTTTTACTTGTCTGATAGGTTTGTGGTATCGATTTAGTAAAAAAGGTAAAAAGCGATCTACAACCTTTTCCCCTCAGGTTTTTAAACTGGTATGGTAATTTAACAATTTGTACTATCTTGATTATTTCTAACCACCCTTTGTCAACGTAATTCCACGGTCAGAAAACAAACTGACCAATGTTTGACGGCAGGTGATTGTTGCGAGAAAGAAAGTCGTAGTCGTAAGTTAATCCTTTTAAATAACTGAAATTATAAAATTTCTTGAAAACTAATAATGAACTAAAACTAAATTTATTATTACAGAAAAAGCTTTCGTGAAGTCAACAACAAATTGAGGGCTGATATGATCTCTGCTGTTGTGAACCCTCATAAAAATATGTAGGGGTGCACACTCACAGTTGGTGTAATAAAACTATTAAGAAAAGATACTTTTTGTTAAAAAAATTATATATTTATCAATATGTAGAACAAATAAAAATATATATTTTTGTACAAAATGTTTAGCTTATCTTAATATTACAAAAAAAAAGGTTCGACCTCATTGCGTTGTACAAGGCCATGTCAGTGAACAGGAATATGTTTTTTAAGTAAATAATTATTATTCATACCATGTGTTTTCACACTTGGTCCGATATAGTATAAAAATGCCTCCTGATATATGAAAGTAGCAATTGTGGAGGAATCTGCCAAAATGAAAGGTCTTCTCCTTGTTTTCGCTGTCTTAGCAACCAGTTGCTATGCTTCTGTGGTGAGAATTATTTATGTATAAAGTTTTTTTATGTAAAGATTTATAATTAGACACTCAGAGGATAAATACTTATCGTATTATTACGTAGAACTATTTTATTATATATTCATTGTTGTAAAAAAAATAATTAAATGATATTTTATTGACATGCGGATGCACAAATTTGCTAAGGCGAATATTGTAACATTGAAGATTCTATTAAGATAGGTATTTTCAACAAGAAAGCGAATTTAGCATTAGTAAAACCATTTTTCATATAGTCTTCTATGAAAGATCCCTCTATAAAAATAGATTATGTTCAAAGGTATTAAATAAATTTTACCCTATTTTAAATGGCATATTTTATTTTAGATTGATAAGCAGTTTTCCGATAAAATTAGACAAGGATGGGAGAACTGTAAGAATTTAGTCGACGATGGTAAGGCAGAGAGGTAAATATGATTATTTAAACAAAAATTAAAAACAAAATCTTTCTAGCAACATACACCAAATTAACAAAAAAGTGGGAGCCTGCCACAACATATAATGAAAAAGTAAATGATCTTTTTTCACTTAACGTACCTATGAACATTGTTAAAACTCTGAATTAATCTGTATTTTTCAGTGCTTTAAAAAATGCACCTCAGAACAGATGGGATATGTAAGTAATATATTTATTTAAAGAATTAAAGATAGCAACGTTAACGTATTATTTCAATACTTAGATGACCGGAAATACCGTGAATAAGCAAACACTATTGGAGGCTAATCCGCATCAATGGCCCGACACTCAGGAGCTCCCACTGGCCAATGAAATGATAAATGAATGCTACGACGAAACTGGTATGGAAATTTAAAAATTATGTAATATCTTGATTATTTCTAACCGCTCTCTGTCAACGTAATTCCAGTCGGAAAACAAACTGACCCATGCTTGACGGCAGGTGATTTTTGCGATTGTATGAGAAAGAAGATCACAGAAGTAAGTTAATCCTTTTAAATAACTGCAATTATAAAATTTCTTGAAAACTAATAGTGAACTAAAACTAAATTTATTATTACAGAAAAAGCTTTCGTTCCCACAAATGTACCCAGAGGCCTAAGCTGTATTTTTAATTATTATTTTTCACTGTTTGCCCATCTAGTGACATTTAATAAAGTCTTTGTGTTTCATTGCAAACGAATGAGTTTTATTCTATCCTCTACTAATAACTACTTTCCTGTGGATAAAAGAATGGAGCAAACTCAATTTTAATTGTTGTTTCAAGAAAACACTTTAATCTTTTAGACTTTAATTCCACCTAATACCCATCCAAAGGTAAATATAAATAACTACAATTCGTTATTCAATTTCAATTACTATTTTGAAAGAAAAGAAAGTGAAATACGATGGTTTACTGTTCGGAAAAAGTCTGAAATAATGACGTTTTGTTATCAATGTGGACGAAATGCATGTGGTGCGAAGCGTTTGTATCCCATCGACCTCTGGCAGAGATTTCCGCCTGATTTTAGAAAATCTTGAGTGCGTTGGAGCTTTTCGCTCTCTCCCCCTTTCTTTCCATTTTATTACCTTTTTTCGTGAAATTGAAACTTGAAAATCTAAAGAAGAAAAAGGGGAGGGGTTTATACTTCGGCGGCTACGTTGTTCTATTTCCCGGTCATGACGACTTCAGAATACAGGAAAAGTCAAAAATGTAAAGACTTCTGGGAAAATGATAAAACTTAGTTCAGAGTAGAATAAAAATTTTAGATCCATAAACATTTCATAACTAACATAAAAAAGTCTGTATTACTTTTATTTACTACTACATACAAATCACCAAAAATAGTTATAGACACACAAAAATGTGCCAGTGTATTAGAGTTAGTTTCCTTATATTAAATTTGTGATTGTTTTTTGTTACAGCAGACTGACAAAATGCAAACATCAACGTAATTGAACTAGTGTAAAATAAATTTCTCAATTAACGTAAGTTTTTGAGTAAGAACAGTCGTTTTGCATTTTTTAGTAACTGTTTTTTTTCTAAAACTAAATTTTTAAGTAACTCATAATTGATTAAAAATGTTTGATAGATCAACTGTTCTAAGGGAGAAAGCTCTTTAAAGCTCCCTTTTTCGCACCCTCACTCTCTTTTTCTATTTTCCTTTTTCCTTTTTTTCCATCCTATTTTGGTTTCCATAAGTTCTAGTTAAGCACTTGGGCTGCGTTTTTCTATTTCACGGGCTTGATGCCTATAAAATGCAGGAAAAATAAAAAAATATAAACACTTTTGGGAAAAAGACGAAATTCGTCTAAAATAGGATGCAAATGTCAAATTAAAGTTATGGAATAACCAAACGCCCCTCAGACCAACATGTCAGCAATGTCTGGCGGGTCCAGACGGCCATTCATCATCTTAAGGAGCACCTCTTAAAACTAGTATAAAAACCCTAATCCCCAAATATCCTTGCCTTACTCTTACGATAGCCTTCTGCCTGTCACTCTGTCGGTTTAAAATTAAACATTGTACAGTTTTAACAATAAAGTTTCTTCTTTTTAAAAAAAGAGTCTTCTTCGAGCGATTACTTAACTTTAATAAAACATTTCATTAAAAAAACCTGCTCATTTTTAGTGTACATTTTATTTACTACATAGAAATCACCAAAAAATACTAAAATGATTACGGACTCAGAAAAATATGCCAGTTTTTCTTAATTTGAAACATATTTTTTCTGTGTTGGCAGTAACAGTTTCTTTTTAGAAACCTATCATCATGCCAGCTGTATAAAAATTTAATAAAGAATTTAGGATTATTTAGGATCGTGGGCATTGTATAGCAGTTCACCACATATTAAACTTGTGAATGTTGAAATGTTACAGCAGACTGAGAAACGCAAGCACCAGCGTGATGGGAGGAAGTGTGATGTTAAATTCTGGTAGAGTTTTCGACTTTGGATTTTCCCAAACGGCTTCCTGTACGCATTTGTTGAACGTCAAAACTGTTGCGCACGTCTCCTTCTCTGCGTTTGCTGTTAAAATATAAAAGTTGAGGCTTATTACCCATTCAACGATCCCTATGTGGATATGTGCTGAATTACCCTCGGTACCACAACGAAGTACGACCACTTTGCCTTTCCCGACCGCAACTGAGTCGGTTGAGTGCTTCTGAACGATATCCATTATCCGATCAGGTGAAATTTTACCATTGGCATCAAGCTGAAGAACAAGTTATTCAAGTCTCTTAGGAAAAACAAAGCATAACGACTTACCACTCCAATTGATTTCATGAGACAAGAAGAGAAGCACTAAAAAGTAAATAAAAATATATTTAAGAGTTAAATTTATTTATTTTATGTATCCTACCTCACGTTCATCGTATAAACCAAAACTTCTCATAAATCCGGAGCGTAATGGTTTACCTGCTAAATAGAACAATGTTAAAAATGCCATTGTGTTGTAAAACCTGTCAGACAGTAAAAAATCAAGCTACACTACCAGCTTCAATCTATACAGTATGAAGCATGACTATACTTGAAGCATTCAAGGCTACATCCAACCAAGAAGCTGTTATCATCTCCGACAAGCGTAGTGTAATAACGGCCATCAAGCAACCGACACACCACCACAACCCGCTAATGCTAGGTATCTTACATAATCTTAAAGAAAATCAAACTAACATCCATTTTATCTGCCAAAAAGCACATAATGTGAATAGATAAGCCAAAGAAGTGGCACAGAATTCAAACCTCAAATCGTAACGGGCGACTATGAACCTAACTCCAAGACACTGGTATCCTAAAGTTAAAAGACCGAGATAGTTCATTAACAACAATATGCAGGTTGCATTTCACGTTCAAACACCTACAATACAACCTTTCCAAAATTGGGTTCTCAATTCGCAGTATAAGTGTGGAGTGATCATCATTATATTATTATTATTATAAATAATTAATCCAATGTTTGAAATTTAAAAATGTATGTTAAGATTTAAATGAACACGCTTTACATGTCGAGTAATGTTGCATTTAGTTCTTGAATTTTGGAAATTGTTTTTAAAATTCATACCTACTTTCAGTTTCAGTCGCACATCTCAAAAATTCTGTTATAGGGCCGGCAACCACCTAAAAATTGAACCTTGTCAGTGCTTGTTACTGGTTTCTAGTTGTGTACACACGAACTTGACTTGCAAACCCTACTAAAATAACCAACTTAAGCGAATCCATTGCGGAATGGATCTGAAGTGGAAATACTTTCCACTCCGGTTGTGAATAAATAGACAACAAACTGTGTCAAGTTCGTAATATAAATTTTTTTAAACTAGCTATTGACCACAAAAGTAATAACAACGAGAATAAAGCCATTTCCAAATTATGAAAGGGAGCGCTCATCCGTCGAAATACGCGTGAGGTATACAAATCCATCATTTCAGAATTTCCAGTTAATTATTTTAATGAACGCTACTTAACTATGGGTGAAGGCTGTTTGAAAAGGAAGTTGTAAAAAACTCACAATGATTGTAATTTTTTCCGGTTTGGCTCCGAAAAAAGAAGGAAACAAATGTAGCATCACAAGTGCAATAATTAATTCAAAGTTTTTTTATAACGATATTTTTTGAAATCGTAAACAATAGGTTTGTAACCATGATGACCAACGATGACCAAACAATTTAACTTGTGTCCATTTTTTTTAACTAGTGCTATCTGTTGAGCAAAAGTAGACCTATGAATTTGGTCGTTATGTTTTTATTTATTTTTTTAAAATATTTTTTCTTCTAAATTCTTAAATATTTTATAATTGTTAAAATGCATTATGTGCTGAGTTACCTTCCGTACAATTCCAGAATACCACCATCCAACCAGGACAGTCCCTCCTGGTCGATTAATGAGATAAAAACTGCGATTGACTCCCTTAAAAAGAAGAAGGTCCCGGGTTATGACTTAATTGAAAATGAAATGATAATGTAAAGTGAATCAATCTTCCCAATACTAACCCGCCTCTTCAACGAATGCTTAAGACTCGGCTACTTTCCGAAATTGTGGAAAAAAGCACGCATCAAAATGCTACTCAAGCCGGGAATCAAACNAGGGAAGGCTAACCCACGAGTTTCTACCCAGTATTGAGGACCGAGCAAAAGCAAAGTGGTTTCAACCAGATTACTGGATCACACAAATATTGACAGGTCACGGAAATTTCAACGCTTATTTGCACCGATTCCGTAGAGCTAACAGTCCACTGTGTCCCGACTGCGGAGTTAATGACAGTGTCCAACACAGACTGCCCCCTCCTTGAGAGTGTGAGGGAACCACTAAAGCTCTTCTTCCGCCACACTTGGCCACCGACCCTCAACGAACTGATTAAAGAAAAGAGGACGTTTGACGTCCTCAAGCCTGTTAGCCGAGCTATAGTGGACAAAGTACCTGATTAGTTTGTTCTTTCTTTTTCTTCCTATGTTACTTGTTAATCTTAGCGTTTCCCTGAACTTTTAATTCCGGGCTGGTTACTCCTTGTATCCATAATTGTTATTTATTTATTAAAATATTGTATTTATTAGAAAGTGTGTTCAAAAGGATTAACCAGCAAGGGGGAGACCTATTAGAGTAGATAAATTAATAATAATAAAAAAAAATTTCCCTTCTTCCGGGAAGGGCAAGGTCGAAGGAAGACGTTAAGCACAATAAGATCCCCTAAACTTGCATCCCATTTGAATTAGTTTAGTGGCCGTGGTCCGCCGGTATGGGGTCTCCCTTAGGTACGGCGGGGAGGTGGATGGGAAAAAGAAAACAAAAAAGAGTTACCTTCCGTACCACAACGAAATACGACCACTTTGCCTTTCCCGACCGCAACTGAGTCCGTTGAGTACTTCTGAACGATAACCGTTATCCGATTAGGTGAAATTTTACCGTTGGCATTAAGCTGGAGAACAAGTCTTAGGAAAAACAAAGCGTAACGGCTTACCGTTCTTATTGATTTCATGAGACAAGAAGAGAAGCACTAAAAAGTAAATAAAAATATAGTTACGCGTTAAATTTATTTAATATTACATATTCTCCCTCATGTTCATCATATAAATCAAAACTTCTCATAAATTCAGAGCGTAACGGTTTACCTAGTAAATAGAACAATGTTAAAAATGCCATTGTCGTGTTGTAAAACCTTTCCGAAATTGTTTGTAAAATGCATTCCTAGAATACAGTCCTTCCAATCCAATGTCCTCAGAATCACAGTCAATGTTCCTTACTACGACTCCAACCCTTTCACAACGATCTCAAAATGCCTTTCGTGAAAAAAATAATTCTCAAAACATTTTCAACTTTCCACACTAAACCCTCCTCTCACTCCAGTCGAGTTACCCAATCCTTATTATAGTGTCTATATTATTATATAGACAATAGAATATAAACCCACCAGACGACTAAAGAGTTGGCCTCGCTGCCTACTGAACGAATAGCCGGGAACACACTCGATGCAACGCTACCCGATACTACCCGACGCAAGTCCAATTTTCCATAAGATTGTATTACTCCCGTGCACATCTGCACGATCGCATCGAGTACAGTCGAAGACAAAAGAACCAAACACTCATATTTTTATTCAAACTACATGTACTATTGTCGGTATATAAATTACAACATACTTATTTTATTATAAACCAAATTAACCGTGCCACATCAGCAGCGACACATACAGGATTGGCTCCCCCCCATAGTGATGTCGTGGTAGGGGACGTAGGAAAAGGGACGATAAGAGCCAGGTGTATGCAATACGGCAAGCAGGTCGGGTCCCCTAGTAAATTGGTAAAACGATAGTTTTATAAGGAGCCAGTAAGCTCAAACAAAAACATTATTATTTCTTTTGATTTCGTGTTGGGTAATTTTATGAGCGAATGGTGTTGGTAGGGTGTAGGTATATATGTATTGTAAATAGCTTTTAAGGTTCATTTATTAATAAACTCTTCTATTAAAAAAAAGGAAGTTTTGTCTTCCCCTTTAGGGTCTATTCCCTTTTCTTTCTCCTTTTATTGAAGAGGGGCGCTTCTCACCATCACTCCGGCTTATTTACCCCTATAGGTGGTAAGTGACCCTCGCAACAGAGATCAAAAATTCATTAGTTTTTATTTAAAAAATATATTAATTTTAATGGTTTGGTAGAAAATTGATCAAAACACCGGAATACCATTTTTCATATATAAGGAATTTAAGTAACAATTTACTACCGCTTTACTCATAAAATTTACCTAACAATTTATTTCATGGTTTTGCTCATAAAATTACACCATTTTCGTCGAGTAGCTTCAGAACAGGACACTCATATTTTTTTGTAGTTTATTTCAAACTAAGTATATGTAATTTTAATTACAACATTCTTATTTTAATATAAACCAAATTAAACCAGATCAAAAATTTATGAGTTTTTATAAAAATTATTTAATGATGATGTTAGGCAGAAAATTTATCAAAACACTGGAGTAACTTTACTAAAAACAATTACATTTAACTAACAATTTATTTCATGGTTTTGCTCATAAAATTACACCATTTTCGTCGAGTAGCTTCAGAACAGGGCACTCATATTTTTTTGTAGTTTATTTCAAACTAAGTATATGTAATTTTAATTACAACATTCTTATTTTAATATAAACCAAATTAAACGAGATCAACAATTTATGAGTTTTTATAAAAATTATTTAATTGTGATGGTTAGGCAGAAAATTTTGTCAAACACCGGAATAACTTTACTTAAAACAATTACATTTAACTAACAATTTATTACATGGTTGTGCTCATAAAATTTAACTAACAATTTATTACATGGTTTTGCTCCAAATAATGCATTAAGAACAAAAGAGGGGTTGAGATTGTTATACTGATTTGTGATACACGCTCTACATGGCTGATTCACGTTGACTGTACATGGCGTTGTATAGATATGCAAACTCTACCAAAACGTGGCAAGGCGTCGGGTAGCATCGAGTAAGTGTGTTCCTGGTTTAAATATTATGTGACAATCCGCATGTGCTGCTCTCGGGAAGCCATTGTTAAACCCTTCTATTGATATCCAGGGACTTGGCGGATTTGCGGCTGAAACGCGCGGTTCCTGTTCATGTGATATTGCGATAAAGAACGAAATGGTTCGTAAATTTTCGTAGTTGATGATTCTGTATTGAATGTCTCGATTTTACTTGGGCGAGAATTTTTGGCTTAATCCTCGCATAGTGCTGGGAGAACTACAGTGGTCGTTAACTCCTTTCACGACCAATTTTAAATGCCAATTGTAATTATTATTATATTCATGCCAATTGTAAATTTAACTTATTACATGTTGTAAATAATGTTACAGATGATAATAAATATATTTAAAAAATATATAATAAATATATTTACTGTGTTTTGTGAGTGAAGTAAGTGGTTTCTGCTATATTTTGTATGGCCGTGTCATTTATTTTAATTGCTGCTTGAATAAAATAATGTATTTAAACAGTTAAATCCAATAAATTGAGTTACTTTACTAACTGAAGCACCAAAATTGAAGTATTCTTGTGCATTCTTTAACCCTCCTCTACTACGGTGGGTCGGATCCGACCCAGGTGAAATTTTTGTGACGCGCCACGGCCAACATATAGTGCGCTTCAATCTGTCATCCATGGGCACCTTCTCCTCCGTCGTGCGGAAGCTGTTGGCTCGATCACATCGATAAGGTACGCACCGTTCTTGATTTATCCCCCCTTTGGTCGGATCAGACCCAACTGCAGTAGAAATGTGTAGGTCAGATTCGACCCCACCGTAGTATAACTTATGCTCTAATAATTTTTATTATTTAACCCTTTTTGCATTATACATATGCATACACACCGAAAAAAAATATACTGATATATTCTATGCACTACGATGGGGAAGTAGACGAGGTCTCGAAATTACCCGAAATAATTTTATTTTAAAACATGACTAAAGGAGGAGTAGACGTTTTGGACAAATTGTGCCATTCTTATTCCACTAAGAGAAAAAGCAATCGATGGCCGATGCGTTATTTTTATGGCATCCTCGATACCGCCGGGATAAACAGCCTTGTACTGTACAAATGGAACGTCAACAACGAGCCAACACGATCCGGTCGACGATTCTCAAAAATTTAGCCATTGCGTTGGCTAAGCCGTGGATGGAGAAAAGATTTGCTAACTAACGTCTTCCGAGGAATCTAACAGCGATTATAGGTGAACAGCTAGGCAAGAAGCTAAAAAGACTGGCAGCATCTTCGTACGACTAAAAAAAGGAGACGGTGCGACTCTGCGTCATCGACAGGAAAGAAAACTCATATTATGCATACTGTGAAAAATCGATGTGTGGGGAACATAAAGTTTTGATTTGTCTCGACTGTTCCTCGACCTACGATGAAGAAATTTTGGTTATGATTATTTTCTTGTCATTTCATGTTAATTTTTTTATATTTTAATATGACGTTCAAATTATTTATTTTCTCACAGAATTGTGATATTTTGAGTCTGAAACTGTAAGACTGATGATTTACCATAACTGAGCTTACCTGAACCGATTTTAATCTGTAAATAGAAATTATGTTTGATTGAAATGTTGTTAATTTTGTTATCTTCTTCCTTAACAGAAACATCAGTATCCATCTTCTATGTGTTCAAAGCGTTTTTGGGGAAAAAATGGTTCAAAAATATGGGGGTCAGATCCGACCCAACAGTAGTATATGTGTGACCTAATACCACCGTAGTAGAGGAGGGTTAAATAAAATTTTCATGTTTTTCTCTTTTGTTCAAGAATACTATCGATTGTTTTCAAAGTTATTATTTACACAATTATCATATAATTTATTGTACTTGGAAAGCAAACATGGTTTACCCCATGGGATCATAAACTCGACCGGTCGCGTGATTAAATTATCTACAAGTTAAATAATACGGAGTTCATACGAGTTCCACGTGTCAGGCTTTTATTTAAAACAATAATGTCGCAGAATGCTGTCGGTTATTTGCAAATTTTTAAAAAGCCGTTTTGTTATACTAAAACGGAAGACGAAGCGTGGGGCGAGAGTAAAGTTCACAAGGTTATCAAAAAAGCAATATTTATCCCCAAATTGTTCGGCTGTTTCCCCCTTGATTTAAAGAACAATGAATTCGTTGTTTCTAAAAAGTTAGTATTATATATTTTTTTGATGTTTCCGACGCTTTGGACAGGGGTGATTTACAATGTTTCAAATCGGCTGGACACCAACGATGCCATGTGGCTCGATTTCTTGCTTTTCGGGATTCGCATGTTCGGAGTTTTATTTGCTGAAACGATTTCAATAATTTGGTTCATTATATATAAAAAGCACTTCACCAGTTTCCTAATCGAATTGCAAAAACTTGAATTTATTTTTAAAAAGCTCGGCTTTCCCTGCAATATGACGATGTCTTACAGAAAGCACGTGGTAAGCTTTCTCCTAATAACAGTCGCATTTATCGCCAACTTTTTGATTAGGAGAATCACGGTTTTCCGTACGGTACAACAAATATTCTCTTACGTAGTACCGTTCATTCTGTCAATAATGGTATTGATGTTTAATGAATTCGTCGAAATACTCACCTACCAATTCAAAACAATGTGCACTATCGTATCGTCGTCGAAAGAATGCGTATACCCGCACAGGAAAATAGAAATTCTCCTACAGTGCCAGGACGTTTTGGAATCTGCAGCGACCCAGTTAAACAAGGCCTTCTCTCCTTTGCTACTGCTATTGATCGTCATCACTTTCGCGAGGGCTACGCTCGGAATTTACAATTTTCTCATTATAAGCGGAAGCAAAGTCATGGACATAACGGGGACGTCTTTTATGATCATAGTGTACATTGCAATGACAATAAATATGATAAACATCATCACAAAGCTTTTGCGAGAGGTGAGCTTTACACAATTATACAAACAAAATTTTCCATGTCAGGCGTTACGAGCATGATAATTTCAAACGTAGTGCATGCAATCGTGAACACGAAATATAGACAGTAGAGGTTACATACACGTATTTTAATCCCTTTTGTTTTATTTTACGCTTTATATAATTAAGCAGCCACTACATGAAGATGCACTCCAAACTGAGTCAAAATAACTGTCTACTTTCCTATTCAGTCATCGCAATATGCAATAAAGCACAGTCATGTTATGAATTATAAATTATACTTTATTTCAACTCTTTTTAGAAATGGTTTACATCAACAGAGATAAACACAGCATCAATTACTGAACAGATACATGTAAACTCAGTCGCAGCTACGCCAATATCATTAATCAAATTCAATATAGATAACATACATATATCATCACATCACATTCCAAACATCAAACATTTTTCACATAGTCTAATTTTTCAACAATTTAGCTTTCCTTTTCCTATTTATCAATCCGACTCCGGATAAAAATTTTGAGATGAGAGTCGTGCTCAAGGCCAACCTTCAAAAATTGTTAACATAAACAAAAACCAAAGTTACCTAATTATTCTACATGTCTATTTTATTACAATCAAGACCCCTAGATGGTGTATTTTGGCGTAATAATGTAGAAATCTCCTTCCTTTTAAGTGGAATAAATTTTAGTTCAAAGAAATATTTTTCCATTGATCGGTTAGTAAACATATTTACTTTTCAAAGCGTAGCTTGTTATAGGATTTTTTTTATTTTATTTTATTATTATTATTATCATTATCATTATTTTTTGGCTTTTCATAACGACGGAGTTTTACTAATAATTGGAAGATTGATTTTTGTTAAATAAGGTGTTGAAGGATTTTCGTTTTGATGAAATAAATTTCTGTTAGAAAATTTTTTAAAAGTGATGAAGTCTATTTTTCATTTTTTGAGCACCCATTTGAACATAATTTATCGAAATTTAGTCATGACTAACTATATTGTGACTAAATAAGTCATGCCTCGTATTTAATTACTAGTCATGACTAATTTAGTCATCAATCACATATGGCGACTAATGACTAAATTAATCACTTACTACCAATCATGACTAACGGTCTGAGTGATCAATCATTAATCATTAGACATGACTAATTTTTGCCCAACACTGCACTGAGCTATGAGAAATCTTTGAATTCTTTGAAATCTTTAGAGCAGCGGTGCAAACTAACCATTTGATAGCCCTAAGTAATTAGCTGCTGTATAATAAGTGTCCGCGTTGCCAGAAAATTTAGAAAATAATAAAAGAAAGTTGATAAATCGGGAACTTTAATCTATTTGATTTGAGAAGGCTCCTCATCCAACATACATAACGGACATCGCTCTTCTGGATTACCATGTATTCCGGTTGATCGTTTACTTTATTTAATAACAAGTGCGGACAAATAAAAATTTGTTGTATTGAAAACAACAGGCTAGTTTATATCACACTCTATTTTAAAAGGCATAATTTTTATATATTCGAAATTACAGAAATTAGTTTTGTTCAAACTATTAAAAAAAAAAAAAAAAAAAAAAATTGGGCAGCCTTTTTACATTTCCTATGACTATTTTTCATTTCATTCTATCACCAAAAGGTAGATCGGGGATGAGGTCAGGAAGACAGAAACAACATTTATTTTCTTCTCGAGCTTCGGCAAAATATATTGCCTTCATCAGACTTCGAAAAAATCGTTATACTATATGAACTGGTACATGTGTGATATATTCTGCCGAAAGCGCGACAAGAAAATAAGTGGTGTTTCTGTCTTCCTAGCCTCATCCCCGATCTACCTTTTGGAAAGAAATGTATTTAAACTCAGAAGGCTGATCAATCACCAAAAAAAAAAATTAATTTCCTATGAACTTTATTGCAATATTTGAAATGTTTACTTGAAAATATTGCTTAAATCAAAAGGTCAACCTACTTTATACTTTATAATTTCAATGTACAAATTACAACCTCCTAGATCTATCTATTAACCTGTTTGAAAAACGGAATAAACAATTTGAAAATAACGTTCTCGTAAAAGTTTTATTTTTGATTTGAATGATGTGTAAATAGGTTTATACAAAATCATAAAGTACGAATTACTATTTACGTACTTAAACAGAAATATTTATTACCACAAGCGTTGAATAGTTTTTTAATTATCACGCGATTCATGTCGAACGTGGATTTAGTTCTTGGCCGAAAGGATGAATTTACGTCGATACCACTCAACTCTCCGCCAAGTCAAAGTGTCTAACAATAAGTTAAATACAAGAAATTATTTACGAAATGGGATGTTTTTCGGCCGAATATTGGGAATCTACCCTTTTCAATTTGAAAACGGCAGCATTCGCGTTTCCAAGATTTACATCACATGGAGCTTCATCCTGGGAGCGATCGGTTGGGCGAATTCTATTTACGTTTCATCAACTCTTAGTTCTTTCAAATATATTCCTTTTATTATGAAACTTTTGGGTGGAGATTTGCTACTGATCGGAACTCACTGGACGATTTTGGTGTTTCTTATGAACCGGAGAGTTATGAACAAAGTCGTCCGAAATTTGGAAAAATTGGAAATAACGCTGGCTTCCCACGGAATCCCATGGTCCTGCAAAAAATCGTATATATCGTTGTTTATTCATGCCATGTTTTCGTCAATTACACTATTGTTTCGTATTTTTATGAGGATTGCCCGTAGGGATTTGAACGCGATGACATCCGTCCGTGTCTTTGTAACCGAGTTCACATTTTTCACCCTGATGTTTCTTGAATGGATTTTCGCCGATTACCTTAGGCTGGTGATTTATCAATTTAAAACAATGAATGATCGTTTAAGGCAGCAAGGAATAGGAACCAGCTTGATTGAATGTTTCCTTAAATGTCGGCACGTCGTCGGTGAAATATGCAACAATCTGAACACACTATTTAATCCAACGATAATATTTCTTTTGGGGCTTGTTTTTGGAAGAAACACTATAACCGTGTACAAACTTATTTCTGTTGACGAATCGGATGCCGCATTTCTTTATTTAATTTTTATTCTCAGGAATATATCCTCAGCGTATGAACTAAGCTTTTCAATAAACCGTCTCATAAAACAGGTTGGTGACTTAATAATGAATAATTTTTTTCTTAATAGGTACAAAATTCCCCTTTCCCCCGTCTAACTTTTACAACCTATACGGATTTCCCCTGTTTCCATTGATCTATCATAAATTTGTATATAATACAAAACGATATTTATATCATTAATTATAGTATAGCCGTTGGAATTTTGTTTGAGATAGTTTTGGGAAAAGGATTGTGAAGCAGTTCTGACTCCTTATCCAATCCGAGTAGGATGTTAATGCCTGTATTCCATTAATTATATATTAAATTTGACTGGCGTATAGTGATCGTTGGTTAATGATTATTTGGAGATCGTGAGATGCGGTCTGGTGTGACGTAGGTGTTAGAAAAACTATTTCTTTATCGGGCCAACTTTCTATCTTTATTGAGATCATCTTCAGGGCCTGGGATTTATAACCATTGTAAAATTATACATAATATAAATAATTTAACCATTGTTTATATATCCCAGCCCCTGAAGATGATCTCAATAAAGATCGAAACGATAAAGAAAATGTTTTTCTAAAACCTACGTCACACCAGACCGCATCTCACGATCTCCAAAATAATCATTAAATCCATTTACAGTTCGTGCTTCGTGGTCCGCTTGACCAATTAACTTTTTTCAATTAATTAATATTTAATCAATTTTATCTCAGCCAATACCTTTCATAAATATTAATCAATTGAAAAATAATCATTAAATTTAACTAATTATAAACATATAACTAGTACATACGATATTGAAACACCTCCATAATATTTATTTTTCATAAGTACTTAAATATTCCTCTACTGTGTGCCATGAAATACATTGCTCTAACTAATTATATATTAAATTTAAAAAAATTGTAAACATATAACTAGTACATATCATATGGAAACACTTCCATAACATTTAATTGTCATAAAAACTAAATCTTCCCCTCCTATATGGCAGGACATTGTTTTAATTAATTATATATGAAATTTAAAAAATTGTAAACATATTATTAGTTCATATGATATTGAAACACTTATTTAATATTTAATTGACATAAAAACTTAAGTCTTTTGACAAGGACAAAATAAATAAAAAATTGTTTTTGAAATAAATTAATTTAAGAGAAAAGCAAATGCAATTGCGTCTTTTCACTCTTAAAGCTGATGAAAACTGGAGTCGTAGTAAAATTCAATTTATTTTAACCACTTTAGCCTTTTGCGATTGAATCTGCATAAACAGACAAAAAAATTTCCTTTTTGTGACGATGTGTACCTAAAATTATATTTTACTAAATTTACATCAATTTATTGATTATACTGAGTTGAAACGAAAGTTACTCTCATTAATCTGAAATAAGAAACAAAAATTATTTATTATTTGTCACATCTACTAGAATGTCCTTCTCTAGTCAATACTGAATCCAATTGATTACAAATGTAAGGACCAACATTACTATAATAATACCTAAATTTGGTTTTAAATCTTCATTAAAATATCTTATTTAATTTTAACTGAAATGATTTCATATTAAAGAATGAATTTTCGTTTTAAATTTAATCCTTCTTTTGTTAAAATGAGTATAGAATTAATCATTTATTTATTTATTTAATTAAAATAGTCGTTTTATAACTCAATAAATATCTTAAACAAAAGACCATCGATTGAAAATAATTACAAAATAAGTAAATACAACAAGGAAAAAAGTAAATAATTCCAATTTTACCTTGATTTGTTCTTTCCTTCCTAAATTAAACAATATATTTTTATATACTTAATAGCAAAATACCTTCGCACAGAATGAACATTTTCAAGAATATTACGTAAGAAACATCCAAGTAAATAAGAAATAACAAGAAACAAGCGTAAAACAAAAGACCCGCGTTCGAATTCGAAAAAACACAATTAGCTCATTGGGATTATTTTGGTTTTTATGCCCCTAACTAGCGTGTATTGGGAGTAAATGAATTTATTGGCATGAGAGGTCCGATGGCGGAATATCGACTACTCCACTGCCCTACTTGTGTTAATGGTATGTGTGTTGAAAACAATAAATTTAAGAACGAGTCAGATTATACGAATTGAAAGCTGTTTAATTAGGAAATAATGTATTTAAGAATGAATGAGAGTGTGGATGAGTGATTTAGGGGCAGTTCTGGTTGGGGGCTGAAATGACCTAGCTGTTGATAGGCCGGCCTTGGCGGAAAGATGAGACCTTATGTCTAACCCCGGTCTGCCAACACCAGGATGAGTGATTTCAAGGCATTTATTGTAAATTACAAAAGCTGGATGTCGGCGGACTGCGAGAAGTGATAGGCTCAACTTTGTACAAGTGTACATATATATATACAGTGCGCATGTAGATTTGACCTCACATAAATCAGTAATTAGCTCATAGATACGAGTTAATTCGTAATACGAACAGTGATTATTTATTTATTCATTTAATGACATAATACATTTAACGAGAAGACATCATTGTTTTTATAATTACATTTCATGAAAACATTTTTTTAATTAACACAGTGAATTTAATGATTTAAAATGAAGTATACTTCACTAAAGCTCTCCGTGGCCATTTCATTTGTCGTCGAGAATCCAATCCGATTACACGACATTTGAAAAATGTTAAAAAGGAGGGAAAACTCATAAGGTGGGGTTGAGATGGGGAGTTGATGTCCGAGTGGATCGAGGTCACGAAAGCTCAGGTGGTAGAGCAGCGGCGTATCTAGCCGAAGGTCGTGGGTTCGAATCCCTCTCGTGCCATTAACTTTTTTTCATCTCAACTAAAAACCTTAGTTATTGGTAAAGTTCCACATATTCTTTATTTGCACCTTATGCATTATGCATTATATTTAACCTCTTAAATTCTCTTTATGTTGAAAAAAGAGAATGATATGGTAGAAATTATGAATAATGGAGTGAATGAGGTGTTCAATCCTTTTTAAAAAGAAGAGAATTACATGTTTCTACTAGTGCCCAAGTTTTGTTAAATTTATAGAATTCCAGTTTCAAGTTATATGTTTGTATTTCTTTATTGGCTGTTTACAGTCTGAAGCGTTTGACAAGGCGATTTATTCCCTCATTGTATTTGACGACACAAACACACATGCAACAAATGTAAGTGCGTAGTTTTCTCTCATAACCAATAATTATTGATAAAAATCAAACTAAAACAATTCCAACAGCCTAAGCTTTCACAATATCTAACAGGGAGGAAGAAAATCCGTTTCACAGCGTTCGACTTGTTTGAAATCAATTTCAGCGTTCTTGGCCAAGTATGACAACTATTTTTTGTTTCAACAATATTAATAAATCATAATTTTGTTTTAGATGGTGGCAACAGGCTTCACGTATCTTATCATTGTAGTCCAACTTGACGCTGGTAAATAATAAATTTATTTAACTAATAAAAGATATTCTATTGACACAATTTGTATTTTGATCATTAAAATTAAACAAAAAATTATATGAAGTTGTAAGCTTTATTGATATTTTGCATAATTTGGTAGCACATAAATAGGGATGTTTTCACTAAACATTGATATTTGTATTTTAATAAAGTACTTTCTTTATGAAAAAAGTTGTTAACCTACTCTAACTTGAAGTTTGTTGAATCTGATTTGTACGTACATTACTGTGAACAAAGTTAAAATAAAAGAACAGACTTTTTTAAACACACTTGCCTTACATTTGTGTACCCTCCCTCACCATGCAGAATATTACTATGTATACAATGGACCTTTTTCATGCATAAAACCCATCGTCAATTAATGGCATATAATGAACAACTTCTTCTGATAACATTATCTTCACTGTGCAGCTATTAGAGAACCCTCGATGATGATCAAGTTTGTGCGACCTTCCATGGAAATGCCTACCCAGACCATAACACTACCACCTCCATAGCTTCCCCGGAGAAAAAATGTTGCCGGCATATATCGCTCTCCGGTTCTTCCCCAAACCCTCTCTCGGCCGTCAGAAGAACTCAAACAAACTCATCCGAAAACAAAATTTTAGTCCCATCTTCCTCAGGCCAATTGATGTGAACTTAACTTAACCGGGCTATTCTGTGCCTTGTCAAAAGTTCTTGACATGAGGTAAGCCTTCTCTCACGTCTTACGTCGAAAGTCTTCGCCTTCAGTACGTAATATGACATTAACATTTCTAACTAGTTGAAGTCGCTGCTTGATCTCAACAGCGGTAGAATGTCGATTCCTGAATGCATTCGTAACACTAAAACGATCATATATGTGAAATGTGACACGATGGCGACCTGATCCATGCTTACTTGAGTAATCTCGGTAACGATGGAAGACCATCCGGACAGTTGTTCGAGTGTCCGAGTCCGCGTTGGGGCGAACCTGGAATTCAAGACCCGTGTGTGACGGTATCCCATATGAGATGCTTGTTGAACTTGTTCGACAACATGTGGAATTCGGGCTCGTACCTGTTGGCGAGAGGTGACCCATGTCTGGCTACGAGTTAAAGACCAATTTTGTTGACAATCTGCTTGAGTAAGGTCCTAGGGTCCATGGTGAACGGTCGACTGAATTGGAGGAAGGGATTTTACAGTCAGGATCAAGCGGAATTCCGTGTGCTCCGCTCCGCTGTGCATCATTCCTGTCTCCTCAAGGGAGACCTTAGGACACGCTCTGGCCGTGTCCTTCTACCATGAAAAGGTGTATGATTCGACGTGGAGGTACGCGATACTACGGAAATGTCATGATTTCGGTCTTGGAGGTACACTGCCAGGGTTTCTAGGGGTTTCCTGGAGAATCGTAGGCTCTCAGTCAGACTAGGGACCGTGTTCTCCAAGGATCACGTTCAGTTGAACGGTATCCCTCAGGGTTCAGTGATGAGCGTTGCGCGTTTCTTAATGGTGATGAACGGCATCCCCTCGCAGATAAGAAGAATGATCTTTGTCGACCACTTCTGCTTCTACCAATCGGGTAAGGATTTGGCGAAGGTCGGCGGGAGAATGCAGTCAGCGATAGACGTGGATGCGAGAGCCGAGGAAACCGGGTTTACGTTCTCCACGATGAAAACGGTATATACCCTCTTTTGCAGATTGAGGGGCCCATAGTCACTCAATTCTACCTGAGAGGCATACCTCTGCCTGAGTTAGTGCGGTTCCTCGGCCTTCTGTTTGATGAGAAGTTGAGATTGCAGACACACATCGACTCCGTCGAGGTCCAGAGTAGGATATCCACTGACACTATTGATATTGTTGGTCATTTGGGTAGGGAGCGGACAGGGAGACCTTGTTAAAAAGGTTTGACTCGCTGCTTTATTCGAGGTCTTCTATAGTTGTATGGCTCCTCCTCGTCCCGGAAAGCTGACAGGCTCTACGATCAGGGTCTCAGAGCGATCTCGGGAGCGTTCAGAACCAGCCCCTTGGCCAGTCTTTGCTGCGAGCTGGGGGGGGGGGGCTTGCTTTCCAGAACTTCAGCTTCCAGAACGGAGAGAGCAGCTTACCCTCGGTTACGCGTCCGAGTTCTAAGCCAAGCCAGGGCGCCCTCTCTAGGACGATCATTGAGTGGCCATGCAGAATTGACTACGGGAACGCGACCCCTCGGGATTCGGTTCGGTGAGGCCGTAGGGAGGGCTCGACGTATGCCTGAGCATTGTTTGGGTTTTACGAGACAGGTTCTCTCTGGTCCTTCTCGTCGTGACCTTGTCACCTTGTACGCCGAGCTGGAGAGCCTCGGAGAAACGGTCGTTGTTGTCTGGGTTCCAGTACACGCCGGTCTTGAGGGTAACGGAGAGCGGACGAGGAGGAGAAAGCCGGGACATCCACCCTCCCGACCAGACCATCGCGCGTTCTTCTGACGCTATGACCGCAGTGAAAAGCATGATTGAAGAAAGAAAGCATCGTCCGAGGGGCTCTTGTGGGTCAAGAGTAAGACCAGGGAGGGGCCCTCCGAGAACCTGAACGGGAGAGGAGGGTTCGTACTCACCCGATTGAGGATTGGCACAGGGCACTTGCTTTAGGTTCAAGGCCCGCGCAGGTGTCTCTTATGGAGAGATAGGTTGCTCGTTGTGTCCGTATAACAGAGATAAGATATGCCTTGGCTACATACAGAGAGTATGTAGGCATGCCGCCGAATTTAAGACTGGTTCTCCAGGTCAGCCGTCGGTTTCTAATCCCCAGCTCTATTTTTTAGAGAACGCGTTTTTTTACATTTTGGACTGAGATATTCCATGTGTTTTGTCTTTATGTGTTTTGTTTGAAAGTGTGTATTTATTAGTGTGAGGGGTGAAATAAAGCGTCACCATCGCCCCTCCAGCGTGTGTGTGTGTGTCGATGGCAGAATAACTACAAAAGCACATACCCCATCGATCCTGATTTAGGTTAGCTAATTAAACTGTGTATAGAACGATGGAGTACTAGGTGAGGAAATCTAGTATTTCTCCGAATAATCAGAATAAATGTAATGCATGAATGTATTTATTGATGCGACTGACTTATCTAATTTAATTAGTGTTAGGCCAGATTATAGTTCGCATGAGTTTGGGGCTGACATGATGTAGTTGTCGGTAGCCTCTGAGAGCATCATCCCGTTGGTAGGGAAACGACGATCTCCTGGGCATCTGACTTAAGGGGGATACTAGCGACCCAGCCGTTTAACGAAGTGGGCGAATGATGTATAGGCACTAGTGTCAGCACATAGGGGAGTGACAACCCTTCGAGGTGAAAGTCCGAAAATAAGGACCGTTGTTGGCCGCAACGGTTAAGGCGTTGATATGCTGCGCTCATGACTGTAAGATGAAGGTCCCGGGTCCGAATCCAGCGGCTCTTTCGAATCCGACATACTTATGAATAAAAAAAGACTTACGAAAAAATTTAGGGTGAATACCCACAATTGAGGTAATAAAAAGGTAAAGTAAATAATATTAAGAAAAGATAATTTTTGTTAAAAAATATAGTTGGAAGGATTGTAAGGTTGGAGAGACAAATAACGGGCAAAAAGGGTGCGCTGAGTTTGGGGTGTTGATGCTTACAGTTAGTTGTTTGTGAAGTGGAAAAACTATAAAGGAAATAAACTCTACAGTTTTTTTATTAATATTAACAAAATCACCATCGTATACTTACTCGTCAAAGACATAAAAACATATTTAAATTACGTACAGTATTTTTTTTTCTCGGCTCCTAATTAGCAAAAATGCACGGGAACGCGTTCCACGTCCGAAGCCTCCCCTTGTAAGACAGCGTCATTAATGATGATAGTACTGGAAATTTCAAAACCATGCACGTAGGGACGGACACCAGCACAACGTTAACCAATGAAGACATTTCCATATGGAGAATAAAAAACAAGGCAAAGTACAATCACGAAGAATTAACAGATTATGGTAAACGTCCGAACTATGTTCATGTTTGTTCTTATTTCATCCCATGTATTTCGCAGACAAGAACACAATATATCACTATTTTAGAATCCGTAGATATTTCTATTTCTTCCTATAAAAATAAAATTAGACATGGTGAGGGAGGACATACGAAAGTAAGTAAATAAGTGGTTTAAAAACAATTTCCTCTTTATTTTAGCTTTTTAAATAGGTTCAAACAATTCAGATTCAAGAAACTTCAAGTTAAAATAGGATGACTATTTTTTTTTACAAATAAAAGAAATTACTTTATTGAAATATACATATTAATTTTTGGTAAAAACCTTCCTATTTATGAGCTACGAAATCATACAAGTTATCGATAGAGATGACCCCTTCAATATATCATTTTTGGTTTAATTTTTATGATCAAAATTGTGTCAATAAAATATTTGTTATAAATGAAATACATTTATTGTTTATCAGCATCAAGTTGGACTATAATGATAAGATATTTGAAGCCTGTGGCCACCATCTAAAACCAAATTATGATTTATTCATATTGTTGAAACAAAAAATATTTTCATACTTGGCCAAAAACGCTGAAGTTAACTTCAAACAGGTCGAACGCTGTGAAACGGATTTTCTTCCTTCCTGACAGATAGTGTGAAAGCTTAAGCTGTTGGAATTGTTTTAGTTTGATTTTTAATCAATAACTATTGATTACAAGAGAAAAATATGCATTTACGTTTGTTGCATGTACGTCTGCATTGTCAAATATTATAAGAGTATAAAGCGCCTTGTCAAAAGCTTCCGACTGTAACAATCAATAAAGAAATACGTACATAAATTAAAATTCGAATTCTGTAAATGTAAATACACACAAAGTATTGGGCATTAGTTAAAATGTCTTTCTCCTGTTTTTTTCCACTTTACACGATTTTTCCAAAATAACCTCTAATAAAATTCCCTCAGCTATTAATTATTGAATGTACTTTCGTATTATGCACAAATATATTAATGATTAACATTAATATTTAAGATTAACAATTAATATTAATAATTAATAGTAATAACTAGTAAACATTATATACAAATTGAGAGTTATGATAGAGCACTATGATTTGAGAGAAATCTTTGGAAATTTTGTCCGTTTAAGAAAATATTATTACAAATATCACCAACCTGTTTTAAGAGATGGTTTATTGACGATATGAGTTCAAAAGCTGAGAATAAGTTCGTGAGGATGTAAATTAAGTGAAGAAGTATAGAATCCAACTCGCCAACAAAAAAAATAAGTTTGTACATGGTTATCGTGCTTCTTCCAAAAACAAGCCCCAAGAGAAATAATATCGTCGGATTAAACAGTGTGTTCAGATCGTTGCAGATTTCACCGACGACTATCTGACATTTAAGGAAATGTTCCACCAAGCTGGTTCTTAATCTGTGCTTCCTCAATTGATCGATCATTGTTTTAAACTGATATATGACCAGCCTAAGATGATCGGCGAAAATCCATTCAAGGAGTATCAGAGTGAAAAATGTGTAATGGAATATAAAGTTTTGGACAGTTCTCCTCACAGTCAATTCCCTACGGGTTATCCATATAGAAAGACGATAGAAGACGGTAATTGACGTAAATATCGCGTGAACCAACAATGAACCGTAGGATTTCTTGCAGGACCAAGGGATTCCGTGGAAAGCCAGCGAATTTTCCAATCTTTCCAGATTTCGAATGACTTTGTTCATAACTCTTCGATTGATAAGAAACGTCAAAATCGTCCAGTGATTTCCGATAAGTACCAACTCCCCAATCATTAGTTTCAATACAAAAGGTAAATATTTGAAACTACACATCGATGAATAGTAAATAGAATTCGCCCAGCCGACCGTTCCAAGGATGATGCTCCATGTGATGTATATCTTGGAAACGCGAACGCTGCCGTTTTCTAATAGAAAGGGGTAGATTCCCGATAATTGCCCAAAAAGCATCCCATTTCGTATATAATTTCTTGTATTTAAACTAGACATTTTGACTTGACGAAGAGTTGAGTGGTATATCCAACATGAATATATCCTTCGGGCCATAAACTAAATCCACGTTCGACATCGATCGCGTGATTCATACTATTGACTACCTATTAAATTCTCTTTTTATATCCGTATTTTCACATTTTTCCAATCAAAATAAAACTTGTATGAGAACATTATTTTTATATTGTTTCTTGTTTGTTTCAAAGAGTTTAGGGGAACTAGTTGGTTGTAACTTTATTTACATTTGCCTAATACAATTGCACACACACAATACACGCGCACGCGCGCACACAACACACAAAAGTGGCCACACCCTTCACATATTTCACAAATAATAGATACACGTGCAGAGGAAAAGTTATTGGCTCGTTATAACATCTTCACTGATGGTAGCAAGATTAGTGGAAAAAATCGTATTTTAGGAAGGAAATACGGAGATATTCCCCACAGAAAAATATAGGTTTAGCATATACTGCTCTAATAATCAGGTAGATATGATGGCGATGGCTATACTACAGTCAATACAATGGTTTAACGAACAATCACACGCTACCACAGTCAAGAACAGAACAGCTACAATATGGACGGATATGAAGAATCTCCATCAATTATCTCCAACAAAAATGTCCATTATGAAGACACAAACGAAATAAGATTAATCTACCAATTTATACCAATTAATTAATGGCTGAAGTCTCACATTGGAAAGGTGGGAAACACAAGGAATGGGGAAAACGATAGGAAGGCAAAAGAAGCTGCATCGTGTGACTACTTGCCATTGTCTTACAACGTTACCTCTGAACGTTATGAGACAATTCACTAGAAAGAAAACGTTAACCTCTTGGGAAAGAATTCGGAAAATAAGCGATCACACAAAAAATTTCAACTACACTGAAAAATATTAAATACTTTTTTTTTCATGAAGGTATCATTCAAGTTATCTTCGCTCAAGAGAAATTCATCCGTGACATCTAAAAAGAAGACCCTGTATAGTTTATGTAATATATAAAGAAGATTATTTGGAGATCGTGAGATGCGGTCTGGTGTGATGTAGGTTTTAGAAAAACCATTTCTTTATCGTGCCAACGTTTCGATCTTTATTGAGACCATCTTCAGGGCCTGGGATTTATAAACATAGTTTAAATTTTACAAATACATGTAGGATGTGAATTTATACTGAATCTTTTATATACAATTTATACAATGCCAGAAATTTTAGATTCAATCAAAGTATTTGTACTCACTTAAAGTGTTTGTTTGTTGTGTAGATGTGTCATTCTTGTGTGTCGTGTTGAGAGTGCCAGTGAGATATTGATGTTTTATGTTTATATACATTGGATTTTGAAGGGGCGGGAAGGAAGTCGGGATAGAAAGACATTTTTATATGAGGAGTCGACTTCTTTGATGTGAAAGGGGCCGACAATGGGAAAAAAATGTGTAATGGTTCGGCCTGATTATCCCAGGCCCTGAAGATGATCTCAATGAAGATCGAAACGTTGACACGATAAAGAAAACGTTTTTCTAAAACCTACGTCACTCCAGACCGCATCTCACGATCTCCAAATAATCATTGACTAACGGTCACTAAATACCACACATATAAAGAAGACTATTTTTATATAGCTAATTAATTATTAATTGTGTTAAACTATTAACTGCGCTGAGCAATTAGACTAAGATGATGTAAAAGTCGAGGCAACTTCTGCCCAGAAAATTGTTGAAACACAAAGTACTTAGATGAATCTTTGATTTAAGCATTCTTCACAAAGGGCAACATTTTAAATATTACAACGAGTTGTTATAGTTTGAACAAACCTAATTCTTGAAACTAAAATGCATGAAATTGTGTTTTTTTAAAAAAAGAATGTAACAGAAAGCATCCTGTTGTTTTAAATAAAACAATTTAATATAATAAATTAGTCCGTCCGCAGTTTTTAATTTTCCGCCTAGAGAAAGTAATCGATGAAGAGGAAGATATGGTAAAGCACAATAAGTTCCTGATTTAACTACTGACCCCGAAATTCCACCGAACCGAGACCAGTAAATTATATGAAAATTGTGTAAATAATATCTTAAAAAAATCAATAATATAGAAGAACAAAGGAGAGAAAAAATTTATTTAATGAATTCACAAGAATTCACATTAATTTTGAACCCTGTTACTAAGTCACAAAATTTACTAGATTTAATGAACATTTTGAATACATTTCTTCATAACAATTAAAATAAATGACCATACATGACCATACACAAGATAATGACGGAAACTGGTTGCTTGACTGATGAAACACAATAACACGTTTGACACACAGTCAGCAACAATAAATTAGACTTTAAACAATTACACTTTTGAATCATCACTTACATTTATACAATTTTAACTGGTGGTTAATTTAATATCTTATTTCGAGCCGTGAAAATGATAGTTATTTTATTGATGATGTTTCTGCGCAGAGCTGATCTGAAAATCAAGCATTAGTTCATTAGTAACTTTGTCACAACCATCCCGACAAATAAATAAATTATATATAAATATATTAAACTGGACAAATTAAACAGCCCTTGTTTGAAAGGAAACAAGGAAAGCAGGACAGAGCTAAAAAATAACACACAGAACATTCAACGTAGAAGGGAAAATGACGAAACGTTTCTGACAGATAGTATTAGCGAAAATATGCAACCAGGATGAATCGACGGAAGCCGAGTTGTAGGTTTATTTTCCCACACATTTTATCAGCCAACTGCCCTGAGAGGATATTGGATAATTGGGCGAAAATAAGTGTTGCTTTTGGGCTATTAAAATTTTTAAATTCTAAGAAGGCTGTTTAGATTTTGCCTTCATTGATCCCCAGATGTGTTACAAAACTGGGACCGTACATAAGTCATTTGGATACTTTTCCGAATTATGTACCGTTGTATATGTTGGCTTATAATTAAACGTAAGACTAGAATTCCGATCTACTAGTTAACCATTTTTTTCTCTTAAAAATATGGCTAATGATTGAACAGGAAGCGATTAATGCAAACTCTCTCCACACCCTTCTAAAAGGTTCGATCCTATGAAGTAGCTTGCTGTTAAAATGATAAAATCTAGTGAATATTTATTTCATTCTGAAAAAAAAAACACTCTTACAATGATACAGTCTATTTGTTTTAATACAGGCGGTTATTTATTTATTAAGCTTCTTCCAGTGAAATCGCTCCACCGTTTTGTCAGTTAAATTACACACAATCATCATCAGTTTAATTGATAAAAGCTTTTTTTGATGGAATCGGATGTATGCCTAATCGATTTAGATCCTCGAATGTTCGTGTGCAAGTTGTAATTACTGCCTTTACACAAAGTTGCGTGTCAAGTGTCAATTGCGAGAGAGAGAGAGAGAGAGAGAGAGAGAGAGAGAGAGAGAGAGAGAGAGAGAGAGCGAGAGAGAGAGAGAGTTTTCAATTGTTACTTAGCAGTTTGACTATCGAAGTATCATCAAGTAATAACATTTTTAATCAATTATCAGCTATTTAAAAAATTTGTTAAAAATAGTTTATGAAAAATCAAGATTAACTCAAACAATTAATTACATTAGTTAAGAAATTTATTCTGGACTTGTTAAATTGATGTTTGCGTTTCCCAGCCTTCTGTGACTTTAAAAAAATCAACAGTTTATTATAACTTACCTGCAATAAAAATAGTTTACTATACATTTATGATATTATTAATTAATTGTTATATATGTATATATTGTATGTTTATAACTACTTAACCATTTTGTGTTTTTGGTGATTTGCATGTAGTAAATGAAATGTAGGTAATACAACTAATTTTTTTTACTAAAATGTTTATTGACATGACATTTTCACTCAATTTTCACGAATTTTCGTCATTTTTCAAAAAGTTTTTTTTTACTTTTCCTGTATTCCGAAGCCGTCATGACCGTGAAATATATCCATTATTGTTAAATTTTGTTTTTCTTTGTGGTCTTATTATTCTTTTTTACCAGATCTTCTGGATAATTAGTTTTGATTAAAGTTTGTAAATATTTTTTAAGTTACATCTGTGAAACCTTTGTTTTTTTATTTATTTTTACATCTTCGCCAAGGGCTGCGCTTACATAAATTTGATAACAATTTAAAGCAAAACAAAATTAACACAAAAAATATACATAAACCATAAAAAAAGGAAATACTCATTAGTTGTCATTCCTATGTATTAGCGTTAATCACTTTCACAGTTTGCAGATATCTTCTTGAGAGACAGGAGGTTTATGAGAGCTAAGGATGATGGTATCATCCGCATTGATGGTAAGGATCGTTTCAGGAACAGTAGGACGTCCAACAGCGTATCGCACAAGGGGTCTCTTGTACCAATTTACGCATATTCTTTTTAATATCATTTATATAACCCTCTTATCTATCAGGCTCTTTCGATTACGACAAGGATAACTCATACTACTACTCTCCGCGGGAATAGTGCAGGAAGTGTTCCTGGACCAATCTTCTATATCCTTTATAAAGCAAATGTCCCAATTAAACCTACCACTTTCCTTACATCCTTTGCTGATGACACAGCAGTACTATCCTCCGACCCCGTTCTTACAATCGCTTCCCAAGATCTTTAGAGACATACCTCATGAGCAGATGGATGTGGACAAAGGAAAATGAAGATAAATGGAAGGAAGTGCGTTCATGTTACTCAAAATCAACTCCAAGCGTACCGATTGGTTTTCTTACCTCAAAAGTCATCTGGTTCAGGTCGATCTCCTGTCATAGGGCGAATAATGCCGAGGCCGTAATTTTTCCAGCCGTCTATTATATCCTTGAGTCCAGGGATAAACCGACCCACGCCCTGCTCGATCCCGTTCATGAGGAACCTGAGGGCAAGCCTACCTCCTGCCATGATCATGCTGGGACTCAAACGAAACCCAGGCGATTCATACGTATCGGGTCTTGATACTTGAGGATAGTCTTCATCGAATTCCTCTTCCTGTAAATATTTGCCACATTAATGAAAATAATATACACTGAGAAACAAAAACAGCATGGCAACGTTGTAACGTTTACTGCACTTTTTCAGGGTGTTCTTGTGTACTGTTGTATTGCTTAGCAAAAACCCCGTTCACTATGGTACCATCAAATAGGAAACTATTGTAAAAACAATTCCTGAAGAGATATATCGAGGGTTATATAAAATTATATTATAATATATATTATAATAATTATATATACTTTATATAAAACACAGCCTTTTAATTATTTCCTTATAATATTTATAAAACCTGTACGTTTATTTTAATATTATTTGAATTGGTGTTATTAGAATTGTAATCAATAATCAGACTTTGGTCACAACTTAAAAAACTTTTTTTTTCGTTAAATGAATTTTATCGTGCATAATCATAGTGCTCGATGTTTCAGATCTGCTGCAAGTTACGGTGTTGTTCAGTGTAAATTTCCAGTAAAATGGGTCTGACAAGTTCAACACATGATTGAAAAGGGAATTTCATGATGATCAGACTACAGTTGACATGAACCTATCAGAAAATTATCATTATTATGTTAAATAAAACAGATTCACACTCAGTCTGCAGATGAATTGAATACATTGGAGACCAGCTAGTTCGAACTAACTGGACCTGATTGGCTGAATGACGTAAATGTTGCTTATGAAAAAAAGGCCTGGCTTAAGGAAAGGACGTGTAGACAGATAAACTGGAAGTTTTCCAAAAGATGGACAAGGATTGAACTGTAGTTTGGTCGTTATTGATCAAATTTGGCTTGTGTAGCTTAGCTTTTTTTCCAAAGAATCACCCGGTGGTAACACTTCTAATAGTGTCTATGTGCTAAGTTTCGCTGCGGTTACGGGGGAACTGTTGCTTTGATATTTCGTGATGTTAGGGTTAAAACTAAGGGATTGGGATGCAATGAAATGGAGTTGTGGAATTTTATGTGTCGGGATTTTATGACATCTTTCACAAAAGGAATTTTAAGGTCATTGTGGAATGTAAGATTAGATGCCATTTATAGAAGGATTTTGGATTGGGAAATCTGGATGCGATAATGGTTCGAATATTTGGTTGAACCCTAATGCGAAATTATGTGAAGCGTAGGTTTTAATCGTTTGTCTAGAAGTTGCGAGGGTAGTTTGTAACGTCTAGTCAGTTCATGAACTTTTTTAGTCTTGCATGTGGATTCCTAGTCAGTCTTTTGTCGATATACAGCCCGAGGTAGCGGACGTGATTAACTCTAGGAAGAGATGTTTGATGTAAGTATAGTGGTGGAATTATTACGTGATGGAAGGTAATAGTTAATGTGCTTTTGTCTTCAGTTATTTTCATCCACCACTTTTTCAGCCAAAGTTCTACCTTGAATAGGTGAGCCCGTAAGGAGCGATGTGAACTTCCTTGGAGGATAGGATTGCAGTATCATCCGCGAATGTGTGAAATGATGTGTCGGTAGGGAGGTCATCAATGTACATTGAATAAAGGATGGGACCCAGGATACTACTCTGTGGGACTTCAGCCTTAACAGGATATGCCTGAAAGAAGCGGTCAGTCAGGTATGATCGGAATGTGAGTCAGTAGGTGAAGGGAGGATGCTCGTTGAACTGCAAACCAGGATGCCAGACCCGAACAATGGCTTGGGCCACATCAAGAAAAGCACCCGGTTAGTACTACATATTTCAGCTCAATAGAGGAAGAGATGGCCATGGTGGCAATGCTTCTGACAGACCAGCGTTTTCGAAAACGATCAAAATACAGTTCCACACCCTGAGATCTCAAGAGGAAACCCACAATTTAGGGGTGAATATGTAACGCAGTAGGCAATACAGTTTAGGCCATAATAACTGACCATTGATAGAATTTAAATTTAACCTTAAAAAAGTATATTTTAGGAAGAAAAAAAATTCTTATACGCCGACATAAACATGTGTGGATTAGCGGCTTATATTACGTTTTCTCTGACAGCACCACTGTGTATTTTGGTTGTAGTTGTAATTATTTAAGCTAATTCGACATTTATTTTCTTATTTTCACTTACAAATTTTTCATATTTGCCGTAGCAGTGTACAATTTCGCTAGCCAGCTCACATTCGTCATCCATCTCCTCAACTGTTCAAAATATAACAAACCTGTACTCTTCGTTAAAAAACAAATGGTAGAAATATAAAAAAAACCTTCTTGGCGGGTGTAATTGATGAAATTTTCAATTTTCTTCAACCCTTCCGGCCTATTTTTTAACATGTCCCTCGCAACATCAAGTGCCATGTCCGGATCGTACTTTCCTTCTTTTATCTGATTTATCACGTGAAATTACAATCATGGCTTTCTTTAAAATTCAACTTACAAAAAAAAGAAATACTTACGATGTTGTATGCCTTTAATGTACAAGCCCACAGGCATTTCTCATAATCGGTCTTTGGGACAGCCGGCTTAATAAACGCTTCTAGCTCTTCTGCATTGATGGATTTTTTCATCATTAATGTGCATTAATTTCAGAAAAAGGTTTGTCAACTTAGACTAAATGGCTCACCATCAGAAACATCCAGGCCTTTTTTGCATATCTGCAAAGTAGCCCGCACGTCCTCTCTGCTGCCAAATACCTAATTTTAAACATACAAATTCTATGGTAAGAAGATTGATTTAAAAGATATTTATTCCTTGTTTTACTTTATTTTGGAGGTATTAATTTATTACTGCACTATATTTTATTTTTCATCTACGTATTTCAGTTTTATTAAGTTGGAAACTGTCGTCGTTGGAAGTTTATAAAACTTTGATATTTTTTTGAAAAATAAAGTTTTTGTAAAGTGCAATAATAAAATAATACCTCTATTATAAAAGAGTTCGCCTACTGATAAAATGAAGAGAAATACATAACAGCAGACGACGTTTTTAACAGTCGACATCGAATTCATGACTGATTTAGGTAAAAAAAAGGTAAGAGACAATTGCAGGATGAGTGACTTGATTGCAACCTATGGCTTCGTAGAACATCCGAACGGAAATTAGAGTTGAAACGATACCTTAATTACAGGACTGATAATTAAAGACCTTCCCAAGTTTAAATACAATGATTTGTTCAATAAGTACCATTAATTAATAAAATTATTGAATAATTTATATAAGCGTGTCCTATTTGTTACTATTTTTTAATTCGGACTGGAATTAAAAATGATGAAAACTTTCTACTAAAAGTTACAAACTAGTACATTCAGAACAACAGTTCTACTGACGTGATGATTATTCGGTGCTCCTGCTGTTGATGTGGTGACATGTTTAAATCAGCATTTACTTAGTTGACTCCTGAGTAAGCGTGGTGTAATAAATATACGTTTTCTGCTTTTGTTTGTATTTCAAGGTTTTTGTATATCAGTAGATTTGTTTGTTTTTAAAAAGTTAGAAAAACCCAAAATAGTTTCTAGTAAAGTGGATTGACTTTTTTCAGCAAAAAAGCTGATATTCGCTTTTTGAAATCCAAAATACTAATGCATATACATTTTTAGTACAATCAATTAATATTTTTTTCTGTCACATTTTTCGGCTTCCAAATATTTTCTATTTTTTTCGGAAATCACAAAAATCAGTGAAACCTGTTAAAAACTATATCGATTAACTGCAAACCTTACATAAATTTATAACTTTGTTGAATATATATCATTGCACAAAATCACGGTTCATAAATTTGTACCATAAAAATAAAATAAAACTTTTGAGCAGCTTTTCTTTTTATTTCATCCTCGTTTCCCTCACGTAAGATGCCACAAAAGCTAAACATTGTTGAAATAATACATATTCTGCTTTCCGGCGGTTGTATAACTGTTTAAATTTGTATCAGATCCGAAAGAGTTATTAATTTTAAAGTGGCACACCGCACATCGGCAAAAAATACCCCTGGAGAATCCAGCCCAAAAATGTATATTTCAGAATATGCAAATAAAAGCCTCATTAAGTGCTTTAAAGGTTACTTAAAACGAATCCGAAAAAAAATAGGTTTTTACTTATTTTTCCAGAAACGTCTCTTTATATATTTATTCTCATATAATATGATTCTGCTTATTATTTTCTTATCCAAGGTTAAAAAAATCAATTGATATAATATTAAATAAGGTCTATTAGTAAATAAGGTCAGATAAGATCCCCAAATTTTTCCAATTTTTGGAACTAAAGTTTATAATCCATGCATCAAATGCCTTGGTCATGTCCAAAATTACACCTGCTACCCTTCTGTCAGCATTCATAGCAGGGTACACTAATGACAAAAACGTTACCTGTCGGGACGAGACCAGTGCTGAATGGCTGCGAGGGGTGGTCCTACGCTGGTACCCTGGACGGGCGCTTCCTCCAGGTTCTGGTGGAGGATGACATCCCGAAGCCTACACCCTGTACCGTTAGAGTGCGGACGAGAGGAACATTAGGCTCTCTGCGGAAAAAATTGTGAACCGGATCAGTAACAGGCAGCTCAAACTGACCTCTGGACGGCGTGGGGTAAAGTCGGTGCTGAAAAAACTGAATATATCCCCCTACTTTGGCGTCGGAAGAATGAAATTCCAGCTAAAAGAAAAGGGGGCGCCGGACTACGGAAGGCCTATCGGGTTCCGTGCTACAACGTGGTGGTTACAACCCGCGATAAGGATAAGCGAAGGAGTGGAAGAAAGTGGGCAAAGTAGAACCTGGACTTCACCACCCCATTGAAGACATATGTCCAGAAGTGGAGCTGGGGAGACAAGCACCAGTTGCCAATGCAACACCCCCTGCAACTCCCTAAACTCCCGCATTGTTGTAAATAACAAGCTAGCTGCATACTTATCCCAGGGCTCTGCTCCGGCGACGTTGTTTCAGGTATCCTGACTACAAAAACGGAAGGTGGAACAAAGAGTCTTACCAGGGGATGGCCCTTGTCCACCGCACAGATGAAGAACATCGTGTCATATTAGGTCTAAAAACCTAGAGTTAATCATAGGATGTGACGCGAATGCCCACCATATAGTTTGGGGCAGCACGAATCAATAGTAGAGGTGAGTCTCTTTTAGAGTTCATAACTGGAGAGGGTTTCGAAATAGCCAACCGTGGTTCAGAACCTACCTTCGTCAATAATAATAGGGAGGAGGTTCTTGACGTTACTCTAAGCAGTCGATGAGGTGACGAATACATTACGAACTGGCATATGACAAGGGTCATCTTGCTTTGACTATAGACACATAAGATTTGATCTTATTCCCCCCCCCCCACTAATACTTGCAACATACCGTAATCCTGATTGGGTGGGCTATGCAAAATTTCAAACACCCTCTCCGGGATGCTAAGGTTAAAATTAGGGGTAGGGAGGACCTTGATCTAGTAGTTCAGAAAGTAAATGTTGGAATTCTGAAAGCCTCTGAAAGGAATTCCCTTGAAAGAAAGAACAAAACCAAAACCATATGGAGGAGCAAGAACGTTGGAAAAATGAATGGACAGGTAAGAAGGCTGTTCAATAAAGCCAAGCTCTACCAAACATGGGGCTCATAGAATGTTTAACCAGTGCAATAAAGAGATAAGGAAGGCCAAAAGAAACTCGTGGAGAAAGTTCTGTCAGGAGATTGGAAAAGCTCCTGACTGCGCCAGAATTCATAGTGTTGGCCAAATTCGTTATTGGAGGACAGTTAGGCTTCACTCGAAACCGGATGGAACTTTTACAGAGACAACAGAAGAAATTCTGTTCATATTAGTGGGTAAACTCTTTCCAAGGTCCATAATTATACCCGGAGAGGAGCAGCCCACTAGTTCAGAGAATCGGTGGTACAGGCCCTCCAGAGGCTGGAAGGAGGCAGCTAACATAGTTAAACCAGAGAAAATCAGGTGGGCGGTTAATGGGTTTCTCCCCTATCAATCCCGAGTGCGGATGGGATATACCCTATACTACCACGGAAAGGGCGAAGGAGAGAATCTAAAGTACCTCCCTAGCCTGGCGATACGTACTCACTGCATTGAGGGTGGTGAAAGTAGTGTATTTGCCCCCATTTAAAAGTGGGTAGGGCCACAGATCAACCACCTAGTTCATACAGAACGATCTGTCTCTCTGTTTATGCAGAAAACACTATCGAAACGAATGGATAACGACATTATGGCACAGCACTGAAAACTAGGCCATTCAGTGTTTGGTGAACTAAGACATTATAGCTGTGGGCAGTTCAGATCCTCAGTACTGTTCAGCGGGCTTGTCTGAGCATCACTGGGTCAATGAGAACAACCCCACGGCTGGAAGTCCTTCTGAGTACACATTTACTGCACATCTTTATCCAGGGAGAGGCCAGAGCCATAATTCATAGGCTAATGCAGGGACAGGCTCCAATTGCCTACTCATTCATTTAACAAGGAGCAACTAAAGTTTCGAGGGTAGCTTCACCTAGACAAAATTTTGGGGATGCCTGCTGATACCATGACCTCTAAATTCAGTTTTGAGGAAATGTTTCTAATCAAAATAACTTATAGACTGGGAGTAAGGGATCCCATTTAATGCCAACCATATCTGGTTTACAGATGGCTCCAAATCAAGAGCTGTCATTTACGGAAATAAACCCAGGTCTAGAATTCATATAAGCCTGGACAATGTGCCACCGTTTTTCAAGCGGGAACTGTGTCAGGGAGGTCATAAGCTGGGGATTATCAATAGAAGAATAGCCATCTACTCGGACAGCCAGGCGGCACTGAAATCAATTGCGGACGATAAAGTCTAAAGTCGTTTGCAACTGCATTAGAGTCATGTCAGACATTGGAGAAAGTAACGTAGAGTAAGTAACAAAATTACCCTTGTCTGGATGACAGGCACACAAGGCAGAGGCGCAACGAAGAGAATGAGGACACCTATTGGCCCTGAACTCTTTTGTGGCTTACCAAACTGCCAAAAACGGGTGTCCAGTAGACAATGGATTAATAATAAGTCCTCCGTTCAATGGGACAGAGGCATGCGAAAAAATTTATCAAAGGACCATCGCAGAAACTAATCGCAGAACTACTAAATCTAGGACGTGCTAGGGCTAGAATAATAATTGGACTGCTAACTGGACAACGCAGACTCCGGTGGCATATGTATAAAACACACCTATGCAGATATTGAAGAACAAGTTGTTCACAACTGTTGGTGCAAAGGCCTATGAACGCTGAGATTCCAAAAAACCAGGGCCTGAAGGATACACACCGGAGCACCTGAAAAAGCTTTGGGGTCAGGTAAAAAGCCTTAAGCTTAACGAGGAGCTATAGTTAAAAAAACGCATTTCAGTACTCTTCTTTTTGAAATTCAAATTGCTTATAATAATAATTTTATTTTTTACTAAAAAAAAAGCCTGGTTTGAACACAATTCTTCCTAACAAACATAGACAATAGCGAAAAACAAAAACTAGTAATTTTCTTTATGTCTGATATCTCCTTTTTTAAGGATAGATGTCACAACAGCATGTTTAACTCCTTATGGGAATGTACCTGATATTCAAATTATATAGTTGAGGAAATGTCTTTGAGACATCTCGAGTTTATTCCAGCAATGCCAGGCGACTTATTGTTTTTCAATGTTAAAATAGTTTTATTAACTCCAATATCATTAGTGAGACGCATAAATAAGGATCTAGGCCTAATTATTTTCCTGCAGGGATTTTCACTTTTCAAACCTACGATTTTACGTATGTCTCGAACAGTTTCTAATTAACAAAAAAAAAAAAAAAATGAAAACCTCTGCGGGAACTGTTATAATTGGATTGTTATCTTCAACTTATATTATTTTATACTTACTATTATCTGAGTAATCAATTTATCAATGTAATACTACTGTTATGCTCGAATCCAAGAGTTTAGTAAGTTATATAATTTTTGTAAGGTTGGAATTATTAGGAATTTTTTTACATAATGTTTATAAATTATGTTTCGTCATGTTTATTACTATTGTAATCATTATGCTTTTTTGTTTATGATTACATTTGACGAGAAAATATTCAAAATCTTTAAATGGGATATTTTTGATGCCCAAACAGTGAAATACATTGATATTTCTGGCTAATAATATTTTATGCCAGATTTTTAACTTATAAAATATAATTGGGAAAATCGTTGAGAATTAACATTTATTTACAGTAATGTTTGTTTATCTTTTTCTTTATCCTAGAACAATAAATTTCATTATAAAAATTTATCAGCATTTTTTAATATGATCGATAAGAGAATATTAGAAGAGAGTTTTTAATGATCTGAACTTGAATTTTTAACTTTACATTAATTTATTAACACTTCGTGTAGTGAAATATACCACTTAGGAAACAATATTACATAAGAAGATAAATGGAGGAAATTTCTGTACATTGTATGATGTTTGACCCCTAGCCACCCATGAAAATCTTTTCCGTTTTAGTTCCTTGTCATTATTAATAAAAACCCACCAAGCAGAAAATTGCCGAATGACCAGTTGGGACGGCGATGATTGACGGTTCAGTAAACGGCCAATTTTTCTTAATTTCAGGTTTTTATGTTTAATTTACATCTGGGAGGGATAACGTGCTATCAAGTTGGGCGTTCTGTTCGTATAAAAGTCTTTTATTTGTTTCCGTAGGGATCAGAACTATTTCGCATATCAAAATGCTTCTTGCCAGGACTTTTTTTGCAATTTTGACACTCTGTGTGATCGCGGTAAGTCTTTTTTCCAGTAATTACTTATTTTATTTATTGAATATAGATAGAGAATATGTCCAAAACAAAGTTGTTTTTTTTTAAGAAAACAAGTTTTCTCTTTTTAAATATAAAAATAACTTAAACACCTTCCTCAAGACACCGTAGACATTGACGAAGCTGCTCAGCATTTCACATTGACAGTACATAAAACAGTGATGGGCACGGACACGGTACCCTCCTTAGAATTCTGAATCAACTCGATGAGTCAACCAATCATCAATGAGAGAACCGAAAAAAACACTACACAAACTAAAGACGATAAGGACAGAACACGACTTTCTGTACAACTTCCAACCTTCTTCTTCATACCTATGTAGTATTCATTCCTGGCCAAAACAGACGAAGCAAAGCATAGCTCATTGCCGACTACTATTCTGACGTCGTCATTTTCTACCCAGACATACAGATGTCAGCCCACATTGCAGAGGTTGAACAGCGAATAAATTCACCTTTCCAGTTTATATAACCTCCCAAGCCTTTTCTCCCTTCTACTTTATCTTCCTGAAAGGTCTATGATATGACCTAATTACGTCCAACGTATCGCAAAAATTAACAAAACAAGGTCTGCTCTTCCTGACATACATCCACAAAGCTATACTGGAACAACATACTTCTCAATACAGTGAAAATATTCATCATAGTAGGAGAAACGTCCAGGATTTGAATCCGACATTCTTACAATTTTTTTCTCAAAATTGGCACCGGCTCCCCGAGAGTTCAAATAACCTCTTAGTTGAAATCCTCATAAAAAATAAATAAAAATAAAATATTAATATCCTACCTGACAGACAGGTACTGTCGCATCGCTCAGGGGGTTGCCTTTTCTTCTTATAATCCCCCAAGGCAGCACTCTACGACCCATACTACTCACGATATACACACCCGACATTCTTGTTTTTCCTAACGATACTGTATGCTCTTATGCTGACGACACAACCATCCTGACGTTCAATCCCTAGCTAGTCATAACACTTAAGTCTATTTAAACCTTAAACAGACAGTCTTCGTCTCGAAAATGGAGAATAAAAATTTACGAAAATAAATCCATCCACATTGATTTTTACAATTACAAAAATCCACTGTCCTACAGTATATTTCAATGGAAAAGCATTCCAACCTCAAATATTCTGCGGTTCCTGGGACCTACAAAAGACTAAAGTAGAATCCATCACATACGACTGAAAAGTGTAAGCTAACTGACGCACCAAATTTAGATTACTTGACTTCTAACTTACACCTTACTAAGAAACTAAGGGATTTACAAGTCCCTCTTGAGACCAATATAGGCATTCGGAATTGAAGTTTGAGGACTGTTAATCTGTTAGGAACAAGAGTAAGGATTACAAAGGATTCAATATGCGGATATAAGTATTTTATTATTTAGCAAACGAGAGCAAGAGAGGAATCACGGGGACTCTGCACATCACGCATTTCATCTTAAACCGGGCTTCGATGACCCTGCTTGACCGGAGTCGCGACATTACTGACGCTCACCTTTGCCTACTAATACTCGTTACACTTTTAGAATATTTACAGGGATCAACGCAGACATCTAATTCTTATAAAATCCATCCAATCAAAAATATTAAGAAAAATATTAAAACTTGGACCAAAATTTAGACCTTAACTCCAAATCTAGTTGTCCAACAGCTTTCAAGAGGAAATCCCACACGTCGTTTAAAGCTGTAATGGCAGAGAGAGATTGCCTTGAGAAATTGATTGACGGGATGTAAGGGAGTGTCACTTCTGGGTTACTTCTCTCATTATGTGTAACATACATTTTCATTGGCTGTTATCTCATTTGCTTGCTGCGTCTAAAATCGTAGTTATAAAATTCATAATAAATACAAACCATTATAAGCATAGAGAAAATAATTCTTTTACTTATATTATTTTTACACATTTCTGTTAAATTATTCCTTTTAGTTGATCGGTAATGGCCATTTTCTCAGTTCTATCGACCAATTCTTTAACTCAGTAAAAGCACTTGTGCTTTTGCAGTTGAAATGTCGCTTTGTAGGGCAAGACAGGTCATTAATGAACAGTTTGCTACCACAAAACAGAGGGCGAACATATACACGTACACAGTGCTGTAAGAGAGAGTAGAAAATGTATAAGCATTGTTCCTTTGTTTTTTGTATATTATTATTTCCATTACGATGTATGTAGGAAAATTGGATAAATTAGTAACTACTAATTATAAAATACTAATTACAAATTTTACTCGAAATGATTTATGAATTTTATTCATTACAAGCAACAAAAATAAAACTTAATCACACTATTTGAACAAAATAAAATGATTTCGACACAGCGCACACGATAAACGTCTATCCTTTTTAACACAAAATCTCAACTCAATTCCTTCTACTTCTACCCTCCTGCCGCTTGGCGCACCTCGGGTCCTTCAGCAGTTCGGCCATCCTCTTCTTCATCCAGATGATCAGTGCTCGCTGATGTCTGCGTTGGTCCTTCCCCTGTTCCACATTTAGTCACCTTATATTATATCTTTCCCGTTATCCTCAGTTACCTTATAACGCTCCAAAAATTTGGATCTGATTTTTGACATCGATAAAAACTGAGAGCGTTTCTTCTTTTATTGAAGATGTTGGTCATCTTGCGCTTTTATAATTTGGCGTTTTCCCTCGGCTCGTTGTTCCTCTCGGTCTGCATCATAAGTTTCTGCAACTGTCTCAGCAATAATTTCTCGTAATCTTTTGTTCTCCGGTCGTCTCATTTCTGTCCCATACATAAGTTTGAATGGAGGTGTTCCAATGCTTCGATGGTAGGAGTCGTTCATCGGCATTTGTACGGCCGCCGTGTGTTTGTACCATTTATCAGGGTCTTCCAAATTAAGTTTCGTCAAGATCGGTATTATAATTTCATTAACTCTTTCGACTTGTCCTTTTCGTCTCAGTACTCCTGTTGTAATCATGACGTGTTTAATTTCTTCTGTCTCACAATATTCTGTAAAGTCTTTAGAAGTAAATGCAGATCCTCTCTCAGTTACCATAATTTTAGGAGTTCCAAAATTACTCTTCTATATGCACAGCTTTTCAAGAACTTCTTTCGTCGATGTCGACTTGCAGGGATATATCCTACAAAACTTTGTAAATCCGTCTATAACTGTAAGTAAAAGTTTGTAACATTTCGGCATAGAAGTTAATGGTCCAAGATGATCCAAATTATAAGCGTAAAACCTGTCTTTCTCGATGGGGTTGAGAAATCCTTCCTGTTTTCCACGTTTCCGCTCCGACAAGAAGCGTGTTAGTGAAATTTTATGAGCACAACCATGTAATAAATTGTTTGTTAAATTCAATTGTTTTAAATAAAGTTAATCCTGTGTTTTGACAAATTTTCTGCCTAACCATCATTAAATCATTTTTTAAAAACTCACGAATTTTTGATCTCGTTTAATTTGGGTTATATTAAAATAAGAAGGTTGTAATTAATGTAAAGACAAAATTACATATACATAGTTTGAAATAAACTAGAAAAAATATGGGTGTCCTGTTCTTACGCTTCTCGACGAAAATGGTGTAATTGTATGAGCAAAACCATGAAATAAATTGTTAGTTAAATTTTATGAGGAAAACCGTGTAATAAATTGTTAGGTAAATTCATAATATCAAAAAATTGTATTCCGGTGTTTTGATCAATTTTCTACGAATTCATTAAAATTAATTTTTTACAAATAAAAACTAATGAATTTTTGAACTCGGTTAGTTTGGTTTATATTAAAATAAGTATGTTGTAATTAATATAACGACAATAATGAATTTTTGATCTCGGTTAATTTGGTTTATGTTAAAATAAGTATGTTGTAATTAATATAACGACAATAATACTTATATTGAGGGCTTATATTGAGTAATCTTGTACCAAAGTTAATTTAAAAACTTATCAAAACAGACATTTCAAAAGAAAAAAAAAACAAATTTCAAATTTTTCTATACCCATTGCAGGCCTCAGCTTATAAGGAAGAGCTACGGAAGACAATGCAAGGATGTAAAAATGGCCAGGAAGTTACTGATGGTATGAATTTTTTATTATTAAACTTTGTTATTTTATGATCTGGTTTGGTATGAATCATGTATACTTTTTATGAGAAAGGGAAGCGAAAAAAAAGGCCAGGGGCTACGGAGGGACTCGAACCCACGACCCCTGGTCTAGGCTTTCACACTAACCACTAGGCAAACCGCGGTCCCTTTAAATAAACTTTCAGGGGTTAGTTTTGCATCTTTATCTCTAAAAACTCTGGTAGTATTTATCATTTATTTATTTTAAATATTGAGTCTTTGATATATTTCAAAAGGGGCGTTTCCAAATAGGTAATGTAATACAATTTTTTTAGTTTAATAGAACATTTAATAGCAAGTTCGAGATCAGGGAACTTGATATGATATGTTAGATGTGTCTCAGTCGCAGCTATGCTAATATCATTAATCAAATTCAATATCAATAACATACATATATCACACAAAAGATATAAAACAATCATTACACTCCTCACATCAACCATTTCTAAATAGTTAATTCTTGAACACTTTAGCTTTCTTTTCCCTAATTATCCTTGTGTACATAATCCTGGAAGGATAATCAGGCCGAACCATTCCCCATTTTTTCCCATGGTGGGAATGGTCATATAAAAATGTCTTTCTATCCCTAGTTCCTTCCCCACCCCTTCAAAATCCAACGTATATAAAGATAAAACAGCACTATCCCAATGGCACTCTCAACACGACACACAATAATGAAGCGTCTACACAGAAACATTTTGAGTGAGTACAAATCTTTGAGTCTAAAATTTGTAGCATTGTATAAATTCATTTTTTCACATCCTACATGTATTTGTATAATTTACACAATGATTATAAATCCCAGGCCCTGAAGATGATCTCAGTAAAGATCGAAACGTTGGCACGATAAAGAAATTTTTTTTCTAAAACCTACGTCACACCAGACCACATCTCACGATCTCCAAATAATCATTAACTAACGCTCACTAAATACCACACACTAATTTTAATAACGGTCCTAAAAAAACGAGCAAAAATTTAAACCCAAAATTAATTTGGTTTAAATTTATTTTTTGTCTCTAATTTTATTGTTGAGCAAAACGAATATATATAAAATACGAAACTTGGTTCTGTAAATTAATTCGACAATGATGCTTTATTTGCAGTTGTGTTTGCTAATATATTTGTATATTCCATTAAAACCGCAGTAAAAAATTAAGCATATTTAATTATTATTAGCCGAATTGGAAGAATTCCTGAAACCGCTCATTCCGACTACCACCGACGAAAAATGCCTAATGGCCTGCGTCTTCAAAGCCTTCAACGTTGTAAGTACTAATAGTTAGAGGATTTTCAATATCCAGTGCGTTAATTAAGTTTTATCTATAGATAATTAACGGCACATACGATCCAAGGCTTGCCCTCGCTGTATCCCAGGACCTGATGAAGGACGACCCCGAGAAAGTGAAGAAGATCAAGGATATCATTGAACATTGCGGAGATGACGGTAAATAATAAGTTTTATTCGTTTATTATATTACATATTATAATTTTTATTCCCGCAGTGCCCAAAAAAATGGACAACGAGTGCGACCTCGCTGGCGAGATAATGCAATGCGTTGTAAAATATGAGAAGGCCGTGAGTTTACTTTTTATTACACTTTAACATTATGTACCCTTTAAAAATGGCGTAATTTACAGATGGGATTGGCATAATTCTTTCCTAAACCGGAAGGAGAATGTACTATCACTGCTGGCAGAACACATTAGAAAAACCTATACTTTCTAGCTTCGTCAAAAAAATGCTGGACAAACGTTTTTGAAATAAAAATATTAGATGTTAAATAACCAGTTCGTTTTCTTTATTTTATGACCAATTTACCAGACAATTCCAGAACAACTTGCAATAAAAATGTCTAGTAGAACAAGTGCTTGATAGGATACTTCAAATATTCCGACCAGATAGAAATTGTATTATTTTTTAACCACTCTTCAAATTTTTTTGAGTTTTTATGTTCTTTTAACTTAATTGAGTTTATAAGAGCTAAGGAAAGTGCCTGAAACTACCCTCATATAAAAAAAGACAACCTTTGTTTCTGTGACATTTATTAATTAAAATCTTTTGCACAAATATCGAATGCTCTAGCCTAACTGCATTGTTTCCTTCAACTTCATTTATCTACATCATGGAATGCTTTAAGTCTGAACAGTTGAAAGATCTCTTACTTCCTGAAGTTGGTTAGCATAATCAAATGTCAACCGTTCATCGCGATGCAACGCCAGTAATTTCTTGTCCCCGCTGTTGGATAAAGCTGGATCAAAGGCGTCTGTAGAGTATTAGAATATGTACCGGAGTCCGTTTCCCGAATAACGGAATTAGTACCTAAGCCGTAATGACATAGTTGACTTTTACGAGTTCCGGTTTTATTCCTGCCGTGAAGATTATCTCTTGTCTGAACTGCAGTTTCGGCCGTTGTTTGCAAAAGGAGGGTTGTTTGACTCCGGTTTAAGGATCTTCTTGTCGACCTTCAGGCATTATGTATGTCGAACATATTTATTCACTATATACGTAAAAGTTAATGACTGGTCCGACGTTATAAAGGGGTAAAACTACTAGAAATGATGAATGGTGGAGTGAGTGTGGCGTTCAATCCTTTTTAAAAGATAGTTCCTACTCACAGTAAGTTGTTTTGCAACGATCCGGATTTCGAGCTTTTAGCTCATCATCAGGTTGAAGGAGTTCTACAACCACATCTCTCGACATGAATTGCAAAAGTGAATCGCCGATACCCCCGCTCAATTTTTGAACGTGTGAAAAGTAAATATTAGATTAGTAAATACAGTAAGAAAATAATTATACATTAGTGATTAAAGATAAAAGATAAAAATTAAATTAGAATAATACCTTAATAATAGATTGTTAATTATGATAAAATTAATAACAATTTAATTAATTAATTAATTTATTTGGACGCTTAATATTATTTATGTACATATTTAAAATGGGCGGTAGATCAAAATCTATAATATTATTAATGCATTTGTCTCCATGTTCAATTTAAATTTTTTAATTATTCAGAAATCGTGAGATGCGGTCTGATGTGATGTAGGTCTCAGAAAAACATTTTCTTTATCGTGCTAACGTTTCGATCTTTATTGAGATCATCTTCAGAGCCTGGGATTTACAAACATTGTTTACATTTAACAAATACATTTAGGATGTGGAAAAGTGAATTTATACAATGCAAATTATATATTTTTTTATATATTCAATCAAAGTATTTCTACTCACTCAGTATTTCTAACTCAAGTGTTTGTCTTCTGTGTAATTGTGCCATTCTTGAGTGTCGTGTTGAGAGTACCAGTGAGATTTTGCTGTTTTATGTTTATATACGTTGTATTTTGAAGGGGTGGGGAAGGAAGTCTGTATAGAAAAGACATTTTGTATAAGGCGTCGGCTTCTTTGAGGTGAAAAGAGCCGACGAAGGGAAACAATGTGTTGGTAATGGTTCGGCCAGATTATCCTTTCAGGATTATATAGAAAGGGATAAATAGGAAAAGGAAAGCTAAATTGTCGGACAATTAGACTATGAAAAATATTTGATGTGTGGAATGTAATGTAATATATAGGTATTGTATAAATTGATCTGTATTGAATTTCATTAATGATATTGTCGTAAAAAAATATATATTTTTTGCATTGTATAAATTCACTTTTTTCCACATCCTACATGTATTTGTTAAATTTAAACAATCAAATAAATCCCATGCTCTTAAGATGATCTCAATAAAGATCGAAACGTTGGCACGATAAAGAAACTTTTTTCTGAAACCTACATCACACCAGACCGCATCTCACTATTTCCGAATAATCATCGAATAACGTCACTAATCACCACACATTTATAATATGTTTTAATACAAATGAATTGTACAAGACGTTTACCTCATAGTAATGTAATAAAACAAGTCGAATATTGCATCAGAAAAACACGTCACAGCACAACGACAGGTCCGTATGTCAACAAATTATTTAAACAAGAACACCTGAGCAGAAGTGGTGGGACCGAAAAATCAGTATAAAAGAAGCTCCCGTTTAAAGAAAATATCATTTCTTGTAGAAAATTTTATAAAAATGAAAGGTCTTATCCTTGTTTTCGCCGTCATTGCTACAAGCTGTTTTGCTTCAGTGGTGAGAAATATTACTATTATTACAAATATATTAATTAACTTTTTTACTTTGAACGATGTATATAGTTATTAATATGAAACAATATAATAAAAGTTCAATATATTAAAAGCAATTAATATATAATATAACAGTAGAATAATATAAATAAAATGGAATAACAATACATCTTATGCATAGTCCTATTAAAGAAACTCCTTAAAATAATAGATTTCTGTTTAAGTGTTTCAAATAAAACCTCAACTAGTGCTTTTGTTTCAGATAGAACAAAATTATAGCGATGCTGTTAGAACCGCATGGAAGGTTTGTAAGACTGATGATATGTCGGATGGTATGGCGGTGGAGTAAAAGTAATAAAAACAATTGAAAATCTAAAAAAAAAATCTTTTCAGAAACATACTATAATATGACAGAGGGGCAACAAATGCCAAAAACGAAGGAATAAAAAGTAAATGAATTTTTTTTTAAACTTTTTATTTTTGCATCAATGGCCATCACCGGCACGGCACGTCTCATATTTTTGGGGTAATCTCCATTTTATGTCCCCCACTTTGTTCCCTACCCATTATTCTTTTCTATTAAAAAATTTCTTCTTCTTCTTTATGGATGTAAATATTTATGCCTGGGTGAACATCAATTTTATATATCTAAATTCTATTCGCCAGACTGTTTGTGTGACCCGCCCCTTTTTTAATTTCTTTTAATATTTTATTTTATTTTATTTTTTTAAATAAATTAAAGGCTGCACCCGTATTGGTCATTAAGCCTTGAGTCAACGGCGCAGCCCGGCCCCCTCAGAGCGAGGCCCCCGCAGATCCCGGCGCAGTGGCAGCCCCAGGCCTGGAAAGAACGGAACCCCACGGATCTCTCGCTTTAGTCTTAATATTGCGCGCAGGACTTTATCGAGGTGGGGTCGGTGTCTTGTCACCATCGACGCCTCCTCTAAGCTCGCTGGAGATTCCTTGACCTCAGAGTCCGGGGAAGCACCCCTCAATCCAGCCCAAGACCGACCAGCACCCGAGGACCCGCACGGGCGTCGCCAGAAATCAGCCGCACCACACCGCTAACATGGGGAACCAGCAAAGGAAACAAGAGTTGAGGGAATGGGATATTAGATTTTATCAATTAGTTGGATGTCTGTTAAGAAGTTAAAAATTTTGTTTATTGATGTTGAGTTGTTGCTTAGTATGGATTGGAGGTCTTTGGGAATCTGATGGAGGGTTCTTTTAGAGGTGTATAAAGGACAATCTATTAGGATGTGGGATATTGTGACGGTAGTTTTACAGAGAGGACATATATGTTTAGGAGTTCTTTCAAGGAGGAATCTATGGTTGAGTCGGGAGTGGCCAATTCGAAGCCGGGTTAGGAGGGTTTCTTCTTTTCGGGAGGGTCTAGAAAAGTATTCCCATTTCTTTACATCTTTCTTTATTGCGAGGAGCTTGTTTTCTGTGCAGGCACCCCATTCACACTTCCATGCCCCCAGATGAGCCGCCTAAAGTGACAGCAGAGGTCACTGAAGGGGACCCTTCCGTGAGGAACACCACTCAAGGCTGCCTCTCTCGCCATACGGTCCGCCTTCTCATTTTCAGTTATTCCAGCGTGGCTTGGGATCCATTTGAATAATACTTCTACACCTACGTCTTGATATTGCTTTAACTTTGCAAGAATATTGTAGATGTCTGGGTTTAGGGAGAATGTGTTTTTTAGTGTGGTGAGTGCTCAAAGAGAGTCAGAACAGATAATTAGGGTGGTACGGGACACATTAATGATGTTAATTGCTTTGAGTATAGCTAGGAGTTCAGCAGTAACTGGTGACTCACAGACATTAGAAGATCCAGTTCCATCCTCAGACCTGGATCCGTCAGTGAAAACAAAAACTGCTTCTGAATGTGTAGATTTGAACATTAGAAATTCATTCTTAAATATATACAGTGGGGTACGATCCTTATTGTCAGAAGAGAGTGAGTAGCAAATGGAAGGAGTGAGGAGGGTCCATGGGGGGATGGTGGATGAATGCGATTTTTAGACGTGAGGAACTTCAATTTTGTAATCTGTTAGGAATATGTGGATTTTTAGTGGGGAGGAAAAACGTGGGATGTGCCAGTCAGGAAGGTTTGGTAGAGGGCGTCCATTTGTAAAAAAGGAATGGAGAGGGTGATGGGGTGAATAGGATTTTGGCAAAATAGAAGAGGTCAGACATGCGGCGTCTATGTTTTAGTGGGAGTTCACCTGAGTCAACGTGTATGCTGTTTACAGGGCTAGTACGAAAGGCACCAATAGCCATTCTCAGGCCTTGGTTTTGAATTGGATTGATGATTTCAAGTGTTTTTTCACTGGCTGACCCATATGCAACCGATCCGTACTCAATCTCAGATTGGATAAGAGTTTTGTATAGCCTTAACAAGCTATTTCTGTCTGCTCCCCAACGGGTGGAAATTAATAGACGGAAGAGGTTCAGTGATGTTTGACATGATTGCTCTCTATTTTTAAGATGAAGTTTCCAATTTAAATGCTTATCAAAAATCAAACCAAGGTAGCGAACAGAGTCTGTGTACCGTATAACTGCATTATGCATTTTCAGATTGGGTAGAAAAGAGGGTTGTCTTTTGGAGAAAAGTACAGCGACCGTTTTAGCTTCAGAGGCTTTGGAACCGTTATTACCGAGCCAACTACTTATGGAGGACAGAGTAGATTGAATTTGTTGTTGAAGTATGGTTATATTTTTGTGTTTGCAGTATATTACAAGATCGTCGGCATATAAAAGAGCTTGCACAGGTGAATCAATTGAAGTAAGGATTTGATTAAAACATACACTGAAAAGCGTAGCACTTAGGACACATCCCTGAGGCACACCGTTTTCTTGGGAGAATTCATCAGACATGGCGCTACCACAACGAACCTGAAAACTTCTATTATCCAAAAAGTTGGATATAAAGTTCAGAATGTGACCAGAGACACCGAGACGGATTAAAGAGTCGAGAATTAGTCGTCGCCAAGTGGGTCAAATGCATTCTCGACATCAAGAAAAACAGCAAGAACTTTTTCTTTGTTGCGGAAGGCATCCATTATACACTCTGACAAATTGGTAACAGCAAGTGAGATTCGAGATACCAATTAAGTCTTTGGGCTAATATTTTTTCAAGAAGTTTACTCAGAGAGCATGTAAGAGCGATATGTCGATAGCTTGAGGCTAAGAGAGAGGGTTTGTTTTTCTTTAGGATTGGTATGTTTACTGCTTTGCCCCAGATTTTTGGAAATTTACCTTTTAGAAAAATCTCATTGAAAAAGTTAAGTATAACTTTTTGATTATTTTCACTAATTTCGTGGTCCGCTTGACCAATTAATACATTACAATTAATTAAGGTTTTTATTTGAGATGAAAAAAGTTAATGGCACGAGCGGGATTCGAACCCACGATCTTCGGCTGGAATGCTGGATACGCCGCTGCTCTACCACTTGAGCTATCGTGACCTCGATCCACTCGGACATCCTATCTCAACCCCACCTTATGAGTTTTCCCTCCTTTTTGCCATTTTTCAAATGTCGTTTAATCGGATTGCATTCTCGACGACAAATGAAAAGGCCACGGAGAGCTTTAGTGAAGTGTACTTCATTTTAATCATTAAATTCACTAATTTCGTGGTCCGCTTGACCAATTAATACATTACAATTAATTAAGGTTTTTAGTTGAGATGAAAAAAAGTTAATGGCACGAGCGGGATTCCATTGAAAAATGGCAAAAAGGAGGGAAAACTCATAAGGTGGGGTTGAGATAGGAAGTTGTTGTCCGAGTGGATCGAGGTCACGATAGCTCAAGTGGCAGAGCAGCGGCGTATCTAGCCGACGATCGTGGGTTCGAATCCCGCTCGTGCCATTAACTTTTTTCTTCTCAAATAAAAACCTTAATTAATTGTTTTTGATATTTGTTGAAAGGTTTTGTATCCTACACTGATGTTATCAGGTCCAGGGGCAGTGTCTTTTCTCGAGGACAGAGCAAGAGAGAATTCAGAGAGGGTGAAAGGGAAGTTCAAAGGATCGTTGTCATCAAGGTTTGCAGGAAGTAGAGGGGTAGATTCTTTTGATGATTTTATATTCTGAAATTTTGGGTCGAAGGTTAGTGTAGAGTCGTGAAGCGACTTTGCAAGGAGGTTTGAAATTTCTTTGGGGTTAGTTATAAAATTATTGCCTGACTGGAGGACGGAAACAGGAGGGGAATAACCATGCCCCATGATTTTGTTAACAGTGGACCAGAATTCTTTGATGGGTGTGTGCCGATTTACCTTTGTGAGAAAATTATCCCACTATTGTTTTTTGCTAGTTATGATTATGCGATTGGCTTGGTTTTTGGCAGAAGAATAGATTTCAAAGTTGGTTGAGGAAGGATTTCGGAGAAATTTTCTCAAGGTTCTTTTACGTTCATATACAGCTTGAGCACATTCAGCAGTCCACCATGGTACTGGTTGTTTAAGGGAGGGGTTGTGTTTGGATTTAGGGATGGAAATTTACGCAGCTTTTAGGATCCTACTGTTCAAATTCTCAATTAAGTCATCAATATTTGTTTCCTCTAGTACTAGGTCTTCAAGTTGGACATTGTTTTGAAATTTTTCCCAGTCAACTTTGTGGAGTTGCCAGTAGCAAGGTCTAGAGTAAAAATTAGTTTTTAGAGAGGATTTGATAAGGATGGGGAAATGATGCCATGGGAGTCAGTGAGAGCATACCAACTGAGGAAAGGCTGAAGGGTGGGGCTGATGATGGTGATGGTCAATATTTGAAAATTTGCCTGAGCGTGCACAAAAATGTGTGGCGGAGTTGGTATTTAGAATGTTAAGGTTATTCCGGTCAATAAAGGTTTCAAGGTTACGCCCATTGTGATTGGTGTGGTCTCCATACGAAAGGAAATTGTGTGCGTTGAAATCTCCAAGCAAATATACTGGTGAGGGGAGTTGGCGTAAGAGATTTTCCATTTCATCAGTTGTAAGCTTATGGTGTGGAGGGATGTAGATGGAGTATATAGTGAAGGGTTTTGGGGATAGAATTCTAGTTGCAACGACTTGAAGGGGGGTGGACAAAGACAAGGTTTGTTGGAGAAGGGAGTTTTTAATTAAAAGGCAAACACCACCACAGGCAATTTGACCTACAATCTTTTCGAGCTATTTGATAGTTACGTATTGTAAAATTATCACTAACTTTTAGGTGAGTTTCTTGAATACTAGCAACATATGGGTCGAATTTATTGATTAAGAGTTGTACGTCGTTACGGTGAAAATTTATACCATTTATATTCCATTGAATAAAGTTCATAGTGGTTAATTATAAATAAGGAAGGGGAATTTTGATATATAGGGTTAAACTTAATTAACTTATTTAAGGAAAGCGTTTGTTTGTTTCAGTTTTAGGTGTTTTGACTTTGGCTTTGGGAGAGATACTGGAGGAGTTTGAGCCTTGTGATATAGGGCGTTTGGAGCTAATTTGTCTAAGTTTAGAGATGATTTGGATTTCTTTGTGAGTGTGGGCATTGTTTTTGTGATGTTCTTATTATTGTTGGAGACTATAAGAGTTGTATTTTGGGAGGGGAAACTAGTAGATGGTGTATTTGAACTGGAGGGGATAGATATCATAAGTTCATTTTGTGGGGGAGTAGGTTGAATTTGTGATGGTGGACATGTGAGGCACTTTCCTGCAAGGAAATGAACAAGTTTTGTGAGCTTGGCTATCTCTTCTGTAAGGGACTCAATTTTATGATTTTGTGGTTGAGGAATGGGTAGGTGAGGGCAGAGAGGATGAAGGATTGGTGGAAGATGGAGGAGTGGTAGTGTGATGGGGTGACACTGGTGGATGTGGTATGGAGGCTGAGGCTACTTGAGAATAAAGTGGCATATTTAGTCTTTCCTGTAGAGAAATACGCTGTTTGTACAGAGTTTCAGCTTGCTTGAAAGACACATTTTCGCTTTTTCTTATACTTTCTATTTTCTTTTCAGCAATATATACCGGGCACTGTCTAGTGAAGGCAGGATGAGAACCAGAGCAGTTTATGCAATGTGGTGGGTTTGGGCAAATAGATGCTTCATGACTCATTTCACCACAGTTGCCACAGTTTTTTGTCTTGCAGTATTTGCTCATGTGTCGATATCTATAGCAGGAGTAGCATTGCATTGGATTAGGTGTGAAGGGGCGTACTTTGATTTGTAGAAAATCGAGATTTACTTTTTCTGGAATATCAGGTCGTTGGAAGGTGAGAAATAAAGTTGGGTTGGGGGCAGTGTCCATTCGCGCTTTTCTTCAGTCTTTCGACTTTTACCACGCCTTGGGATTCTAATTCGGTTTGAATCTCTGTTTCAGAACAATTTACCAGTTCAGGAACGAACACGACACCTTTTGAGAAATTTAGAGATCGATGGAGAGTAAAAATTACGTTCGAATTTTCATATGTTTTGATGGTTTGTAGGCTTAGGTAATCATTTTCATTGTTAATATCAACGAGGATAGATCCATTTCGGAGAAGTTTCATGGAGACTTTTGGAGCACAACTCTTTATAAATCTGCAGACTTTAAAAGGACTGAAATTGTTCAAGGAACATTCTCGTTCCGATTCTAGTGACATAACTGGAAATTTCCTGCACCATTTTCCTGTTATTTTTAATTTAGAAGTGGGTTAGGTGGTTTAGCGGTGAGTGATAAATCCATTTCAGGCATGGGCAGCATTATGAAGTAAAATTTAGCTTTACAGTGTATAAAACATAATGAACAAAAGAGATAGTACGTAAGGAGAAGGAAGAAAAGAAAAAGAAAGATAAAAATAAAATAGAAACGGGTACTCCCTGAAATAGATGTAGATTATATAGTTGAGTTAATCCTTTGTGGAAGAGAAAACAATATGAAATTTTAAATTCCATCAGAGGTCTCCCCTCTTTCACTCCTGACTATAAAAATTCAGACCTTCGACGTACTTAATATTGAGTCGGTTCATTCACGACATTTCTCCCCAATAAATACATGCATACAAAATCAAATGAATCGTAGAAGGGGCGGGTTAAATATGCGTTCACTCCTCTCAGATAATTAAATAACTACTCTATGTCGTAACTGGTGTTTCAGGGTTGTTCGCTGGTTGGAGGGTAGGTCCCACCTTTCTTGATCCACTCTTAGTCTATCTCATTCCTCTAATAAGTGTCTCACTGTTACCAGATTTCCGCACAGTGAACAGCGTTTGCATGTTCTCCTCACCAGGAGATGGCCGTGCGTGAGACGGGCTTGACCTATCCTCAACCTTGTCATTTTTTCCTTGCCTACTTTCAATTTCTCATCTATCTCATTCCAGTAGGCCAGTGGCATAATAGATCAAATTCCTCATTTTCCTTTTCAAATCTGCCGGCCTGATTGAGTTTTCCGGGTCGTGTGGGCCCCTCTCGGTCGCCCGGTCTGCACCCAACATGGCCCGGGACCACGATCTTGTCTAACTTACTTTTACGAAGTTACGAATGTTTATTAAAACTTTAAATCGATTTGTATTTTGCAGTGCTTTAAATATTGTTTGTTAAAAAAATTGGAACATGTAAGTATGATAGATTGATAGTTCTTGAAAGAATAAAATATATTAAGAGTAATAGATGGACAGCAATACAGTAAATTCACTGGCAGTGATGGAGTCTAACAAAAACCTATTTACTGATCCCAAGGAGGCAGAGAAGGCTAATTGGATATGGAGCCTTTGTCTGATCACTGGCACGAAAATTTTACATTTATTATAAAACACCTTGATCATTTTATAATACCTATTGTCTACATAATTTCACAGTCGCAACAAAGCAAGACGAATGTGAGACCTGGACTGCACTTATCGATTGTTTGATGAAAGGAGTCAATCCTGTAAGTCAATTATTTCAAAAGCATTTGAAAAATCAGCAAATATCTTAAAAACTAATACTAATATAAAATGAATATATTCTTTGTATTCCAGGGGGCCCCTCCTGGCAAATCTTTGAAAGAAAAGAAGTAATCTATAAGATCATCTATAAACTGTTTGTGTTTCACTATCGACATTTTTTTGGGTTGGTGGAACAGCAAAAGAAAAAAAAAACAACTATTGACTTGTAATAAAGTTTTTTGCGCCTTTTCATTGCATACGAATGTGTGTTCTCTATATCCTATCTTCCTTGTTTTACAATAATTAATTACGTTTTTTATGATGGTTCTACTCACAGATTTGTTTACAACGATCCGGCTTTCAAGCAAAAGGAGTTATAAATACGTCTCGACATGAATAATAGAGAGTAATATGTTAGAAATCATGTAGAGAGATTGTCACGATTATAGAGAATTACAATTTCTTTATTAAATTAATTTTGTACTTGTTATGAAATATATATTTTTTTGTACGAGGGTATGCCAACTATCCTGCGGGGTGACTGGGTTTTTCAAAAAAGTCTATTTGTTGTCGGGTTTGAATGCAGGGTTGCGCCCTTTACCTTATCTTGTTGATTAGTACTACATATTTCAGCTCAATAGAGGAAGAGATGGCCACGGTGGTAATGCTTCTGACAGACCAGTGTTTTCGAAAACGACCAATATACAGTTCACCACTCAGAGATCTCAAGAGGAATCCCACAATTTAGGTATTAATGTGCAACGCAATAGGCAATACAGTTTATGCCACAATAACTGACCATTGATAGAACTTAAATTTAACTTTAAAAAAGTATATTTTAGGAAGAAAAACGATTCTTATACACCGACATAACCCTGTGTGGATTAGCGCCTTCTCTGACAGCACCACTGTGTATTTTGGTGGTAGTGGTAATTAATTAAGGTAATTCGACATTTATTTTCTTATTTTCACTTACAAATTTTTCATATTTGCCGTAGCAGTGTACAATTTCGCTAGCCAGCTCACATTCGTCATCCATCTCCTCAACTGTTCAAAATAAAACGAACCTGTACTCTTCGTTCAAAAAAACAAGTGGTAGAAATATAAAAAAACCTTCTTGGCGGGTGTAATTGATGAAATTTTCAATTTTCTTCAACCCTTCCGGCCTATTTTTTAACATGTCCCTCGCAACATCAAGTGCCATGTCCGGATCGTACTTTCCTTCTTTTATCTGATTTATCACGTGAAATTACAATCATGGCTTTCTTTAAAATTCAACTTACAAAAAAAAGAAATACTTACGATGTTGTATGCCTTTAATGTACAAGCCCACAGGCATTTCTCATAATCGGTCTTTGGGACAGCCGGCTTAATAAACGCTTCTAGCTCTTCTGCATTGATGGATTTTTTCATCATTAATGTGCATTAATTTCAGAAAAAGGTTTGTCAACTTAGACTAAATGGCTCACCATCAGAAACATCCAGGCCTTTTTTGCATATCTGCAAAGTAGCCCGCACGTCCTCTCTGCTGCCAAATACCTAATTTTAAACATACAAATTCTATGGTAAGAAGATTGATTTAAAAGATATTTATTCGTTGTTTTACTTTATTTTGGAGGTATTAATTTATTACTGCACTATATTGTATTTTTCATCTACGTATCTCAGTTTTATTAAGTTGGAAACTGTCGTCGTTGGAAGTTTATAAAACTTTGATATTTTTTTGAAAAATAAAGTTTTTGTAAAGTGCAATAATAAAATAATACCTCTGTTATAAAAGTGTTCGCCTACTGATAAAATGAAGAGAAATACATAACAGCAGACGACGTTTTTAACAGTCGACATCGTATTCATGACTGATTTAGGTAAAAAAAGGTAAGGGACAATATATGATATAGCTCAAGTGCAGGAACCCTCGCTCTTCAAGGAGGTTGTAAGAATTTTAAAGCTCTCACGAGCACAGATCCTCGATAAGACTACGTAAATGTATTGTTATAAATAACAAGCTAGCTGCGTACTAATCCCAGGGCTTAGTAATTTGATCTTATTCCCCCCCGGCTGCGAGGGGTGGTCCTACACTGGTACCCTGGACGGGCGCTTCCTCCAGGTTATGGTGGAGGATGACATCCCGTAGCCTACATCCTGTACCGTCTAGATTGCGGACGAGAGGAACATTAGGCTGTCTGTGGAAAAAATTGTGCACCGGATCAGTAACAGGCAGCTCAAACTGACCTCTGGACGGCGTGAGGTAAAGTCGGTGCTGAAAAAACTGAATATATCCCCCTACTTTGGCGTCGGAAGAATGAAATTCCAGCTAAAAGAAAAGGAGGCGCCGGACTACGGAAGGCCTATCGGGCTCCGTGCTACAACGTGGTGGTTACAACCCGCGATACGGATAAGCGAAGGAGTGGAAGAAAGTGGGCAACGTAGAACCTGGACCTCACCACCCCATTGAAGACATATGTCCAGAAGTGGAGCTGGGGAGACAAGCCCCCCCTGAAACTCCCTAAACTCCCGCATTGTTGTAAATAACAAGCTAGCTGCATACTTACCCCAGGGCTCTGCTCCGGCGACGTTGTTTCAGGTATCCTGACTACAAAAACGGAAGGTGGAACAGAGTCTTACCAGGGGATGGCCCTTGTCCACCGCACAGATGAAGGACATCGTGTCATATTAGGTCTAAAAACCTAGAGCTAATCATAGGATGTGACGCGAATGCCCACCATATAGTTTGGGGCAGCACGAACCAATAGGAGAGGTGAGTCTCTTTTAGAGTTCATAGCTGGAGAGGGTTTCGAAATAGCCAACCGTGGTTCAGAACCTACCTTCGTCAATAATAATAGGGAGGAGGTTCTTGACGTTACTCTAAGCAGTCGATGAGGTGACGAATACATTACGAACTGGCATGTGACAAGGGTCATCTTGCTTTGACTATAGACACATAAGATTTGATCTTATTCCCCCCCACCTAATACTTGCAACATACCGTAATCCTGATTGGGTGGGCTATGTAAAATTTCAAACACCCTCTCCGGGATGCTAAGGTTAAAATTAGTGGTAGGGAGGACCTTGATCTAGCAGTTCAGAAAGTAAATGATGGAATTCTGAAAGCCTCTGAAAGGAATTCCCTTGAAAGAAAGAAAGAACAGAACCAAAACCATATGGTAGAGCAAGAATCTTCGAAAAATGAACGGACAGGTAAGAAACTGTTCAATATGTTATTCAATTTGATTAATGATAGCTAGCTAGTAATAGCTTTCAAATAGCTAAATAGATTTCAAAAATTATAAAACACTTTTTTCCAAAATTAAAGATCCTACACCAATAACAAATAAATCTGTCGTAGTCTACAAGATCAACTGTTTAAACTGTCCGGCAACTTACATCGGTCTTACATCCCAATATCTGAACAAGAGAGTAAAGCAACATATCTATGATTGCAAAGACCCAAGCAAAATCCTACAGCACTCGCTACCCACAATTTTGAACACCAACACAATTTCGACTTCAAACATCCAATAATATTACATAAAGAACAAAACAAACAAAAACGTAATTTCTTAGAAATGGTTTCTATCAGCAGAGATAAACACAGCATCAATTACAGAACAGATACATGTAAACTCAGACGCAGCTATGCCAATATCATTAATCAAATTCAATATAGATAACATACATATATCATTACATTACAGTCCACACATCAAATATTTTTCATAGTCTAATTGTCCAACAATTTAGCTTTCCTTTTCCTATTTATCCTTTTCTATATAATCCTGAAAGGATAATCTGGCCGAACCATTACCAACACATTTTTTCCTTCGTCGGCTGTTTTCACGTCAAAGAAGCCGACGCCTTATACAAAAATGTTTTTTCTAAACTGACTTCCTTCCCCACCCCTTCAAAATCCAACGTATATAAACATAAAACAGCAAAATCTCACTGGCACTCTCAACACGACACGCAAGAATGGCACAATTACACAAAAGACAAACACTTTGAGTGAGTAGAAATACTTTGATTGAATGTATAAAAAAAATATATATTTTGCATTGTATAAATACACTTTTCCACATCCTAAATGTATTTGTTAAATGTAAACAATGTTTGTAAATCCCAGCCCTGAAGATGATCTCAATAAAGATCGAAACGTTGGCACGATAAAGAAAATGTTTTTCTGAAACCTACATCACACCAGACCGCATCTCACGATTTCTGAATAATTATCGATTAACGGTCACTAATCACAACACATTAAATTTTTTAATTTCAAATTCTCAAACCAATCTAGTTCTCTCCCTTTGTTGAAACTATGTAACACTATTGTCTTTAAATTAGAATTGAAATTATGTTGTTTTGCTTCTTTTAGATGGTTCTTAAATTTCGAAAATTTGTTAGAGCAGCGGCGTATCTAGCCGAAGGTCGTGGGTTCGAATCCCTCTCGTGCCATTGACTTTTTTCATCTCAACAAAAAACCTGAATTAATTGTAAAGTATTAATTGGTCAAGCGGACCACGAAATTAGTGAATTATCATTTTATTTTATTTAGTATTATTTATATTTTTAATTATTTAATTTTTTAAATATTTTGTTGTAACATGGAGTGGTGGAGGAGTGATGTGGTGAAGGTGGTGTGTAGTGGAGTTAGTGTGTGGTGTAAGAGGTGGTGAGGTGGAGTGAGTGGTGAGTTGGATATGACGCGGAGGCAGTGGCTGACCAAAACCGACTTGTCTTATCTAATTACGAACTTAACGAATATTTAACAAAACGCGTACAAATTTTTGTCACTGAAATTGAGTAACAGGTCGAGCTGAAGTTACTTTCGCCAATCCGCATTAAGAATATTCGCCTTCTAACAAAACGAATAAGTGACGAAAACGGCATGGTTGAAACTTTCCAATTAGGAACATGCGTTGTTATCTGTGAATGGCTTCCTGACCAAGTAAAGATATTCGGTATGCGTTGTAAGGTTGACCACTTTATTTCTCCTCTAACACAGTATTTCAACTGTCTACGTTTCAACCATGTGAAGGATCAGTGCAGAGGCGCAAGAGATGCTTGATCTGCTCTAAAGATCACAGTAGTGAGACCAGCACTGAACCTACACAATGTATACTCTGTGGAGGTAACCATAAGTCCAATGACAGGAAGTGCCCTATGTTCCAACAGCTATCAGAAAAAAAAATCCAAAACTCTAGCTAACACCCTTTATTCGAATGTGGTCATTTCAAATATGTTTAACCTACCGGAATATCTCGAGGACTTCCCCGATCTGGCACAAGATCTGCACCCCTAAAAAACAAGACCACACTTAGTTCTAGACCCCTAAAATTCAAGACAGGATTTTAATCTCTCCCAAACAATTTACAAGCCCCACAAATCCCGAAAAAAACTTGCTCGAGGAGAGTGCCTATAGCACTCAGACGACTCATCAAAAGTCAGCTAAACGAAAACGCTTCGTAATCAGGGATGATAGGGATGAGCAAGAGACGATGGTTATGGTCCAACCCACGCCACCAGTGGATCAAGAATATTCAAATCCCAACACGTTAGAAGTTAACCTACTGGTAGATCACATAAACCAACTAATTAATGATTACAAATCCAAATCTGGGTCCGAATCATCAAAATCGGTGCGTGCATTAATAAATTGTTTCTCTCGGTTATCATCTCAACTAAAGGTTAAATACACTAACACACCTGTAACACTTCCGACTAAAGAATTAACACAAACCCTTAGGTAAACATGCGAAACACAAAAAACATTAACTTGCGGTTTTTGCAGTGGAATGCCCACTTGATTCTACCGAAGAAAAATATCCTAGAACAAATCTTACACGCACATAATATTAATGCTGCGTTCGTATGCGAAACGTGGCAAGTAGCCTTCAAATGAAAAAACTACCACTGCATTTGACTGGATAAAGCAGACTCAAACGCAGGTATTGCTATCCTACTGAGAAATGATATACAGTTCAAACAGCTGGATGTCTCTAAACATTTCAGGGAAGAGGCGGTAGGCGCACTGATTACATCTAATGCCACGGTTAGTCTCTCAATTTACCCTACCCATAGCATTTCAACCTCCGGATGGGACACATTTTTCAAGTCCATACCAAACCTAGCATCATTGAAGGGGATTTCAATCTTCACTATCTGGCGTACGCAGAAAACAAACACTTTGATTGAATACAAAAAATATTTTTTGCATTGTATAAATTCACTTTTTTCCACATCCTACATGTATTTGTTAAATTTAAACAATCAAATAAATCCCAAGCCCTGAAGATGATCGCAATAAAGATCGAAACGTTGGCACGATAAAGAAACTTTTTTCTGAAACCTACATCACACCAGACCGCATCTCACGATTTCCGAATAATCATCGACAACGTCACTAATCACCGCACATTTATAATATGTTTTAATGCAAATGAATTGTACAAGACGTTTACCTCATAGTAATGTAATAAAACAAGTCGACTATTGCATCAGAAAAACACGTCACAGCACAACGACAGGTCCGTATGTCAACAAATTATTTAAACAAGAACACCTGAGCAGAAGTGGTGGGACCGAAAAATCAGTATAAAAGAAGCTCCCGATTAAGGAAAATATCATTTCTTGTAGAAAATTTTACAAAAATGAAAGGTCTTATCCTTGTTTTCGCCGTCATTGCTACAAGCTGTTTTGCTTCAGTGGTGAGAAATATTACTATTATTACAAATATATTAATTAACTTTTTTACTTTGGACGATGTATATAGTTATTAATATGAAACAATATAATAAAAGTTCAATATATTAAAAGCAATTAATATATAATATAACAGTAGAATAATATAAATAAAATGGAATAACAATACATCTTATGCATAGTCCTATTAAAGAAACTCCTTAAAGTAATAGATTTCTGTTTAAGTGTTTCAAATAAAACCTCAACTAGTGCTTTTGTTTCAGATAGAACAAAATTATAGCGATGCTGTTAGAACCGCATGGAAGGTTTGTAAGACTGATGATATGTCGGATGGTATGGCGGTGGAGTAAAAGTAATAAAAACAATTGAAAATCTAAAAAAAAAATCTTTTCAGAAACGTACTATAATATGACAGAGGGGCAACAAATGCCAAAAACGAAGCCAGAAAAAGTAAATGAATTTTTTTAAAACTTTTTATTTTTGCATCAATGGCCATCACCTCATATTTTTGGGGTAATCTCCATTTTATGTCCCCCACTTTGTTCCCTACCCATTATTCATTTCTATTCAAAAATTTGTTCTTCTTTATGGATGTAAATATTTATGCCTGGGTGAATATCAATTTTATATATCTAAATTCTATTCGCCTGTTCATACAGACCTACAGTACAAATCTACTTTAAACATACAGTGCATTCTCGCTTATAAATACATTCACTCCAGTAAATATATTTATCCACTACCCACACTAACTATACAATTAAAGACAATACGGGTACCACCGCGCTATTTTAAATTTCATCAGAGGTCTCCCCTCTTTCACTCCTGACTATAAAAATTCAGACCTTCGATGTACTTAATATTGAGTTGGTTCATTCACGACATTTCTCCCCAATAAATACACGCATACAAAATCAAATGAATCGTAGAAGGGGCGGGTTAAATATGCGTTCACTCCTCTCAGATAATTAAATAATTACTCTATGTCGTAACTGTTGTTTCAGGGTTGTTCGCTGGTTGGAGGGTAGGTATTTTAGCACCTTTCTTGATACACTCTTAGTCTATCTCATTCCTCTAATAAGTGCCTCACTGTTACCAGATTTCCGCACAGTGAACAGCGTTTGCATGTTCTCCCCACCAGAAGATGACCGTACGTGAGACGGGCGTGACCTATCCTCAACCTTGTCTGTTTTCTTCTATCTCGCTTCCCCAAGTTCTCCACCGGCTATGGCCACACTGTTTCCTAGCATACTTTCAATTTCTCATCTATCTCATTCCAGTGGGCCAGTGGCATTTTCCTTTTCAAATCTGCCGGCCTGATTGAGTTTTCCGGGTCGTGTGGTCCCCTCTCGGTCGCCCGGTCTGCGCCCAACTTGGCCCGGGACCACGATCTTGTTTAACTTACTTTTACGAAGTTACGAATGTTTATTAAAACTTTAAATCGATTTGTATTTTGCAGTGCTTTAAATATTGTTTGTCAAAACAATTGGGACATGTAAGTATGAAAGATTGATAGTTATTGAAAGAATAAAATATATTAATAGTAATATATTTTTGAAATAGATGGACGGCAATACAGTAAATTCACAGGCAGTGATGGATTCTAACAAAAAACTATTTACCGATCCCAAGGATGCAGAGAAGGTTAATGGGATGTGGAACGTTTGTCTGACCACTGGTACGAAAATTTTACATTTATTATAAAACACCTTGATCATTTTATAATACCTATTGTCTACATAATTTCACAGTCGGAATAAAGGAAGACGAATGTGAGACCTCGAGTGCACTTACCGTTTGTTTGATGACAGCAGTCCTTTCTGTAAGTCAATTATTTCAAAAGCATTTGAAAAATCAACAAATATCTTAAAAACGAATACTAATATAAAATGAATATATTCTTTGTATTCCAGGGTGGCTTATCACTTCCATCCATGGCCCCTCCTGGCCAATCTTAGAAAGAAAAGAAGTAATCTATAAGATCATCTATAAACTGTTTGGTGGTTGGTGGAACAGCAAAAGAAAAAAAAAACAACTATTGACTTGTAATAAAGTTTATTGCGCCTTTTCATTGCATACGAATGTGTGTTCTCTATATCCTCTCTTCCTTGTTTTACAATAATTAATTACGTTTTCTATGATGGTTCTACTCACAGATTTGTTTACAACGATCCGGCTTTCAAGCAAAAGGAGTTAGAAATACGTCTCGACATGAATAATAGAGAGTAATATGTTAGAAATCATGTAGAGAGATTGTCACGATTATAAAGTATTACAATTTCTTTATTAAATTAATTTTGTACTTGTTATATATTTTTTTTGTACGAGGGAATGCCAACTATCATGCGGGGTGACTGGGGTTTTCAAAAAAGTATATTTGTTGTCGGGTTTGAATGCAGGGTTGCGCCCTTTACCTTATCTTGTTGACCTTACTGAAAATCTTTATTGCGACTAGAAAAAACACAACTTTTTCGGCGAGTATCGTAAAAAGGTGAAATAAATGATAAAATCTAAACGAATTAAATCAAAAATAAAGTAACGTAAAAAATGTACTTCGCCCAAAAACGACAGTCATGTCGAGCAACAAATATTAGTTCCTTGAGCGGAAGCATGATTGAATAATAATATTTTTAAAAAAATTGAACTTTTGAAACAAGCGCAATATGTAAGTACATACGATCCAAGGCTTGCCCTCGCTGTGTCCGGACCTGATAAATGGTGACCCCGAGAAAGTGAAGAAGATCAAGGATATCATTGAATATTGCGGAGATGACGGTAAATGATAAGTTTTATCCGTTTATTATATTACATATTATAATTTTGAATCTTGCAGTTCCCAAAAATGAAGAACTAGTGCGACCTCGCTGACGAGATAATGCAATTCTTTCTTAAACCGGAAGGAGGATGTACCATCACTGCTGGCAAATCACATTGGAAAAACCTATACTTTCTAGTTATGTAAAAGTAATCTTGGACAAACGTTTTTAAAATAAAAATATTAGATGTTAAACAACCAATTCGTTTCCTTTATTTCAAGACCAATTTACCAGACAATTCCACAACAACGTGCAATAAGGATATATCAAATATTCCGACCAGATAGAAATTGTATTATTTTTTAACCACTCTACAATATTGTAAATGTTTTAAAGGTCTTTTACCTTAACTGTGTTTATAAGAGCTAGGAAAGTGCTTGAAACTACCCATACACACAAAAAAAGGCAATTTTTATTTCAGTGACATTTATTAATTAAAATCTTTTGCACAAATATCGAATGCTCTCGGTAAACTCCATTATTTGCTTCAACTTCATTTATATACATTTATCACCTAATTGCTTTAAGCCTGAGCAGTGGAAAGATGTCTTACTTCCTGAAGTTGATTAACTTAAGTAAATGTCAACCATTCATCAGGATGCAACGCCCATAATTATCGGCAGCGTATCGGTTGCGGCTCCAGGCGACAGATCGGCGCGACTCGTCATTGAATCATGGCGTTTCAAAACGTGGACGTCTCTGCTGCTACTTCTTTTGTCAAAATAACAACAGAACAACAGAACAGGTAGTGAAACTTGTTTGAAAAATTATTCACGAACTAACTTGTTCATCTTATCATGGAAGAAAATGTCAGAACAGCTGAAGCTGAAAATATGGTTACCATCACATTGGTGAACACAATATTTTTACAACTGCATAAAAAGGTACTGCTACTGATAATAGAGATAATAAAATGACTAGAGTGCTTCTGTCCAGTTTACAAATAAATAACAGAACTGAAGTAAACGCATTAGAATTAAGAAAAATATTATTTTTTCATAAAATGAAAATTAATTAAAATTAAATTCTCCACAAATAACTATCTGCATTTTAAAGCAGTAATGATATATGAATAAAAATCAACCCAATTGTCTCCATTTAAAATGGCTAAGCACTGATCATGTGACAAAGATCTCCGGTTAAAATGGCTTAAACGAAATTATGCCAGAATAGGACAAATTGAAAATTCGCCTAGAAAAGCACATTTTCATTGACATCGTAATTACGTAGTGAACAAAGGTAATTTTAATTTTGTCTCCGGTGTTGACAATTGAAATTTATCATTTCTGTTCTTAATTTAAAAAATAAGCTAGCCTTATTTGTACTTAAACGGTTGATGTAATCTAGAACATGACGTGGCTGTACAGGAGGTATCTTGCTGCGGATACATTGGCCGATAATCTGTCCCTTTTCCTCAACCACAGCTTCTCAAAAATTGTTAAAGCGAGGCAACTAATATATATTCGGCACTGAATCTATTTAAATCCAATCCATGGGGACTTGCGCTCTTTCCAACCAGACCTTAACCGAATCAGTCTTTAACAACCATTGAATGTTTTCCATAAAGGTGGAATGTAAGTTAAACTTAAAAAGAAATCAACTTAATTTTAGTTTCTAACTAGATCAATAATTATTGCTGGGAAGGGATAATATTCTGTTTGCACAGAACTGTTGAAATTTTTCCAACTAGGTATTCTCTATACCCCCAAATTTGCATAACATGGCAAGTTCTATTAAAGCCTAATTTGGCTAGTTTGATTTTTTCATCGAACTTATCGTTTTAATTTTAATTTTAACTGAGATGCCAATGATACCCTCAAATATTTATTTGTTTCAACTGTTTCTAAAATTTCATTTTTGGATTTCCATCTTTCGTTTGGTCGTAAATTACATTTATTGTTTTTAAATATCATAATTTTTGATTTAGCGGTACTAACTTTAAATTTCCTGTAGTCACAATACAATTTTTAATCTATATTTTTTTGTAACACCAAAGGAGAGTCTGCCAGTAATACTACATCATCAGTGTACAGAACAATTTATTGCAGTACTATGGTATGTATCGTATCGCTGTCATTTGCTCCAGTAGGCACGAGAATGTTGCGCTGATAAAAGTCTATCGGGCGATGATAGATCGTTTAATGCATGCAATGACTGAATTATTCGACGATCTTGATTTTGTTTTGTTTTACATTGATGACCTGATAATATACTTTAGGGATTGGGAAAGTCATATTGCACGTTTAGAAATTGTATTTGATCGTTTAAGTAAAAACGGGCTCACAGTAAACCCAGAAAAAATCCAAGTCGCGACTGATCAATTAAATTTTATGGGGCATATTATATCATACAATAGAGTTTGTACAAACTCAGCACGAGTAGAAACGTTATGTAAAATGGAAAGGCCAAGAAACCTTAAAAAATTATCATCATTTCTAGGTGCTATTAATTATTTTAAACAATGTTTATTATTATTTGCCAACTACCGGAAATTGCTCATCCCCTTCATTCTGCAAAAAGGAAAGGAACAGATTTAGTATGGCGCGAATGTCATGAAATAGCCTTAAAAAATTAAAGAAACATTAAGTACGGAACCATCCACACAGTGTTTGAGCATGCATGACTTCAAAGAAGCCCAATTTAGATACAGCGAACAGCAAGACGTCGATCATCATTAGCTATCCGAAGGGGGTCAAATGTAAGTGGGGAGAATCTTGTAAATAGTTTTAAGTTTGAAGACAAACTCGGTTTTTCCAGGCCTTTGAGGGTGAGAAATTTTGTCACGTCTCAATTTATTTCGTAGTGACAATGTTGTGATTTAGATTTCATGATTAGGCCTACAGTAAAAATAAAGGAGGATCTCCACAATGAGGGTAGAGACAATCGAGTCTAAAGGTGAAAGAGTCCATTTCCGTGTAGGCGAGATACAGAATTAAGTATGCGATCCTGAAAATAATTTAAAAAGTGTTGTAATCCTTAAAAAAAGAGTGCTTCGGTCTACTGGATTATCTGTAAATAGCGAGTACCCATCCACCCTTGTTTCAAATGGTCTGGCAAACGGTTTGCTTGAAATTACTGTTTATTTACATTTAAAAAAAAAATTAATTGTTGGTTTAAAATCTACAAAATAAATTAAACTTCTGTTCATTGTTATTTTCTTGCGTGATTAATAAATTGTTTTAAAACTTGAATTAAATTTTATTATAAAAACGCACCCGTTCGGTTTGTATCCAGGATCTATCAAAACCTCTGGGCTTTATTCCTAACAAAAAGAATTCATAGTAGGGCCCGTCTTGTCGATAAAGGTTGCACAAATAACAAGATTTCTCGTGTTTTGACAATTTGGGTATATTTTTTAAAAAGGAAAATCATAAACTAACCATTCTTACTTACATATGCATATATTTATCTATTTATTTTGTATTTATCTATACAAAAGAATAACATTAACTGTATCATTTGGAGTTGTATAAATTATTTCAATAAAATGACATATGTTATTTCCATAAGCCACAACAAGAAATTAATGATTAGAAGAATTAAAAATATCACAATGAATTAAAATGAGTCGCTTTATCTTACAATGCAAAGAGAGAGGTTTACGTTTTACATTTCTTTCTGCCTTGGTCGACGAGCTTAGCAAGGTCGGCGTCCCAGCCGGCCAACTTGGCGAGTCGTACCACGCTCGCGTCGCAGTCGCCGTCCAAGAAAATGTCTTTGGAACTGCCTTTGAAACTGATACCGAGGCTCTCTCCGACCTTGCCCTTGTTGATGATCAGCCTCGGGCACTTTTTGCCGACCCTGGTGACGAGAGAGGCGACCGGCTGGACGGAGAGGGAAGAGCCCATGATTATCAGCAGGTCGCACTTCGGAAAGTCCTTCTGCGCCTTGACGAAGAATTCAACCGGCAGGTTTTCCCCGAAGAAGATTATGTCCGGCTTGACGACATGGTGACACTTTTCGCAGAGAGGGACCGGCTTAGCGGAGATGGCGTTCTTCATCCAATCGAACGAATACTCCTTGCTGCAATTGGTGCAGTGCGACGTGTAGAATGTGCCGTGAGCTTCGATCATCTTTTCAGGAGAGACGCCCGCCAATCTCTCCAGGCCGTCGATGTTCTGCGTGTAGTGTCGCAGGAGGATCCCTTTCTCCTCGAGTAGTTTTATGAAATAGTGGGACTTTGTCGGCTTGAACGTGCCGGGCATCAAGTCTCTCGCGAGTTGAAAGAACGGTTCGGGCTTTTCTTGGAAATAGTCCAACTCAAATATGGCCTCCGAATAGGGCAAATTGAATTTCTTTAAATTGTCGTAAAGGCCTGTTCCGGGTGATCTGAAGTCGGGGATCCCTGCTGACGTGCTTATGCCGGCTCCGACGAGAGTGACTACGTTTTTAAACTGATTCATCTTGAGCTTTTCGGCCAGACTGGACAAATTCGAAAGGGTGCTTTCGTCGACCGAGGAAATTTTAAGCGATGCCAATTGCTCCTCAAGTGTCCTGCTCGAATCCTTCTTTTCCTTCTCCCGACCGGCCATGTCTTTACTAATAGATTCTAATTTCTCAACATGTACGTCAGATTTGTTTTCCTTTGATTTTGAACTTTTATTACCCATATCTTCATTTTTATCAGGTGACTTCTCGCTCGACTCCATCCTATTGCTTGATTTTTGACAGCTGCGGACAAACATATCAACACAAAAATTACAAAATTGAAATGACTAGATACATTTATTTTTAAAGTTATACCAATTTTTGAAAGGTTTGTTCCTTTTACTTAACATCAAATTATTGTTATTTGGCTTATCAGACCTCCCTCCCCGACGATTCTACAATACAGGAATAAAGGGGTTAATTAATTGGCTTTACAAAGAGGGGCTTGTATGAAATTATGCTCAATTAAATTTTGTTACTTCATACAGTTCTATAAGTTTTTTAATGTTAGTAAAATAACAGGCTTCTAACATAAAAAAATACATTTCTGATTGGACATTTTTGGAAAAAATCAGAGATTTATTAAAAATAGTATCACCCTCAAAACATTGCATTATTTTTACTATATTAAGTTTTTAATGTTTAGTTAGTTGTGAATAAAAAAAATCAAAAGCGATTAGTTTTAACCCTAAACTAAACCGGTTGATGTGAAATAAGAATGATTCTCTCCCCCAATAACAATGTATGCCATTTGTAAAAGTTGTAAATTCAGCTCATTACTTAGTGTAAATAAAGTACACATCACAAATAATAATATTTATAAATAATAAAATAAAATCAAAATAAATGTTATATAAAATATATAACAAAAAGGCAACGTTTTTGACTTGCAACTTTATTGGATTCATTAAGCTGGTATTTCCGCATTATCCGTTTTCAAATAATTCAGAAAAAAAATTATTATATATTTTTTGCAGTAAAACGAACTCTTTTTACACATATTCAACTTTTTTTACGGACTACCTATCTTTCAAAATCAGCAATTGAATTAAAATATATTTCCGAGATTGGTTTTATCATTTTTCCAGCAGAGCGAATTTATACTAATCGATGAAAACTATTGTTTGATCCTTATCAAGACAAGTTTAGGAATTTTCAAAAGCCTTTTCTAGTTTATCTCGGAAACAAATGCAATGGAAGGAAAACTGCGAAACCCCTGTAATTGTTCTTAAGTTACATTAAATTTCATTACAAGTGCCAACTGGTTCTAACCAGGTCCCATTTTGGTATATATTCTTGGTCTATCTTGATTCGGTGGCTCAGCTGGGTTAGATTAAAAGTGTAAAAATACAATTTACGAGGCTTCCTTTTCGATTCTTGTTGGATGGCTAACCAACATTAACGAAATTACCTTATTTTTTACTAATTAGATTTAAATGTTGGCGAATTGAGAAAATCTAGTAACTGATCAAACCTCAATTTAGTTTATTCCATGATTTGTTTCTTTTATCTAGTAAAATATGTACAAAAATTAAATAAATCGAGAGGAACAACTTTTTTTGTCTGTCTTCCGTTCCTTCTAATTATCATTGTAATTCTAAACAAGAATATGTTTGCACAAACTACAGGAAACTCGTATAAACTCTCCAGGAAAACTATTGTAAAATTCTTGACAATCTTTTCCAAAAATACAAATGGAATAAGAGTATATGAAGAAGCGGATGTTTCCTTAGTCTTCCAAACTTTTTTTCATTTGATAAGTTAAAAATGTTCAGGCCATGGATGCTTGAATCCGATTTCTCAAATTAAAAGAAAAAAAATCTTGTACAAAACAACAAACGTTTCCAAACAATCTTAAACTAAAAAAAATATATTTAAATTGTAAAAATAAAGACCGAAAAATTTTTGGTAATGCTTACAATAAGTAGTACACTAACCTATTTGAAAGTTTTTTTTAGAGAAAAGTAAGAACCAGTAGTGTATAATATATGAAATTCATGGGAGAAAACGTAAAACAATAAATATATTTAAAATCGTTGAAAACAATACTTATGTTCGAGATCCGGAGATAATTACTAACATATTTAATAACTATTTTATTTGAAACAGTTCAAAATGTCCGTAAAAATCTTTTCTTCAATAAAATACGGAATCCTTGTCGAAGAGAGGTTACGGCAAAATCCTTTTTATATGTCCAATACAAGAGTCTTTAGTCCTTGAAGGGTTGCATCCTGAAATTAAGAAATCGCCAGGTTCTTCATAAAGATGAATTTATCCGTTAAAAATATTTTGGTTTCCAAAATAAGAAAAGTACTGTGAATGCTAGTAGTTCACTTCTTGTCTCAGGTTTATTATGATTTAAGTATTAATAAAAACTATCAGGTGTATTCTTAGAAATAAGTCTTCGACACCTTAGACCATTTTATTACAAAATTTTGAAGTTCTTGGTACCCGAGGTATTTTATTGCCTTTGTTGTTGTGGTTTAATTGATACATTAAAAATTGTAATCAAAGGTGAAAATAAGTTACAGGTTGAGTGCCAATATAAATTGTTGAACATAGGATGCCAGGGATCTGTGGTGGAGCCCTATACTTTTCATCGTGATTACTACGCCAGGACATAAAGGATTTCCTAACAGCATTTGCTGCTTCTCAAGGGAAATTATTGGTAATTATTGAATATAAATTATCTATACTTCGAAATAGAAAGACAAAGTTAATAAACTTTTGAAAAATATATCTCACACAATCGAAGCAACTAGCTTTTTCGAATTAAATCCTCCAATCACCTAACTCTGGTGACCAACCCTTGCGGGGCGGTAGTAAACATGGCCAATCAAAAGATTGGTAAAGACCTTTTCTGTTAACCCTATTCTTCTAACCAAACGCAGATCTGTAATTAAACTAACTGTTTGTTTAGTTGGCAACAAGTTTTTGTGTGCACTCTTTAAATAATTTTGCTCAAAATTTGATAGTGGAAGTAAGGCTAAGTATAACGTATAAATAATAATACATCTTCCTAAAATAACAAACAATATTTGAAATATATCTCTTGAGAACTTTGTATATATACGATCATTTACGAACGATCAGTTCAACGAACTACATAATTCAAAAATAAATTATTGACATGATTGAATAACAATTTATTGGAAGTCGTTTTTTTTTTGTTTTTTTTTTCAAAATTCGCTTTTAGCGTTTCTTTTAGAGCATTCTTTAAATTATGTTGCTCTATGTTTGATACTGAAAATAAGGTCATATCTCTTGTCACCTTTTTTGTGACCTATTTAAATACGAATTCAGCATAAGGACTGTTCTTGAAAGAACAAAATATTGAAATTATTTATTTTATAACTGAATAACTACTTGTGGATGACATTGAATATAACGTATAAGCTGGGTTGATACTTAATTTTGTTTTTAATATATATCTTTAAATACAGTACTTTACCAGTACTACTGGTTTGGTACTTTATTACGTTTTAATGTTTTTAATGTACATATTTAATATTTTGACTCGTGTTGCCACTGGAATAATGGTCAACTAAATTACAAAATTTTCAGATGTCACGTTAGGCAAAATTATTTAAATTTATTTAATTTATATAAGAGTGTCTTAATTAGTTAATAAACCATTAATATATGTTTAAAGTATAGAAATCGTTACAAAAAGAATGATTGGTTGGATGTTAAGAGGCATTTTGTTAAACCCGATTTATCATATATTGTTTAAAAGACGGTTAATCGTTAAATATTACAAAGAAAAATTAGCCTTAACGGTCAATAAAAGCAGGATTAAAAGTGTAATCTGTAAATCATATTGGTTTGATCTTGTTTACTTACTCTTACCACACACAATAGAAACAGAGTTTACACAAGTCGATGTTGTCTTTGTTAAAAACGCTTATTCACTTGCCATTTCGATAAAGAAGTACTAGTTCTTAAAAAAAGGGATTTTCCCGTTGTTTTGAGTTCAAATAAATTCACCACTCGCTTTCGACAAGGATTGCTTATACTTACCAGAAGTATCAGAACAGCGTAGCACTAAGTTCTGATCGAGAAGGTTACAAAACGGTTTCAACCAAAGATGACTGGTGTCCGCTATCGACCAAAGACGGGAAATTTTTCCCCCCTCTTTGCGCCTGCGGTCCAATAACCTTGCACTACGTTCATTCCACAAGTTCTTCATTTTTAAATCTAAAATCTCGGGGCTAAAATAACCCTTGTGGTTTGCGCCCCTCGAAAAAAAACTAAAATTTTTACGTAAAATGTAAAAATGTTATTTTTACAAATGTATTTAATAAGTACAAGCTAAGGGTATTTTTAAGGGTACACTGAACAAATAGACGAAAGCGAAAAACCATACGGGTCTTCCTCCTCACCAGCCCTGGAGAGGGTTGCGGGCGGGGGCGGGGTTTTTGCCGGAGGACCGTGTCCACGATCCCGCTCGACAGTAAAATTAAAATAGAAAACTTCATGGGTAATATGCCAGCGTAAACCCAAAAGAGGGAGGAAAAAATAGGTATTTTAGATGCACCATAAGAAAGCTAATCAACCACCTGCTTAAATGGACTCTGGTGCAATTGCCTTAAAGAAACAAATATCTTGGTAAAAATTCTCTGAAATAATTTAATTCCAATTTTGCAGAATAAAAGAGTTAATAAATAAATTATTAACAAAAAACCATACCCTTTCCGCGGAAGGATCTGCATCCGAGGAAGAAGAATAGAAATTGAACAAGGTAACAGTTAACATTTTTATTTATCTATTCATTTTATTATTATTGTTTGTTTATTTATTTAAAATATTGTTGCATCATTTTATTTTATTTATTATTATTTATATTTTTTAATTAATTACTTTTTTATTATTTGTTTGTAACATGGATTGGTGGAGGTGTGATGAGGTGGTGAAGCGGAGGCAGTAGCTGGCCCAAAACCGGCTTTTCTTATCTAATTACGTTCTTAACGATTAACAAACCTTATTTAGCAAACCGAATACTCATTTTTTGTGACTGAAATTGAGTAACAGATCGAGCTGAAATTACTTTATGCTTTTGATTCCATTTGATAAGAATGACAGGATAGTTAAGATGTTGTTTGTTAAAATATGACAAATTCATTATGAGAGTTGATGTTGACCCAAATGACCTGTAAGCGCAACTCGTACTTCGTGATAGAAGGTTCCGCAATACACAAAAGCGTTTGAATATGTAGTTCAACAAATCCACGAGTAAAGACTGACCCAATAAGTGACCCAATTCCACTCCAGTCCAGCACAAAGTCATTATTTATAATATTTTTTTAATGCAAATGAATTGTACAAGACATTTACTGCATTGTAATATAATAAAACAACTCGACTATTGCATCAGAAAGACACATCAGTGCACAACGACAGGTGCATAGGTCAACTAATTATTTTTAAAAAAATTTCACACCTGAGCCGAAATGGTGGGACCGAAAAATTAATAAAAAACATGCTACCGATTAAAGGAAATATCAATTGTTGTAGAAAAGTTTACAAAAATGAAAGGCCTTCTTCATTTATTTCCTATGACTAGGAAAACTAACTAGTGTTTTCGCCGTCATTGCTACAAGCTGTTTTGCTTCAGTGGTGAGAAATATTATTACAAATATATTAATTAATGTTTTTACTTCCGATTATGCATATAGTTATTAATATAAAGCAATATAATAAAAGTTCAATATACTAAAAGCAATTAATACATAATATAATAGTAGAATAATGTAAATAAAATTTAATATGACCCTTAATAATATAAAAGTTTAAACATTATCTGGATATGCTGGTGCATTTAATGATGAAAACATGTCGTAAAATTGAGTACTTGATTAAGAGATTTTTATTTTCAAGCAGTAATTGAATTTAGCATTCGTAGACCTTTATGTACAATACGAGCAATAATTCACTTGTATTAATTTAAAGATCAACTGTCACTTCAACTACATTACTTTCTTTTTACATACACAGTGTTTTAGTGGCATCAACAGCATCACTGGTAAGGAAGTTGATTGTAAAATGTTTAAATGGCATAGATCACGTCTTCCCAAAATCTTTAGCCAGCAGACCCCTTTCATTCAACTATTTGAAATTAGATAGTTGTAGTATGTGGTAAATTAAAGTCTCATGCATTAACCGGTCCATTCGTAATTAGGTGATGGAGGGTATATCACTATAGAAACACACATTATATTGATACACATCATTATTTACAAAATCCGGAACACAATAATCCATTTGAACAGAAGGGAATCAATATGTAGGTAATATTCGAGCCAAATTCAAAAGTAATAATTTGAACATAAAAGGTTAATGGGACTTGAAGTTATTTTAGTCTCTACAATTTAGATATGTTGGGTTTAATTTTTGGTAACTGGGTACGGATGTCGGGTCAGCATCTAGGCAACTTCGGTATAGACAGAAAATCCCTTTTCGTGTTGTGGAAAATGGAAGAAGAACAAGGTTCAGTTTTTCAACGAGCGGTTGTAATTTTTGATTTCCAAACGAAGCGAAAAATGGGGTTAAGTACCGTAAGTAAGTAGATTTCAAGTTGTAATTTGAAGTAATATCATTCTTATACATTCTCTTGAAGATAAATTGGTTGGCTTTGTCGAAATAGAAAACGTTATCTCGAGCTGTTGGGAAGTAGTGCTCAAAGGACATTTCGAAAGTTAGAAGGTGTTCAGATATGTACTTCATCAGCCTTTCGCAAGCTCGTTTGTTTTCTTTAAAAAAATCATTTAACACAACTATCAAAGAGCGTACAAAATGCCAGGAGTTTAGCTCTGCGCGGGACGGAAAGTTTGGTATTCTGTTTATTAAATTTAAAAGTGTGAAAACAAACAATCTAGAAAACAACAAAACTTATCCTAACCCTAACGAAATTAAACTGAGATATCCAAACAATACATACACACAAAAATAAAGCTAGGTATTTCAAGATCTTTTGAGGGAAAGCCCTCGTATGTGTCCAGCTTGCAGAGAAAGGTTGCTCAATGTGTCCCACCTAATTGAAGGAAGCAATTCTTGGCTCCATATAGAGAGCATGAAGGAAGGCCGCCGGATATGAGAATTATGCTTGAGACGGCAGCGATCTGGATCTCTGTTCTGATTTTTGGATGAAACGGAATTGTTTTATAATATATAATAATGATAATTTTGTATCTCTAGCGAGTGTTGAAAGTGAATGTATTTATACGCCTATTGCGCACATACGCAGCTTTGAGCTTACGTAAATCCAAATCTTTCAAGGTTAATATATGCGACCATAAATTCTCCATTAGGCACAATAAGACGTGGTCAGGTAGGCGTAGGAGCTTCGTTCGTCGAATTCAGCTTGTGTGGTGTGGTTTCTGCATTGACATATTAGGTCATCTATAATATGAAATCGACAGAGGTAAGAGCGGTTTTTCTCGTGTCCAGTAAATATTGAAGGTGGTTTGTAATGTAGGTTGAATTCAGAATTCCATCAGCCAGCTACTATCGGGAATCTTTAGATGTTGACTCTATTTTCCGCCGCCCACTTTTCCCCCTAGTCAATTGGATATCATTTTGTATCTTACTCGAGTAAATATGTGTCACAAGTTGTTTGGTCCCTTTGCTATTCTGTTCGACATTTATTTGATGCTGAATCTATCAAACTGTGAAACAATCTATTAAATTACAATAACTTTTTTTTTTACTTCGCGAAAATCATAGTTGCCATGTAATCTAAGGAAACGTGGGGCAATCCTCCTTAGTGTAGGATCTTGCTTGTGGTTTTTCTTGTCCTAGTTGCAAGAATCTGCACCTAATAGACCTTCACAGTAACATAGAATATGTTCTGCGGTCCCTCTTCTTCCTGGCAGTATCTGCTCAGTGTTCCTGTCTATACTCCTATCCGGTGCGTGTGCTTTCTTAAGTGGCACTGTCCAACCAGAATCCTGGTTCGGTTGCGGTTGCCTTCCAGTAATTCTTTCGTAAGTTTTGCGGATGGTCCTTCTATAAATCTCTTCGCGTGCCTCATACCTGTGGTGTTATTCCACCATGTTTTGGACTCATTAAGTATCCATTTTAAGATGTATCCTGTTTTGTGGCAGGTTGCGAAGCCACAGTAGGGTTCAAGACCTAGAGAGTCCATGCTGGCCCTATTTTTGGCCAACATGTCAACTTTTTCGTTGCCTATATGCCCCGGTGTTCAGGGTCACAAGCCAGAGTCAGGTCATTGGTGTCGCTGACTTTTATCCGCAGTTCCAAAAAACTCTTTGCTTTCGCTTCGCAAGAGGCCTAGGGCTCTAAGTGCTCTCTGGCTGTCAGAGAAAATGAACTTACGGGAATGTATTCCTAGCGTTTTTATTTATCTGGCGCATTGTTCAATCGCTAAGATTTCAGACAGGAAAACTGTTTCATATTTACCTAGGTTTTACCGTCAGTTCGGACTTTGGGTTTATCTCGAAGACTCCAGCTTCCGTACCCTTGTCGGTTTTGGAGCCGTCAATATACCAGTAGGAGTTTACCTTTCCTTTGGCCCAGTCTTCCCGTTGTGGTATCAGTACCTTGTACTTTTTAGTAAAGATGTAGGACTGCCTTGTACTTTGAAGTAGTGGCATCATAGTCTAGAATAGCATCTGCCTGTATCTCCTCCCTCAGTTTCCATTGTTTACACGGCCTATCCTTGCAGATGATTGTCCATTTATGAGTCTGTGGGCTTCTTCTCGGATTAGAATATGATGTGGTGGGAGGTTTAACATCATTTCCAGGGTCGCAGCTGGCGTTGTGCTCCTGCTTCTAGTGACACTGAGGCAAGCTTTTCTTTGGGTGTCACTTAACAACCTTATTTCTTTGACCTGAAGAGTCTTGGTCCACCACAAAATGGTGGTTTCTTGTTAGGGATGAATTATTATAACAATTTAGAAGATATTCTATTTGTAACCAAATTAAATTTTTGGATCAATTCAAAATTTAAAAAAACAAAGTAACTTATACCTATTACCTTTTGAAAATTTAACAGTACATACAATTGTGGGATAAGTCAAATAGTATCAATCAGTATAATGATTAATTATTTGTATTGGTAATAGGATTTATTAAGAATGTATTAAATTGTTTATTAAAAGCTTTAATATTAAGTGCTTTGTTTCGAACATGTGATCGAACGGGATCAGTCGTCTGATTTTTGTTTTAAAACCGATTTTCTCTTAAAAATTGAAAAGCGTGTGCTGTTCGAAAAATGTTACTCTGGTTGATCGGTGTATCTGTCTCTGTGTATCTCGGGGCGGTTTTCGGATCGAATGTCCAAACGATCAATGACGAGAATTACGACGAGTTCATGAAAAACAACGGTAAGGTGTTTCTGATGTACTTCAGGAAGCCGCACAGCTACTGTTCTCTGATAAGACCCCGCTTCGAAGAGGCGGCTGCCTCCGGACCGGAAGACGTACAATTTGCGAAGATCGACTGTTCGGGTACGGGTAAAAACACTTGTAAGAGTTATAACGTCTTCGGAAACCCTGACTTCCTGTTTTTTAAAAACGGCATTAACGTCGGAGAGCACAGAGAAGAGAGGGAAAAACGGGCATTCCTCAAGTTCATTGATGAAATGCTGTTAAACAATGTCCACAAGTTCGAAACGACTGACGAATTGGAAAACTATTTCGACGACAATTCTGATAAAACGACTGCTGTCGGGTTTTTCGATGGCGATGCTCCACTGAAAGAACCCTTCTTGAGAGTCGCCGATAAACTTAGGCAAAGGCTGAATTTTGCGATCGTCGCGTCGTCTCAAGCAAATGATTCATTCAACTCTGTTTCTCTTTATCAGCCGAAAATGTTCAGAAACAGCTTGGAACCAAATTTTGTTAATTACGAGGGAGAAAATAACGAATACGCTCTAGAAGAATGGATTAAAGAAAACCAACACGGGACCTTACGCTATAGGAGAGTCAAGAACGACTGGCAGTTCAAAGACAGCAAACCCAAAGTAATGACCTACTTCAGAATCGATTTTTCTAACAAAGATAAATATTCTCTTTACTTGAGGAATCGAATCCTCCAAGTTGCACAGAAATTCAAAGATCATTTTCATTTTTACCTGAGCTCGATGGCAGAGTATCCTCAGGAGCTGCTATACTACGGCTTTCAAGAAGATCTGAAAGCAAACCGTCCGTTTGTGACGGTTAAGTTCAACAACAGGAAATACGTCATGAACGACACCTTTTCTGTCGAAAAAATGTCGGGTTTTTTGGAAGACCTCCTTGAGGAAAGACTTGAACCGTTCGTCCTTTCGGAAGAAGTCCCACAGGCATCGGACGGCCTGGTAAAACAGGTTGTGGGGAAAAATATCGAACAGGTACTGGCTTCGGAAAATCGAGATGTCATGATAATGTTCTACGCCCCTTGGTGCTCGTTGAGCAAAAGGATGAGCGATAAACTGAGTTTATTGGCGGAAAAGCTTATCGACGAAGACATCGTCGTCATGAAGATGGACGCCGTCAGCAACGACGTTCCTTATTCTTTTGACGTTTCAGATTTTCCGACAACTTACTGGATTCCAAAATACAAGAAACACGAAAAAATTCTCTACAAAGGAGGATCGGATCTAAACTCTCTCTTGAGATTCATTGGAGGACATGCGTCTGAAGAGCTCAAAAATTACGGAAGAACTGGCCAACCCAGGAGCAAGGAAGATCTTTAAAATATTTTCCCTTTATGCAATTTAATCTACCCTTTATGACCAAAAGCTGCGTTTGAATATACCTTTTTTGTATTATTAATTGTAAATATATTACTAAAAAAAAGTTTTTTATTTATTTTTTATTAAAGTTGTTAACCATTGACGGCTTATAATGACCGAATGGAATTTATATAAGAGGTCCAGGAAAAAGAAGTTAAGGAATTTACATATGTAGGTGTACAAACATTTCGTTGGTCTTTTTTATGATATTAATAATTATTTGAATAAAAATTTAGAGAGGTCAAGTTTGTGGCCTGAAGAGTACCAGAAGACTGCTGTGACCTAGCTTTCGCTCGTCTACAGACTTCGGCGTTGTGACGCTTTCACGAAGCGACACTAAACACAGCCACTTCGGACCTCCACTGCTACAAAAGAAACATTGACGATTGATAAATTGAAAACAAGTCACTCAACAACAGCGGGAAGTTAAAATTCAAATGTGTTAATGACCATCATCCTTTCTCGGTGGGCATGTTTCAACGGGCAGAAACGATAAGACGTCGCCTATATTACGTTTACAATAACTTTTCTAAATTGAGATTCTCACTTATTTCATTTAGACTAATGATATGTATTAATGTTCTTATAATGTTAATTTTCCCTATGCTTTTATTCGTTTAAAGTACGCAATGAAATTACACTTTGTTCGTAAAAATTCTAGTCTTTTGTATTTATTTATTAAAATATTTTTTTATAGTTATAATACATAAAGGAAATTGAAGTTTGATCAGTAAAGGATGATTTTGAATTGCTTGTTTACAAACTGTAGTATAAACTGTTATTCCTATTTGAAACAAAACATTCAGTACTCTGCGTGAATAGATCATGATTATATAATGTACTATATATTTATAGTTATAGATAGATTATGTAATTTAATATCATGATTTATTTACGTTTAATAATATTACAATACTTCTATAAATTGTTTGTAATACAAAAATGCAATATTTCACGGATGCTTATTATTATGTATAACCTATTTAATAGAGCTTGCATCAAAACAATAATAATCCAAAAATAAACTAATAAAATGCATACAATAAAACATGTACTAATTATGATATAAAAAACTAAAAATAATTTAAAAAACTAAAAATAAGAGATTTGTACAATTCACTCTTTCAGTCCTGAGTACATTCATTTATTTCCTCAATTGAAATTTACGGATCTAAAATAGATATGAGTAAAGTTTCAATATTTATGTATTTGGCCAATACAATCTAAAATTAAATTGATATTCGTCTAATAGTTTTTTTAAAATTTTTATACAATTTTTGCCATGGAGTCTAATTTATTTGACAAGGATGTGCTTATCTCTAGGATTAAAAATAATATCAATAATTTTAGTACTTTATATGGTATTAAATTCACTATTTTTCGTGGTCCGCTTGACCAATCAATAACATTCAATTAATTAAGGTTTTAAGTTGAGATAAAAAAGTCAGTGTCACGAGCGGGATTCGAACCCACGACCTTCGGCTTGATACGCCGCTACTCTACCACTTTAGCTATCGTGACTTCGATCCCCTCGGGCACTTACTTCCCATCCCAACTCCACCTTTTTGAATTTGCCCTCCTTTTTGCCATTTTTCGAATCCCGCTCGTGACACTGACTTTTTTATCTCAACTTAAAACCTTAATTAATTGAATGTTATTGATTGGTCAAGCGGACCACGAAAAATAGTGAATTTAATGAATTGAAATGAAGTACACTTCACTAAAGCTCTCCGTGGCCATTTCATTTGTCGCCGAGAATCCAATCCGATTACACGACATTTGAAAAATGGCAAAAAGGACAATCTATATTCCAATATTATACTATTAATTCTATGTTATTTAGATCCATTGCTAACAGTATATCAATGTAACTGCTTATATGTCTACACTATACAATTATTTACCCCTCAGTGTCGTTTAAACCGACATTGACAAGCTAGACAAATTACTTATTCAGATTGGCCTGAATGTTGTTCAGTCATACCAAAAACGTCAGCAATATCATAATTAGTTTCCCTTGTAATTTAAGTTAACAGTGTCGTTTTACGGGAGGAAAGGTGAAATCTAGTGAGAAAATCTATCTTCTAGCCTTGGAAAAAGTCTTTGTTAATTTTTCCCGGAAGGAGAATAATGTTTGGAACCGAATTGGCCGATGAAACGGGCTAATCTCTGTTTCATCTCTTTGTTTCAAAGGCAAATTCAAAATTTATTTTTGTCGTGGAAATGAGGGTAACGTGAGAAGTACTCCTGAGAAGTCCTCCATTATGCTCTATAATCTCTCCATAATTGCTTGGTGAAAATACATTTCCCGGTTGGCTTTTAATATAAAAAAATCCAATGTTGTTCACAATAAATAATCATAGGAGAAAATGCTAACAGATGTGTTATAATCCTAGTTGGCTTATGGCTGTTTTAAAACGTAATAAAACACATTTAAACACTTGTGTAACTAAATGTGCCATTTGTGACAATGAAGAGGAATATCTGTACTGTTTTATTGCCACCTGTCCAAGATGACGCGAATTGAGTAAACAATTGCTAACGTTGGAAGTTCTCTGAGTAAATGTGTTTATACACAGGCCAATAAATCCGCCCACTTGTAATATAACTTGATTTGTATATATTTTTTATATATCAATCAAAGTTTCACGTTTTTTAACGTTTAATAATTGAGTCTTCGCCAATAAAAAAATGTAAGTTTCTAAGGAAAATTAAAAATAAATAAAATTTTTTTTGAAAAGACGGACAGATAAAATTTGTTTTATCTTTGTTTTAGATTTTTAATTAATATTTCTATATCGCGTATTTCCTCCTCTTGCTTTAATTACATCTCGAAGACTGCACTTGGGCATTCTTTCAACCAGTCTCTTTGCTGGAGGTTAGCCCATTCTTCACGAAGAGTTCTTTCAAGATCGTGGAAGGAAGAGGAAGAGGCGTGCTTATTCGTCTTTTGAGGTTTTCTCCCATAAATGTTCGATGGGGTTCAAGTCTGGAGAACGGGCTGGCCAGGCTGAGGCCCTGATGTCATGCTGTTGAAGGTACGTTTGTACTATGCGAGCGACATGCGGCCGGGCATTATCGTGCATTAGAATAGGATTGTCGCTGAATTCATCGAGGTTAGGAAACGCATGATGTTCCAAAATTTCATCCACATAGCGAGTGGCCGTCAAAGACTCTCCACGAACCACAACCAACTCTGTGCGCCTTGCCATTGAAATGCTAAGAGCCCACACCAGTACTGAACTTTGAGAAGGTTGGATCTGGGAAAAATTACAGGCTTCGTACCTTTCGTTTCGCCTTCTCCACACTCTTTCATGCCCATCTGGCGATCGTAGAGCAAATGTACACTCATTTGTAAAAAGTGCAGCAAACCAATCGTCCAAAGACCAAAGGTGTGTTCTCGAGCAAATGCGAGCTGTGCAACTCTGTGTTCTGGTCAATTCTCGTCCTTTTACGGGGAGAAAAGCCATCAGTCCATACTGATTTAATATTCTTCGACCAGGGCGTTCAGAAATTTGGACACCCCAAACTTCCTGGAGCTGATGAATCTCTTGAACAACAGTAAGGTGCCGATTTCGCAAAATTGCCAAAGTCTAAAAACAGTGGTTCTGTTACTCTAGGGCGTCCAGCCGGAACGTTCATGATCATTGTATCACGCGCTACGTCCTCACCACTAAGTGGCATTTTTAAGCTTAAAAATTAAAATTAAGAAAACAAAGATGAAAACTAAACCGTTTGTGGTTTCAGAATTCAAATGAGACTGAATAAACATTTTAAATTCCGTGAAAAGTAAACATTGAAAAATCCTTTGTCCTTGTTTTGGATTAAGGATTAACTGTGTTTACTTCTAGTTGATATAACCAATTTAAAACAGTATCTATCAAATCCAGACAAAACATACATATCCATCCCATTCATTCACTGCCTATCACATAAATTAAACACATTTCTCTCTTCGGATAACTTTAAAATAGCTTTCAAAAACTATAAAACAATTCACACACTTTTTCCACAATTAAAGATCCCACACCAGTAACAAACAAATCTGATGTAATTTATAAAATCAATTGTTCAAATTGTCCGGCAACTTACATCGGTATTACATCCCAATATCTGCACAAGAGAGTAAAGCGACATATCTATGATTGCAAAAAAACCAAACAAAATCCTACAGCACTTGCTGCTACCCACCACTTTGAACACCAACACAATTTCGACTTCAAAAAGCCAAAAATATTACACATAGAACAAAACAAACACAAACGTAAGTTTTTAGAAATGGTTTACATCAACAGGAATAAACACAGCATCAATTACAGTACAGACACATGTAAACTCAGTCGCAGCTACGCCAATATCATTAATCAAATTCAATATCGATAACATACATACATCAATATCACACCAGACAAAACATATAATATACAAAACATACATAACATGACACACATCAAACATTTCGACATAGTCTAATTCTTCAACAATTTGGCTTTCATTTCCCCAATTATTCCCGTCTATATAATCCTGAAAGAATAATCAGGCCGAACCACTATGTGAGTACAAATACTTTGATTGAGTCTAAAATTTCTAGCATAGTATAAATTCATTTTTTTAACATCCTACATGTTTAATTTAAACTATGTTTATAAATCCCAGGCCCTGAAGATGATCTCAATAAAGACAGAAACGTTGGCACGATAAAGAAAATGTTTTTCTAAACCTACGCCATCTCACGATCTCCAAATACTCGATAAAATATTACCATATTCCAAACATACCTGCGATCTGATTAAATTTTGAGCCGAATCGGTCTTCCAGCCCGTTCTTGACAAGAATTTTTCATTTTCACTCCTCAATAAAAGGTTGTTATAGGCAAAAAGAGGGAAAATTCGAACGGTTGTAGGTTGAGATGGAGTAGCGGCGTATTTAGCCGAAGGCCGGAGGTTCGAATCCCGCTCGTGACACTGACTTTTTTTATCTCAACTAAAAACCTTAATTAATTGAAAGATATTAATTTGTCAAGCGGACCACGAAATTAGTGAATTTAATGAATTTAAATGAAGTATACTTCACTAAAGCTCTCCATGGCCATTTCATTTGTCGCCGAGAATCAAATAGATTACACCACATTTGAAAAATGGCAAAACGGAGGGAAAATTCAAAAGGTGGGGTTGAGATGGGAAGTTAGTGTCCGAGTGGATGGAAGTCATGATAGCTCAAGTGGTAGAGTAGCGGCGTATTTAGCCGAAGGCCGGAGGTTCGAATCCCGCTCGTGACACTGACTTTTTTATCTCAACTAAAAACCTTAATTGATTGAAAGATATTAATTGGTCAAGCGGACCACGAAATTAGTGAATTTAATGAATTTAAATGAAGTATACTTCACTAAAGCTCTCCATGGCCATTTCATTTGTCGCCGAGAATCAAATAGATTACACCACATTTGAAAAATGGCAAAACGGAGGGAAAATTCAAAAGGTGGGGTTGAGATGGGAAGTTAGTGTCCGAGTGGATCGAAGTTACGATAGCTCAAGTGGTAGAGTAGCGGCGTATTTAGCCGAAGGTCGTGTGTTCGAATCCCGCTCGTGACACTGACTTTTTTATCTCAACCAAGATCTTATATAGAAAGAATAATTAATTAATTGAAAGAAGTAACTTGGTCAATTGAACACGAAAACATAAATGGTTCTTATAGGTTTCGACCACCAAGTCCACCAAAGTCGAGTTCTGTGGATTATCAAGGGTGCGCCTTGGTATATTCGAAACTTAATATGCCATATGTCGCCGCAGTGAAATTTGAAACAAGCATATGTGAAATTGTATCAACGCATAACTGACAATGAACACCACAATACCATCTTTATTGATTTTGTCCAGTAGCTGCGCCCCACACGAGAACTTAGAAGGCTAGAAAAAGGAGCCATCATGCTTACCTTGCTGTGTAAATAAATACAGTTAAAAAAAAATCCAAACTTCAGAGGACTGCCACTGGGTTGAAACCTCCTCACATGCTTCACGTCAATTACTGTTAAAGCTATTGCATATATTTTTTATTATTTGCCAAACTGTACATGACGTATGTCCAATAAAGTTATCTATATAAAAATATAAGTATTGATTTAATGATTAATATGGCGTTACCTAATTGTTGAATAATATATTTATAGAGGAGGTTGGGAAAGATTCAGGATACGTTTATTATTCCTATGCATTTGAACAACTTAAATTTGACGTAAACACTCCCATCCGTTAGAACATGTAATTGAATTGTTTTGATTTACAGCGTGACATACGCCTAAATGAAAGGTAAAGTTAATAAAATCTTTTGAATTCTTAATTGCGAAAAATCTTCTTGTTTTTTCTCATTATTTAGAGGATGCAATTATTCACAGCAATGACGTCTGTCCTGTAAAGGTCACAGGTAAACCGACCTGAAAAGAAACGATTATAAAGCATATAAGAAAAAGAAAATAACTGATATTACCCTCTGGGATTCTCTCAGCAAGCATTGGATCAGGTTGAACGCCATCTCGCATTCATTGTCTTTATCCTGCAATGCTAAATTACATCATTAAAAAAAAAAAAAAAATTGTAAACATTTTCACAGGTTTTTACCTTCTTGCGTGCACACGACATTCACCTCCCTCGCCTTTTCGAGTTGATCCCTTTTTCTCCATTTCAACCTGTTGAACTTCTCGAAAGCATCCAAATCGAATTGACCGTCGTGATACTTAAGCGGCAAAATTGCAAAGATTTATCAGTCAATTATACCACAACATTAACATTTCTCATCCAAGAAAATAAAAACGGTGATAATAGTTTATTGCATCATGACTTATTTACTAAAATCCTTTCGAAAACGCGTTACAATTACTACATCAATACTTCATACTTCAATACCATCTGTTCAGCATATTTTGACGTTTGGGTTCTGATACAGATTACTCGCTTGGAAACACAATAACCGTCATTAACTTAAGTCTATTTGAAAGATAATGACGTGAATCAAGGTCATCGTGATGAACTAGCTTCTGCAAGGATCATCTAACCGGTTGCTTTACCTTATAAAATTGTAAAATCTTTCGCCCAATGAAGTATGAAAAATAATTTCAATAAAACTGTACTTACTTGCCCCATTTCCTTCAATAAGCAGGCCATCATGCACTGTAACATTTAGTATTAACATAAAAATCAGTTTAATATACATGTATTTTAAATTACACGTTATTATGTACAACATAGTGCAAAGTGCAACAGTAAGCTTAAAAAACTAACAGTTATTTAAAGACATCATGAATCACAGGCAAGGGGCATTGGACAATGTGATTATAAAATTACAAATAAATTTTTTAATTCCATAATGAAAGGAAGTGGACTATAAAAGAGACAAATTGATTACAATCTTTCCCACATTTAACAGAGTTTAAACAACGTATAAAAAACTGGGTTAATTTTCCAGTGCATATTTTTATTCTTAATTAAATCAAAACCCATTGTGTAAAAAATCACCTTCGGACCATTACCGAGAATAAATATTACCATACGATAGATCACCTCTTTTTGGTAATTTATTTGTATTGTTCCAACGGTGGTCAATGTGAAAGTAACCAGACTATGAGCGGAGCAAGTGGAGGAGGGACAAAAAGAGAGAGAGAGAGAGAGAGTTTGAAAGAGAGTAAGCGAGAGAGAGGGAGAGAGTTTGAAAGAGAGTAAGTGAGAGAGAGGGAGAGAGTTTGAAAGAGAGTAAGTGAGAGAGAGGGAGAGAGAGATAGTGTGAGAAGAAGAGGGTGTATAGGAGAGAGAAGAGTGGAGTACACATAAATGGTAGAAACAGAGCAGTTCCATAGAAAATGACAGTTAAATAAAAAAGAAAGGGTATAAAAGAGAACAAGAAAGTGGGAGAGAGGAAGACGGAAATAAATATATATAGAGAGAGAGGGAGAGAGAGAGTGAGAGAGAGAGATAGAGAGGGAGGGAGAGAGAGAGAGAGAGTGTGAGTTAGGTAAATAGATAGATAGATAGAGGTAGATAGATAGATAGAAATAGAAAGATATATGAGTAGATATATAGATAGGTAGATACAATTATAGGTAGATAGAAAGATAGGTAGATAGATAGATACATATGTAGATAGATAGATAGAGATACAAAGATAGATAGGTAGATAATAGATAGATAGGTAGATATATAGATAGATAGATACATATATATAGAGAGAGGTAGAGAGATAGATAGAAATATAGGTAGATAGATGGATACATATGTAGATAGATAGAAATAGAAAGAGAGATAGGTATATANATATACAGATACATATATAGATAGATAGAACAGAAAGAAATATTTAGATAGATAGATAGGTAGATAGATACATATATTGATAGATAGAGGTAGAGAGAGAGAGAGAGAGAGAGAGAGAGAGAGAGAGAGAGAGAGAGAGAGAGAGATGAACATAGAATAAGGAAAATTTGATAATAATGAGAATATGCCATCAGTAAAGAATTTGAGTACTATCGAAAAACAGAATTAACAGAAACAGCGATTATTCTCATCAAATATTGATGTAAGTAATAATATATTTTTTTACCTTGAACTGTTCAGTGTCCGGAATTTTCATTTTTAGGAGCATTTCTTTGAAGTCACCTAAAAATGTTAAATATTCATAAAAATGTGTGCAGTCATTACATTTTCTTCTAGCTTACTCTCCTTACTCTCATTCAGGCTAAACTCAGTTTTGCATTTAGACACTGCTCTAACCACTGTCAGGACGATATTTTGAGGTGGCTTAAAGAAAAAAAAATTACATTTTGTCTAAAATTAATAACGACAGCCAGCTCACCGAAGCGCGAACTGTGCTAAAACAAGCAAGAAAAAATATGCAAACGGCTGGTACCATGCTAACGGTTTTGATGAAAAACTGGAAAAGAAAGAATTTTCTCTATTATGGCTGCTTTATACACCTACTATCGTAGATAGTCAATTAGGAAAATTGCAGGCTTCTCAACCCCATAATTTTACTCCCCTAATCTCATTTTCATTGTCTCTCTGCCAGGATTGCCAAGGTTTCGAGATTTATTAATTCCGAATAAATATGTGTAACAACTGTCCTATTAAGAACTTAACTTTTGTCCATTGAGAAACGTAGTGCGTTCTACTGTGGCACACCAGAGGTTTATATCTTTAACAATATGACTGGTTTTTCAGTAGGCAGTAGTTCCATGTAAGAATAAAATTTTAAATTGAAAGATATTTGAAAGGATTGATAGATAATGCCTATCCTTCTAATCGTTTGACGTGGCAAAATGTTTACTAAATTGCAATTTTTAATCAGTTCTTGATCAGTTGCATCGTCAATGAAAAAATAAATAATTGATTTATTTATACTTAGAATTTATACATGTACATTCATAAGCAAACAAAATGATCTTCTTTTCATTTTGTTTATAGACGTTATTGTTGTGAACGAATGTTAGAAGGAAGCCACGATGAATCAGGATTACTTTAAATTTCAATAAGCTAATACAGTTTGTTTACGTTTAGGAAGTTCATTATGCTTGTATTTTTATGTTGCCGTCGCTTACACTATGAAATTAGTGTTTTTCACGCTAATATTTATTTTGCAAGAGAAAATGCTCTCTCTATTATCCACATATTTCTCCCTCTTTCTATCACGCTCCCTTTTCTCTTTCTCTCTCTCTCCCTTACTCTCTCTCTCTATCTCTCTCCGATATCTTTCTCTCATCATTGTTCATCTTTCTCTCACCAGAAGAGAGCTCTTTTTCTTTGCTTCTCTCTATTATCCACATCTTTTTCTCTCCACTCCATTCTCTTCTGTCCTATTTCTCTCTATCTCTCTTTAGTCTTGCTATTTCAGAAAATAGGCAACGAAATCACAGGTTCGGATATGAACAAATGCTACAGGATGCGTCCTGTGTCAAATAGAATCGTCCGGGAATTATTGCCGTCGACTTGCAATGCAATACAAAAAAGAAGATCTGTTTATAAAGCTGAAGGTCCGAACAGAGATATTATGGAGAAGGAAATCTTGGGGTTATAGATGGAGAAGAAATACATATCTGTATAAACAATGACTATGTACATACCTATCTATATGTTACCTAACAGCTTACTAGTAGCAATCTACCTTCTTAACCACCTACCTAATTGCCAACTACCACGGCGTACCTACATATCTATTATTCTTTTACTTGCCAATCTATTTATTATGTTATTTTCGTTATTTCCCATATACCTCCACTTACCTAATTCTCATCCATTAGGAGGTAATTATATCTATCTACTTCCTTTCCACCTGCTAGGGGTTGAGTAGGTATCTATATACCTATCATCTATACGTACCAGTCTACATTCCTATCAGATACATTGGCTACTTATTTTTAAAAACATGAATTTTTTCATTAGCGTAGTAAAATTTATTTATTGCTTTTATAAGTTTTTTTTAAAATAAAAAGAATAACAAAACTAGAGATAATAACAAGGAAAAGGAAACGCAAAACGATGAAAACAAAATGGGATGTCATTCTTCGCAAAAAAGTGAAAGGCTGCAAAATCGTGTATGAAAAAAATTGACTACCTCTATGCTCAAATTTATAGTAATATTAAAATTTTTAAATATTTTTCTAATTTACTAAACAGCATACAAGCTTTCTTCATTTTACTATTCAAAACGTTTTGGAATATCAGCGTAATGTCAATTTTACACTAAATTTCACGCATAAGTACAGTTAAAGGCGTATTAAATAGTATAAAAGATTCAAAAGTCATCACGATTATCCAGGACGAGTCGTAAAATGAAGCTGATTATTTTTCTCGCCATCTGCGCCCTTTCCATCATCAACCAAGGAAAGAACAACAAGGTTTTGTGGAAAAGTATGCCTTTTCTTTATTTCTTTATTTTGTTGTGAAAGATCAATCATTATGTTCTATAAAATCAAGAAAATCTTCTCGTTGACAAAGTATCTTCAATTATTAAGTTTTTTCGATTAAATAAAAATAATTTCAGCCTTCGTAATAATTGTTTGTTCAGGATCAATTTAGTTGTATTATGGAAAGAACTAAGAAGGCTAAAATTTAAACTATCTTTTCAGTAACATACAAATATTATTTATTATTAGTTTCAATTTTACTTAACTTGTATATCAATTTTACTAGGTCATTAGAAGTGTTTGATTGCTAGTTTCTTGAAAAAAATGTAAGTATAAAAATCAAGGTCTATTATATTGTCCGATAAGTGACAATTGAGATCAACGTATTAAAAGTATCTCATTACAATACAGTTAATTCAATTAAATTATATAAAATTATATTGGACTGAACTCTTCAGTCTATAACTCAGGCGTGTTGAACGACCAGCTGTGGAACATTGTTTTGGTGTCAGGGATGTGGTCTTAGGATGACATTATTAGATTACATTATTAATAATAATATAATTATTTTACTTTATTTGACAATTAATATAAATAACAAAACATACCCTTTTAAAAAACATAAGTATTTACAGCAATGGTATATCCGTCGTCTGCATGAAATCGAGATCACTGATCAAATATTGACCAGGGAGTTTTAGCGTTTTGTACACATATTTAAAACGGAGCTGTTGGGGGGAAGGGCGGATCTTAATTGACCCGCAAACTTCCGTACCCGTTTCAAAGGTACAATTAAATTTTGTTCTGTTTTTTCTCTCTTTTAAATAGGTGGCCACTATTATATTTAAGAGGGATTTGGGAAAAAGAAAGGGGAGATTGATAATACTTTAAAAACAAAATTAAATATTTACACTAAGAAAAAAAGTTAAAAGAAATTTCCTTAATTATCCAAAATTATTTATGATCAAACCTACTGGCCAGGGTTTTACGAAAACCAAGAAAAAAAACAAAAAACGAAAAGGTACTGGGTGAGCTGATGACTCGCTTTGGTTTTACAAAAAAAAAAATTAAAATAAAATAAAAGACGAAACGAAAAGGTACTTGTTGGGTTGACGACTCGCTTCTCCCAGCAATCGAAATAAGCGGTGTTGAGCTGGAGGTTCCTGTTGGGTTCCACTCCGACGAAGGTGCCTGTGGAGCCTGGATGACGATATCGTTGACGTAGACCGTAAGGTCGGTGATGTGACGACAAGGTGCTGAATCGAAGAAATCGATGGTGAATGGCCAAAGGGAATCGATATAAGGTTCGATAATCGATATGGTGAACGGTGCGTCTTGTGCTGACCCAGGCAAGCGAGAGACTAACTTGCTCCCGTGCAAAGGCCGAAGACACCGGCGTTATCGCTTGCCAAAATAAAAACAATGGGGCCTCAGCGAGTTAAACAGGGCCTCCGAGGCGAACCTTGGTCAGCCGAAAACAACAAAAAAAATGAAAGCTTCTTGGGGCGTCAACATTCCGCCCACCAAATTTTTACAAACAAAAATAAGGAAAAATTTTTATTGAATGTGAACTGTTCTCATGCCTCTTTTCAACGTGCTCAGAATCAGGCTGCGGAAAAAGAGGTACAAGGCGGGAAACAGGTCTCACATACTGGCCGGTAGGTGTTTTTAGTTTGACAACTCTTACAATGCCATCTTCCCCAGGATACTGTTCGACCACTCGAGCAGTTGGCCAAGATAAAGGAGGGGAAGCCGAATCCTTTATTAGAACGAGGGTGCCTGGTTCTAGATTAGGATGGTTGGCAGTCCATTTTGGGCGTGGTTGTAAACTGGTGAGGTAGTCCATCCGCCACCTCTTCCATAAGTGAGAATGAAAAACTAATGAGAGCAGAGGTGACGTTATTAAAAAATAAATAAAATCGCACCAGAATGAGAACCCTGAGGTTTAGCAGATCGTCTGTGGACAGGTTCCGATAAGCCTTCACCAAATCTTACAACAATATTCTAAATTAATTCATATAATTATGTCTGTTTACGACAAAAGCATCTCATCAGTGTGCGTGGAAACAGGCATTTCAGACTGGTTTCACGTGGAATCAGGCGTAAGGCAAGGTTGTATTCTTAGCCCCTTCTCTTCTAACAGTTCGCTAAATTGACAAGTCCACATTGGCAAGGATATGCCACTACCACACATAAGCTTTCTACCTTTGAAGGTAGTAGGTAGATGCCAAAATCCTTAGAGTTCTTGATACCGTCAAGCTGTTTTGCGACGGACTGAAAAAAAAACTCTCTTTTTTGTCAAATAAATTAATTTATATAAGGCACTGGCATCCTTGTAGGCCGCACTTACAATTCTTGAGTTGGTTTTTTGAAACAAAAAAAGCTTTTCTTCGAGCTTGGTAACAATGACCACCAAACTAGACTTTCTTTCTTAAAGATTCTGTAGGAAACGTTGTTAAGGGGATTCGTCTTCTATAAGAGGGAGGTCAGGAGATCAACGTCTTCTATAGATCCTGCACATTAACTAGGAAACACAAGGTGTTAATAATAATGGATTTCAAGTTCTCTGTGCTGTATTGCTCACTCTTATTACTTATCCATGTTAGCCGAGGAATCAAAGGTAAAACCGCATCATCAAGTGCCGTCCCAATGCGAAGCATAAGGTGAAGAGGGAAGTGGTCGGAAAACGGTTCGGAGAGTATCTTTAATTCTTCTATCACCGAAATAAAATCTAGAGGGGTACAACAGTAAACTATCACTGAAAATCCTAAGGAAGTAGAAAATGTAAATTCTCAGTTATTAACGAACTCAGTTTCATATGCTACCCATGAGGACTGTTCGTTCTACCGTAGTCATTCGCCCAACTTCCTTTTGCAGGTTTTCAGTTGGCATATTTTACAGAAGTGCTTTTATTTTTGCAATGGGCAAGTAGGTACCATCGAACCTCATGTGACCCAAATAAAAAGATTTATGGGTGATACAAAAAGGAAGTCGGAATATATATAGAAAAATGTAAGTAGTTCACTAATTACCTTTTCAAGGATATCAGAATGGGAGAAAAATCCGACACTTGAAGAAGGGCCTAAACGATAACTGACTACTGTGAATAAGTTATTTGTAAACAAAACTTGGTAAAGAAATCCGAACCGATAAACAGATCACATAGCATTCTGCTAATTGTAAGTAATACATGTAAACAAACAAATTATGTGTATCTCAATTAATCTAACATACAGTTTGATTTAACTTGTTAAAAAAAAATAATTGCCAAGTAAACAGTCAAGCACACAAAAAAAGACATCCTTTTCTCAAGCAGACGATGAACTGAATTACCAGTCACGAGGACCATTGTCCAGTCAGCAATATCTTTCAAGACTGCGATTGAACAACTCGCCCCTCGCGCCTGGGAAAGCGTGTTCCTTGGAGAGTGGCCATCTTGCCATGAAAATCACGACAATTTTTAATTAATTGACTTTTTGTTTATATTTCTTTTATGTTATAATTTTCAAGTTAAATTATTATTATTAACGTGTGGTGATTAGTGACCGTTTGTAGATGATTATTCAGAAATCGTGAGATGCGGTCTGGTGAGATGTAGGTTTGAGAAAAACATTTTCTTTATCGTGCCAACGTTTCGATCTTTATTGAGATCATCTTCAGGGCCTGGGATTTACAAACATTGTTTAAATTTCACAAAAACATGTAGGATGTGGAAAAATGTGAATTTATACAATGCAAAATATATATATTTTTTATACATTCAATCAAAGTATTTCTACTCACTCAAAGTGTTTGTTTTCTGCGTAATGTGCCATTCTTGCGTGTCGTGTTGGAAGTGAGATGTTGCTTTTTTATGCTTATATACGTTGGATTTTGAAGGGGTGCGGAAGGAAGTTGGTATAGAAAGACATTTTTGTATAAGTAGTCGGCTTCTTTGAGGTGAAAAGAGCCGACAAAGGGGAAAAAAACGTTGATAATGGTTCGGCCAGATTATCCTTTCAGGATTATATACACGGGGATGAATAAGAAAAGGAAAGCTAAATTGTTCAAAAATTAGACTATTTAAAAATGTTTGATGTGTGGAATGTGATGAATATTTTATATGTTGTATTATATGTTTTGTGTGATGTGATGTTATGTATGTTATTGATATTGAATTTGATTAATGATATTAGCGTAGCTGCGACTGAGTTCACACGTGTCTGTTCTGTAATTGATGCTGTGTTTATCTCTGTTGATGAAAACCATTTCTAAAAAGGTACGTTTATGTTTGTTTTGTTCTGTGTGTAGTATTTTTGGATTGTTGAAGTCGAAATTGTGTTTGCGTTCAAATGGTGGGTAGCGAGTGTTGTAGGATTTTGTTTGGGTTTTTTGCAATCATAGATATGTTGCCTTACTCTCTTGTCCAGATATTGCGACGTCAGACCGATGTAAGTTGCAGGACAATTTAAACAATTGATTTTGAATATTACGTCAGATTTATTCGTTATTGGTGTGGGATCTTTAATTTTGGAAAAAAGTGTTTGAATTGTATTATAATTTTTGAAAGCTGTTTTAAAGTTATCGGACGAGAGAAATGTGTTTAATTTATGTGTAGGCCGCCAATGAATGGTATGGAAATGTATGTTGGTTTGTTTGTATTTGATAGATTTGATGTAGTATTGTTAGTACTAGTGGATCTTGTACTAGTACATGTTTTTGTTAAATTAAACAATGTTTGTAAATCCCAGGCCCTGAAGATGATCTCAATAAAGATCGAAACGTTGGCACAATAAAGAAAATGTTTTGCTCAAACCTACATCTCACCAGACCGCATCTCACGATTTCCGAATAATTATTATTAACAATGAAACAAATGTTATTTTATTTTCAAACAAACAATTTAAAAAATTCTTATTTTATATTTGTTTAAATTGTTAAGTCAAGAAAATTTTGTTATTTTGATTTGTTATATAAAAATGTAAATAGTTAATTTGCCAAACAAATAGAAAAACTAGTGCCGCTTTCGCCATAACGAGAAGTAGCTTGAAGGCAGTCGTAGCATCTATTTCGTATAATTTAACGATAACAGGTTGGCAAAAGAAAATATTTTAATTTTTTTTGTATGATTATTTTGATTGAGATTTTTTTATATTTTATTCTGAATTTGTTTGTTTATTTTTTAGAAAGGAATATAATTTTTTTTTTGTAATTCAGATTTTATTTTATTTGTATTATTTCCACTGCACAGCAAGGATCTGTTGAATATTATTTTTCGGCAGTGTCCGAATAAAAGATACCACGTACCTTCATTCAGTGTTGGGCAAAAATTAGTCATGTCTAATGATTAATGATTGATCACTCAGANTTAATCATTATATGATTTAGTCATACCTCATGATTGAATTAATTATGATTAAATCATATAATGATTAATTTACTCATGAATAATTCAATCATGATTACACTTCAATCAAAATTCTTAATCATTATTGAATTAGTTAGATTTTGCCCAACTCTGTCTTCATTACAGCCCGTCGTGGCGGATTCAACCCCCCCCCCCCCAAGTGATGATGTTATTTGTTATGTATAATATGTGTTAGTTTAGCCTTAATTAAGCGAAGAGGCTTATATTTCAGGATAAGATAAACTCTGTTACCTCTCATAAAACTTCCCTAAATTAAATCAATTTTTTCTTAACTGATCTCGCTTGGCTTTGTTGTCCCCCGGTTTGATACTTTGATCATCGATTCGATATCAAGAAACCTGTAAATTGATGTTTAATTTTAGGTAGATTTCTTTCAAAAATCTAGCGCTCTCTATCGGCGCACTTTTGATCGCATGCAATGAAATTTGGCAGGGAGGTAAATAATCCTAAGAGGATGGTTGGGATGTTTTTCAGCCAAATCGACTAGGGGTCTCAGAGTTATAGACAATGAAAGTAAAAAATTCAATCAAAATTTTTCCTTTATTGCGTTTTCTCCTGCACAACAACGAGCTCGGTTTGTTTAACTTCACTCCCTCCTACTTCCTAGCTCCGTCCTTCATTATCGGTTTTTCACATTTTTGGTACTATTTTTAAGCTGAATTCTTCCTGTAACTTGTAAGCCCGGTTTGTCTCAAATCCAAGCAGTATTTTAAAATTTATCATAATTTAAAAAAAATCACAATTTTAATCTGGGTTTTTTCTCAAATAGGGTACTTTCAAACCTAATTTCATTCTTTTAAAAGGTCAAATTAATCTATTTTTTTTAATAATAAATTGAAACTGTAGGCGTTTTAATTTTTTTGTTACGAAATATATATAATATGCCAAGATTTCATTTAAATTAAAAGAGAAATCACGGTAAAAAGCAAATGTCCCTTAAATTTTGTATATTATTAAAAAATATGCTGTGGCCATCACTCGTATTTTTTGCGGAAATCTCACTTCGTTAGCAAAAAGTAATAGTGAAGTTACGCAAGAATATAATAAATTAAATAGCTTAAATAAAATTTCAAATTAGGAAGTTAACTAACTTAAACCATTATTATACTTTCATTATTTTCTGTGGTCTAGGAAAAAATGGCTCGTATCTAATTTACTTTAACGCTAGCTATTAATAAGAAACAAAAACATTTAATTAATTTTGTTATCCTATTGCAATATGTTTATGATGTTACGTTTTATATAAAATAAATAATAATTTATATCCATGGTTCAAATTATTCTATAATTTTTAAAATGGCAAATTTTTAGCACCGCTGGATTGATTTCGCAAAAGAAAGAATTCTACCTCTCACTCCTTACTTCCCTGAGGGGTTCTTTTTGTCGTTATGTTTTGTGCTAAAAAATTATATTGCAGAGGGTGATTTTTTCGTGATTAGACATGTCCTGGTGCCACAAGAAGATTAGAGGCAGAAATCAGTTACTAAAGAAAAATATCAAAAAGGAGGGAAAATTCAAAAGGCGGGGTTGAGATGGGAAGTTAGTGTCCGAGTGGATCGAAGTGGTAGAGCAGCGGCGTATCTAGCCGAAGATCGTGGGTTCGAATCCCGCTCGTGACATTGACTTTTTATCTTAACTAAAAACCTTAATTAATAATCGTTAATGTTGGTAATTAAAATATATGCGTTGCAGACTACGACGAAATAATATTTTGGAAACTTATGAAAATTATGTCCCTTTTTGAACACTGAACTTTTAAACTATTGAAACTTTGAAATCAAGTTATTATTTTTTTGTTGAGTTTTTACCTTTGAAGGAGGGGAAAGTATTGCGTTGGGACGAAAAACGACTTTTAGAGTTTTCTCTGGATATGCACGTTTTTAGGTCCACTGTGCCTTAACGGGAAAAATTGGCATACGTGAAATTTTTTACCCCCCCTGATGGGGCCAATCTCTATTGGTCGCCTACCAAACAACAACTAATTTTATTTTTTGATTAATGTCTTAAAAGCTTAAGTAGTGAGGCCAATCCAAAAGAGACTCGCGTTGCCCCCTTGTTACAAATTTTGAACACAACCTTTTATTTTACTTCTTATTGAACAATTTGGAATTTCTTTTTTATAGATGTTTTAATTAATGTTTAAGATTGTTTAATTTATTACATTTTAATTAATGTTTAAACCTGTTTAAATTTATTTAAATCTTTCAACCGTCCATAGGAATTATTTATTCTATTACGTTATTTGTACACCGGAATCAAGGAGACAGTCTTGTTCACAGCTGTGCAAATGTTAGAATTCCATCCTTTGAAAACGTGTTTTCGAAATCGTATATAAGCTTTATCGATCAGACATATTCAGTCCGTAACAAGACTTCACAGCAAAATGAAGGCTCTTCTGGTTTTCGCCGTTTTGGTCGCTACTAGTTACGCTGCTGAGCAAGAAGTGGTAAAAAAGAGGCGTCATTTTTCTTGCGATTTAATAACGATATATATAACTAATTTTTTAAAACTTTTAATCAATTTTTTATTAAACTTATTAGAATTTAAATCTTTTAGCATATTATAACATAGAACATATAAAAATACTTATTTTTTTTATCAAAAAACAATACACTTCAGCATCTAATGAAATAAATTTCAATTAATAAACTTAAAACTTGCAAAAATTTGGTTTAGTTGTCTTTGGAATACTCGAAAGCAGTTTTAGGAGAACTACGCAAATGTAAAGCACAATTTCCGAGCATCACTGAAGGTTTGTTAACACAAGGGTAATAAAATTGTTATTAATTACTAATCTAATAATACTCAAAATTATTTCAGAGGATTACCGATCGTTGATTACCGATAAAAAACTGCCAACCACGAGAGACCAAGAGGTAAATGATATTCTTTCACTTACTTATTAAAAATAACTTACATTGTTTTTACTTTTTCAGTGCTTTGCGAAGTGCTATGCCACAGAAAGGGGATACGTAAGTATTCCATGTATTAAATCACCACAGTCATATATATGAATATATTGTTAAATAGTATAAGGGACCTGGTAATTTGGACCTTGTAAAACTGAAAACGAATAACGCTGAAAAATATAAGATTCCTGAGAATCTCCGTACTGCCAACGAGATAGACGACGTCTGTGTTAAGAAAGGTAAATTTCATTGGTCAGGTGAATTTGTCAGACCTTTCAAGCCATTATGTTAATGCATTTATTGTTATTTTACAGCCAAATCAGTGACTGATGATTGTAAAACCGTAACGACATTCTACGTGTGTAGGGCGACGACAGCCAGGGAAGTAAGTGGATTTTACAGATGAACTTTAAACTGTTATTATTGTAATTTCTCTTTTTGCAGAAAGGCTTTAAGTTCGCGAAATATCACCCAGATGCTACGGTTTGATTGTTCTGTACCAGCCTGTTTGAATTACATGATGTTTATTGATAAAAGTTGTAATTAAACGTTATGTTTGAATAAAGTTTTCCTTGTTTTCATTGCAAAACTGTGTTTTATTCGATTACATTTTATTATTTTGATATGACTTCCATTAACCTTATGAAAAAGAACCTAAATATAAACTATGTCCGAATGTTTTTGAGAGTGTAAGTCTTATTGGCCAGTGTCCGTATGGTTCCTCAGTTTTCCTGTAGGTACTTTATCATGACAACGTAAGTGTGCTTCCACCTCAGTCTTTCAGGCTGAGGTCTGGGCCATCAATGTTTGCTGTAGAACACTCATGGATAATAATACTAAGGGAAAAGATATTAGAATTTTTTAGTCTTAAGTCATTACAAAAAGAGTTATCTACATCTAGGCTGGTAGAGGAAACCGTTGAACTTATCAATAGGATAAACACTAGGGACGAGAATAGGGTAACCCTCATATGGATACCTGCTCATAAGGGGCACTATGGTAATGAAGAGGCGGACAGCCTGGCCAAAGAAGGATCAAATACTGCGTTTGTCGGGCCACAACCGGTATTACCCCATTCTATAAACACAGCGAAAGAGAGTATTAGTTGCTGGGGCATGAAACAATTCCTTAAAGAATGGAATATGTCCCCCGGACACAGGCAATCGAAGGAGTTTCTGAAGGAAATCAAACCAAAAGAAACGAAATGGTTATTTCTCTAACTCTCGGAGGGGAATTAGGAGGCTGCTGGTATCCTAACGGGCCATTGCCCCTTGAGAAGACACCTCTTCATAATGGGTACTCTACCAGACCCCTTCTGCCGCTTCTGTGAAACAAAGGAACAAACGGCTCGGTACTACCTTGCAGAATGTGATAGGTATGCTAGGGAAAGATTTGAAACTTTCGAAGGAGAGGACATAACCAAAAACACTCCCCAAGATAAAATGGTCCAAAATCTTGGGGTTTGTGAATAGGTCCAAAAGGTTTATGCAGGACTCGTGAGCCGACCAGGTCCCGGTCCTTTTAGGGATGGGGTACGGGCCTACCTAGGCTTTTAACCCCTCGGGTCCTGGTCACCCGCCCTGCGTAATATATAAGTGTGGTTCCAACTTTTTGGAAAATGCGTGGTGTCCATCATTGACTGTAAATTCAAACAGGTTTTGTCTTTTTAAAACTCCTGGCGATGCATTGGTTGTGGAAAGCCACTCAAAACGCGTGTTAACGCAAACAGCACTTTTCAAAGCATTTGTATAGAAAAAGACTGATCCAACAAAGACGAGCGTTTCTAACGCGTACATTTTTTGACGTTTTAGGGGTTTACCAACGTTGGTCATCTCGGCGATTCAAACGCAACGTTCGTCTCTGATTTCTTGATTTGTATGTGTATAACAGTACAAATAAGACTTTATGCCCCCTTACATGTACATAATTTAGGTATAAATTAATTGTTACATAGTAAAATAAGAGCGATATTAATTATAATAATAAAACATATAATAAATTACACAAAACAATAATGACTATAATATAATCTTTAAAATATTGATTATTGTATTTGTAGTCGTATGATGAAACCGAATTACGAAAGAAAAGCTGAAAGAGAAAAAAGGTAAAAGGAGAGGGAAAAATAAGAAGAGGTAAGAAAAGGAGATGTTTCATGTCGTTTTCAAAAACTCAGATGGCATGGACTTCCCGGAAAAGCAAATTCTTCCAATTCTCCCCTTGCAGTTCTGAAAGATATGGCTTAAGTTTTGGAGGAGTGATGAAGGCTTGCGATATGATTGGTGCATTGGGATAAGGAATGTGGGCAAACAGTTGATAGATATTGAGGATATTATGTCTATGTGCATATTTATGTCGTGATTTTCGACACCGTACAATTCATTTGCGAGGTAGAGTTGCGTCCACCTATTTAGGCAATCAGTTCAAAGGATATTCAAATAGAAAGGTGAAGACGAAATGTTGGAAAGAAATACAGATTTTTTTAAATATTCAAAGTTGCTTCAACAATAAAATCCGCGTAAAACATCCCACCTGAAGAGGGTTTATTTTGAAACTAACTACACTCAAACGCGCTGTTCGAAGGGAAGTCTCGCGTTTCAGATGATACGTATAGAAACCATTAAAAACAACAGGCAGGAGGGGTTCCAAACGCCGCGATTTGAGGGCTCGCTAGAATACAATAGGCCTTAGGAGCATTTATCCAATTGGAAGTCCTCATTCTTTACGTACCATTGTGCATGACCACGTTAGCTAGGCTTTTGTTATTTCATTTTGGAGCGTTTGTGTTATTTTTATGTTACTTGGTTTGGTACAATCTCATAGTTGAATTCCATGTATCTTTAACTGTAAATTACAATTTTATTTTGTATGTAAGGTTGGAACTACGACTTACTTATCAGTCTATGCTTAAAGCCAGTGCTTTATTTGTCCGACCAATTTTCTTCTATTTTTCTTCACCTGCTATTTAGCTGTAAATTACTTCATCGATGATAGATAGATACATGTTGAACTTTTTTATTTGTGAAATTTATATGCACATAGTTGACCTAGTAGAACATGATCGTCTATACTTGTACTATACGGTTACAAGCCTTTTGAATGTTTTTGGAAGAATTGCTGATATCGGTGTATCATCTACTACAACTGAAATAATCATCTTTTATATTAATCACCAAGATTTTTTTGTAATGGCTAAATGGTATTATGTATAATCATATTGTGTATAATTTACATAAATGGTTTCATGTTGCTGTGTTGGGAATATGATATTAAATATTAATTTATTGAGGAGTTGACATGTGACCACATCTCTGGTCGAATAATTTGGTGATGTCTAGCCGATCTGATATAATACAATATTTCTTTCCCAAGTTTTTATTAAATTTTATTGGGAAATAAATATAACAAATATTTATATATGGTAATTTTTTGCTCTTTAGTAACTTTAATTCATTTCGTGTCAGGAATAATTTTAACATTGTTTACAATGTTAAATGATTTAAATCAGTCTGTGTTTGTCCTTTGACCGGTAAACATTTGATTGTGCTGTCTCTTCCATCCTTATTAAATCAGGGAGTATAATATAGATTTTTCATACCTAAATAATTTTCTTTTTATAATAATTTTTATATTAATTAGAAGTGTTTTATTTTATTTTTCAAATTTTGTTTTATTTTTAATTTTGTGATGGAAATCAATGAATCCATCTTAAAAACTGATCCCCCGGACAAAGGCCTATTTATAAAAACCAAAATGAAATGGTGCAGAAAATATGTTCTCATGTCCTTAGAGTCTGATCAAGAAAATAATTCGTTTAACAACTTCAGTCCTTTTAAGGTCTGTCGGTTTGTCAGAAGTTATGCCTCGACAATAAATATGAAGTTTTTAAGAAACGGATCTGTCCTTCTCGACGTAAACAGTGAAAAAGACTACTTCATTCTCCAAAATATCAACACCTATGAAAACTTAAAAGTAAAGTTTACATTACATCGTTCGCTGAATTTTTCTAGAGGGGTTGCGTTTGCTCCTGAGTTGCTAACTTGTCCTGAAGCTGAGATTTTATCAGAGCTAGAATCTCAAGGAGTATCTAAAGTACAAAGAGTGATGAAAACTGAAAATGGTAAACCCCTCCCTACCCATTGTTTCTCACATTTCAGAAGCCTGAAATCCCGGAGAAAATTATCTTAGATTTGCTTCAAATCAAATTACGCCCGTTTAGTCCCAACCCAATGCAATGTTACTCTTGTTTTCGATATAGGCATTTAGGTAAATATTTTCACACCAAATGGTAATGTGGTGAATCGTCTCACGAAACTGCTAACTGCTCCAATGAGCCTTGTTGCATAAATTGTAATGGGTCTCACCCTGCTTATTGCAAACAATGTCCAATTACAGAAAAGAAAATAGAAAACATCCGTCAAAGTGAAACAGGCTGAAATTTTATTCAAACAGCGTTCATCGCCTCAAGATAGATTAACTACATATGCACAAGCAGCTTCTAGTGTATCTAGTAACCCTCTACCCTCTTCTTCATCCACCACAACCTCAATTCCTCCTGTTCCCACTCTTCAATCTCCTTCAAGTCAATCTTTTCAACACCCTTCCCCCGCTTCCTGCCCATCACAAAAACACACAATTGATTCCTTGGTTGGTGAAATTTCAAAACTCACAAAGCTTGTTCATTTTCTCGCAAATCAAGTACTTACATTACAACCGCCTCAACCTCAAATCAAACATATGCTTCCCATTCCTCAATCTCCACAAGATGAACTTGTCATATCTATACCCCCCAAAAGTAACTCCTGTTCTAATGGTTCCTTGAATGGTAACGCTCAGATTACAAAAATCTCAAAGAATCCAAAGTTAAATTTGGAAAATATAAGTACTAAACGACCTATCTCCCANTGCACTGACCAATCTACTCAGCCTACAGACACCACATCTCTTATCCGCAAACCCTCTATAACATTCTAAAAGACGATCCAGATACCATAGATCAACTTTTCCAATATCTTAAGACTGCTGAATTAATGAACAGGATATAAATTAGTGTGGCCTTTGCCGTTTGTGTGGGCGGGGGGGGCCTTGTTCCCTGCGGGTGGCGGCCGGGGGTCGGGCGCGGCGGAGGGTCAAGCGCTTTGCATATGGGTGAATAAGAATACCCCGGCTCTTGAGGGCCCATGCACATCCTTTTGGAGGAGCCGAAACAACATTAGTTCAGCTTCAGCGATAATATCACGCTGTTTATATAGTGCTTGTCCCTCTGCAATGCGGCTGGCCCTCCGGGCCTCCTCCTTTCTGGGGCCGTGGCCCCTCCGGTTCGCGCGATGGGGCGGCTGCATTGGTTGATGCTTTAAGGCAGCTATGACCCTTAGTGGATGTATGCCTTAAAAAAAAAAAAAAATGATTTAAATGTGCACGTGTAATGGAGTTTTGTTTAAACTGCGAAAATAAAAGTGGTAAAAGAATATAAATTGAATGGAAAAAGTGAAAAAAAAAATTACAACGAAAAGAGATGATGAAATCGAACAAATATTGAGATAAAAAGGACAAATCATGATAACATGTGTTCTTGCATCAATACAATTT